CCCTGGTCCAGGTGCCCTCTGACCCCCGCCTCGTACCTTTATCGCTGCTGTTTCCTGACGTTTTCCGATCGTGCGGGCCCTTTCCCTGTTTTTCCTGTTTGCTCCTCCGTTTTTGAAATAATCTCTTGTGTGGTCTGTGTCAAACGCCTTCTTGGTCTAAGAAAATGAAATCCCCCCCCCCTCTTCTTTTGTCTTAATGCTGACCATGTCTTAGAACCCCAGGGTTTGTGACACATTTTTTTCCCCCGTCCTGAAACCCTTTTGTTTGCTGGGAGGATCTTCCTTTCTAGATGTTCCCCCATTCTTTTGACAACTTTTCCTGATTTTTGCATGCTATACATGTCAGTGACACTGGTCTTAGTTTAGTGCTTCATGTCTGTTCCTTTTTAAGATTGGTCCCACTTTGCTGTTTCCATGCCTCAGGCAATTCCCTGTTTCGATAGTGTATTGATTTTGTTGTTAGGGGTACCATAGGCTCTGCTCCCCCCTTTTAGGCCCCATGGAGAGATGTTATGGGGCCCCATTGCCTTTGAGGTATCTAGTCCTCAGAAGCCTTCACTTTTCCTCGGTTGTGTGTACTGTCCCCCAGCAAGGGTGGTTTTCCCCACCTCCCGCTTTCTGGGCCCCCTTTTTTCCCCTTGTAAAACACTTCTTTGAATCTCTTGTTGAGTTCTCACATACTTACTGTCATTTCTTTTTGTTTTTCCCCTTCCCCCTTAGCCTGATTACCTGGTCCTTGACGGGGTTTTCTTCTGATGTGGTGTATAAAGCTTCGGGTCAGATTTGGCTTTTTTGTATGTCGTTTTCATATTGACGTTTGGGCCTCCCTTCTTACCTGGCATATTCGTTTTGGCTCTCGACGCTCCTTATTTCCTGGGTCCCTTTTCCCTTTTATATTTTTTCCATTCCCCCGCACACTTGGTTTTTGCCTCCCTTTCATCTTTTAGTGAACCATGGGCTCATCCTGGTTTTTTTTATTTGTTTCCCCGGGGGGACAAACCCCCCTCAGCCCCCTTGAATTGTGACTACTATTCCATCTCTCTTAAAATGGTTTCCCCGCCCTTTTTCTGTCCCCTGAAAATCATTTTACTAAATTCCTCTTCCTGTGTATCCCCCTTTCCCGTATTTGGTTTTATTGTCCTGGCCCCCTGCTTTCCCCCCCCCCCTTGTAGTTCTACTGTGTTTCGAAGCTCAAAACCCCCCCCTTGGCCCCAAGGGGGTTTTTCTATGTGTTTTTCCTCAATACTGCACTACTAAGGTGAAAAATAAGTCCAGTCTTTCTGGTTCATCCCCTTCCCCTCTCTCTTTAGTGTCCCCCTTGTGTTGGTCATGAAGTTTTCCAGTACCCCCCTCATCGCCCTCCATGTTCTTGGCCCTGTGGTCAAGTTCTCCCTTCGATCTCCTTGTGGTTTAAAGTCGCCCCCGATCAGGGCTTTGCCCGCTGTTGAGCTCTTTGGCCCCTGCAGCCCCGGTGTCAACCCTCGCTTTTGTCTCGTCATACTTTGCCTTGGCCCCCCTGCTGTTCTTGGGGGTTAACTACTGCAATTTCCCTGTGTGTGTGTGTGTGGTGTGTGTATGTGTGTGTGGTGTGTATGTGTTGTGTTGTTGTGTGTGTGTGTGTGTGTGTGTGTGTATGTGAGTGTGTGTGTACTCACCTAGTTGTACTCATTTAGTTGAGGTTGCAGGGGTCGAGTCCAAGCTCCTGGCCCCGCCTCTTCACTGGTCGCTACTAGAAAGAATAAATCCCCATATCTGTATTCCAGAGCCCTATCATACCTGCTCTTAAAACTGTGTATGATGTTTGACTCTAACACCTGTTCGTCTGGTTCCTTTGACTTACCAGCCTAAAACTGAGAAAAATGCTTTCCAACGTCCCTATCTCTCATCTGCACATCATTGTTCTCATTCTCCAGGCTCTATATGACTCTTGCGGGCAGAGTGTGAATGTGGGGGTGAGTGTGTGGGTGAGTGTGTGGGTGAGTGTGTGAGTGAGTGTGTGGGTTGGTGAGAGGGGAGGTTAGTGTGTGATGGAATTTAAGGAGATCTGTACTTGACCTACTGTGGGGGAGAGTCTGCCTGTCTCCCCCCCCCCCAAAGCCTTCTACCTCGACTCCCACCACCCACACCTCTCTCGCCCATCCCACATTTCTTACTACTCACCCACCAACACCACCACTACCACCACTACACACACCAACATCACCACTACCACCACTCCCACCACTACCACACCAACACCACAACTACCCCCACTACCACCACTACCACACACCAACACCCCCAAACACCACCACTACCACCACCTACACACACAACACCACCAAACTACACACACCAAACCCCCAAACACCACCACTACCACCACTACACACATCAACACCCCCAAAACACCACCACTACCACTACACACACCAACACCACCACTACACACACCAACACCACCACTACTCACTAACACCACCACTACACTCACCACCACCACCACCAGTAACACACCACCAGCAAAAAGCAGAGACTGACGAAATAGATTGTTTGCCAATGTTTGGGATCCGGGGGCGTTGGTCAGCTTCCTGGGGGATCAATTATCCTCACAGACCAACAGGGCCACCTGCACGACAATTGGCATCATCTTGACAGTCCTCACACGAGCTCCACTGCCCCATAACAACCCTTATACGGACTCCACGACACCATAACAGTCCTCACTTGAGATCCACAGCACTATAACAGCCCTCACATGAGCTCCATGGCATCATAACAGCTCTCACATGAGCTACACGGCATCATAACAGCTCTCACACGAGCTCCACTGCCCCATAACAGCCCTTACACGAGCTCCACGGCATCATAGCAGCCCTCATACGGACTCCACGACACCATAACAGCCCAAGAGATCCACAGCACTATAACAGCCTTCACATGGGATCCACCTCACCATAATAGCCTTCACACGGAATCCACCTCACCATAACAGCCTTCACACGGGATCCACCTCACCATAACAGCCTTCACACGGGATCCATCTCGCCATAACAGCCTTCACACGGAATCCACCTCACCATAACAGCCTTCACACGGGATCCACCTCACCATAACAGCCTTCACACGGGATCCACCTCACCATAACAGCCTTCCACGGGATCCCACTCACCATAATCAGCCTTCACACGGGATCACCCCACCATAAAAAGCCTTCACACGGGATCCACCTCACCATAACAGCCTTCACACGGAATCCACCTCACCATAACAGCCTTCACACGGGATCCACCTCACCATAACAGCCTTCACACGGAATCCACCTCACCATAACAGCCTTCACACGGGATCCACTCACCCTTTAACAGCCCTTTACACGGGATCCACCTCACCCTAACAGCTTCACACGGGATCCACCTCACCATAACAGCCTTCACACGGGATCCACCTCACCATAACAGCCTTCACACGGGATCCACCTCACCATAACAGCCTTCACACGGAATCCACCTCACCATAACAGCCTTCACACGGGATCCACCTCACCATAACAGCCTTCACACGGAATCCACCTCCCAATAACAGCTTCACGGGATCACCTCACCATACAGCCCTTCACACGGGATCCACCCCACCATAAACAGCCTTACACGGGATTCACCTCACCATAACAGCCTTCACACGGGATCCACCTCACCATAACAGCCCTCACACGGGATCCACCTCACCATAACAACCTTCACACGGGATCCACCTCACCATAACAGCCCTCACACGGGATCCACCTCACCATACAGCCCTTTACACGGGATCACCTCACCATAAAAGCCTTCACACGGGATCCATCTCACCATAAAAAGCCTTCACACGGGATCCACCCCAAACCCTAACAGCCCTTTACACGGGTCCACCTCACCATAACAGCCTCCACGGGATCCATCTCACCATAACAGCCTTCACACGGGATCCACCTCACCATAACAGCCTTCACACGGGATCCACCTCACCATAACAGCCTTCACACGGGATCCACCTCACCATAACAGCCTTCACACGGGATCCACCTCACCATTACAGCCCTAACACGGGATCCATCTCACCATAACAACCTTCACACGGGATCCACCTCACCATAACAGCCTTCACACGGGATCCACCTCACCATAACAGCCTTCACACGGGATCCACCTCACCATTACAGCCCTAACACGGGATCCATCTCACCATAACAACCTTCACACGGCCTACAGGGCACCATAACCCTTTTGTTTAATAATATTATTATTATTTATTATATTCATTGCCAAGGAAACATGGTTCCAGATTGTTTTGAGCCCTTCTAAGTAGTTTTGTATCTGCTGGGTTCGTTTCCATTAATCTTACTGTCAAATACAGCATAATTTTGTGTTTTTATATATCGGATATCATTAATAATATCTTAGTCTCTGTGATTGCTATTATAGCTATATACGTATTTGCCAGCCTTCCTGGGTTACACAGTAACAGGTAGGTTGGAGAATGGGTAGAGTGGGTTACACACAGTAACAGGTGGGTTGGAGCATGGGTAGAGTGGGTTACACACAATAACGGGTGGGTTGGAGCATGGGTAGAGGGTGGAGACAATAAAGATATATGCTATGGGTAACTGTGAAGGTGATGAAAGGACATCTTTGATAAGAAATATAGAGAAAAGTGAGAGAATAATTAATATGAGGGTTGAGGCGAGGTAGAGGAAGGTGGCAGTGTTGATTAGTCTTTTTTTATTTTTTAAGGGATTCTATATATTGTTTTAGCTTCCAGGTTATCTCTCAGAGTCTGTTTTGAACCCTCTTTTCTTATGGGAATTTTTTTTTTCCTGGGTTCGATTCACAACTAATTTTCATCTCAATGTTTACGTTAGCTATGTTCCAGCAAAGGTACTGTGATTTTTCGGTCTGCTGAGAATATTCTTCATTCATCAGCTTTCGTATGTATGTATCCACGAGGTGAATGACACTTATGTTACAGGATGATGTGTAGAGTGGGCGGAGTGGGCGGAGTGGGCGGAGTGGGCGTACCCAGCATGAGCGTAATGCTTCTTGTGGTCTACCTCGCCTTAGCTGCTGCTGATGACAGGGTGAGCCTTGTGTGTGTGTGTACTTACCAATATGTACTCACCTATATGTAGTTGCATGGATCGATTCACAGCTCCTGGCCCCGCCTCTTCGCTGGTAGCTACTAGGTCTCCTCTTTCCCTGTTCTAAGAGCCATATCGTACCTCTTCTTAAAGCTATATATGAATCATGCCTCCATTACTTCACTCTCCAGATTGTTCCACTTCCTGACTGAAGAAATACTTCCTAACATCCATATGACTTATCTGTGTGTGTGTGTGTGTGTGTGTACTCACCTGACTGTACTCACCTAATTGTGGTTGCAGGAGTAGAGACTCAGCTCCTGGCCCCGCCTCTTCGCCGACCGCTACTAGGTCCTCTCTCCCCCTGCTCCATGAGCTTTATCATACCTCGTCTTAAAACTATGTATAGTTCCTGCCTCCACTACATCGCTTGCCAGACTATTCCACTTCCTAACTACTCTATGACTGAAGAAATACTTCCTAGTGTATGTGTGTGTGTGTGTGTGTGTGTGTGTGTGTGTGTGTGTGTGTGTGTGTGTGTGTGTGTGTGTGTGTGTGTGTGTGTGTGTGTGACATCACTGTTCATCTCCCGGAGATGAGGTAGATGTTCTCTGTCATTGTTCCTTCCACCTTTTGTGAGAGATTCTTCCCCGTGTTGTTGTTAGTGTCGCTGGTGGTGGTGTGGACGGTCTTCCCCGTGTTGTTGTTTAGTGTCGCTGGTGGTGGTGTGGACGGTCTTCCCCGTGTTGTTGTTAGTGTCGCTGGTGGTGGTGTGGACGGTCTTCCCGTGTTGTTGTTAGTGTCGCTGGTGGTGGTGTGGACGGTCTTCCCCGTGTTGTTGTTAGTGTCGCTGGTGGTGGTGTGGACGGTCTTCCCCGTGTTGTTGTTAGTGTCGCTGGTGGTGGTGTGGACGGTCTTCCCCGTGTTGTTGTTAGTGTCGCTGGTGGTGGTGTGGACGGGAAGCACTTCTTGCCTCTTATTCAAGTCTCTCTACCCTGGTTATTGCCTCGAGTGATTGCAAAAGTTTTGTTATTGTCTTTATTGTTGATGCGTTCGTGATTGTTATTATTGGTGTCACTTAGATGTTGCAGTCACTACACACACACACTCACCCGACAACTCAGAGAAGGGGGTACACCAAAAGAAAGGGATACTTCAAGAGAAAGGAGTACTCCAAGAGAAAGGAGTACTCCAACAGAAAGGGATACTCCAAGAGAAAGGGATACTCCAAGAGAAAAGGATACTCCAAGAGAAAGGGATACTAAAAAAGAAAGGGATACTCCAAAAGAAGGGAGTACTCCAAGAAAAGGGAGTACTCCAAGAGAAGAGGGTACTCCAAGAGAAGGGGATACTCCAAGAGAACGAGATACTCCAAGAGAAGGGGGTACTCCAAGAGAAGAGGGTACTCCAGGAGAAAGGGGTACTCCAAGAGAAGAGGGTACTCCAAGAGAACGGGATACTCCAAGAGAAGGGGGTACTCCAAGAGAAGAGGGTACTCCAGGAGAAAGGGGTACTCCAAGAGAAGAGGGTACTCCAAGAGAAGAGGGTACTCCAAGAGAAGGGGATACTCCAAGAGAAGGGGATACTCCAAGAGAAGGGGGTACTCCAAGAGAACGAGATACTCCAAGAGAAGAAGGTACTCCAAGAGAAGAGGGTACTCCAACAGAAGAGAGTACTTCAAGAGAAAGGGATACTCCAAGAGAAGGGGGTACTCCCAGAGAAGAGGGTACTCCAAGAGAAGAGGGTACTCCAAGAGAAGAGGGTACTCCAAGAGAAGGGGGTACTCCAAGAGAAGAGGGTGCTCCAAGAGAACGGGATACTCCAAGAGAAGAGGGTACTCCAAGAGAAGGGGGTACTCCAAGAGAAGGGGGTACTCCAATAGAAGGGGGTACTCCCAGAGAAGAGGGTACTCCAAGAGAAGGAGGTACTCCAAGAGAAGGGGTACTCCAAGAGAAGAGGGTACTCCAAGAGAAGGGGATACTCCAAGAGAAGGGGGTACTCCAAGAGAAAGGGGTACTCCACGAGAAGGGGGTACTCCAAGAGAAGGGGGTACTCCACGAGAAGAGGGTACTCCAAGAGAAGAGGGTACTCCACGAGAAGGGGGTACTCCAATAGAAGGGGATACTCCAAGAGAAGGGGGTACTCCAAGAGAAGGGGGTACTCCTCGAGAAGGGGGTACTCCTCGAGAAGGGGGTACTCCACGAGAAGAGGGTACTCCAAGAGAAGAGGGTACTCCACGAGAAGGGGGTACTCTAATAGAAGGGGGTACTCCCATAGAAGAGGGTACTCCAAGAGAAGGGGGTATTCTAAGAGAAGGGGTACTCCAAGAGAAGAGGGTACTCCAAGAGAAGAGGGTACTCCAAGAGAAGGGGATACTCCAAGAGAAGGGGGTACTCCAAGAGAAGGGGATACTCCAAGAGAAGGGGGTACTCCAAGAGAAGGGGGCACTCCAAGAGAAAGGGGTACTCCAAGAGAAGGGGGTACTCCAAGAGAAGGAGGCACTCCAAGAGAAGGGGGTACTCGTGCAACTGTACAACCATCACTGCAACAACATAGCAGTGAGAGTGAAGCCCCTCAAGTTGATGACGAGTGTTGCAAGCTTGATACTGTCTGTAATGTACGGTGCTCCCTTCAGGGAGGGAAGGGAGGGAGGGAGGGCTCTTGTTCATGGGAATTGGAGCTACCCACTTTGCCTTGTTCCACATAAACTGAAAGGCTTACTTTAATCTGCCTTTGCCTCCTACTCCATTTATTTTCAATAACAATAATAATAATAATAATAATAATAATAATATATTATTATTATTATTATTATTACCACTATTGTTGTGGATAATAATAATAATAATAATAATAATAATAATAATAATAATAATAATAATAATAATAATAATAATAATTTCAACTTACGAAACAGGTGGGATTCGAACCAGTGGCTAGGCAGTCCTCAGACTAGCAGGTCAAGGCTCGAACCACCGTATCTTGTATTTGCTGCTGATGCAACACGTTATTTCTTCCCCTCAGTTTACATGTTGTATGGGCGGGTGGAAAGTGATGCGCGGGGTGACCCTGTGTGCAGCACCTTGTTGTCCAGGATACGAGCACAGGATACTCAAGATGCCACTGCTCAAGTCTCCTGTTATCTGCCACAAGCTCACGCAGGAGGAACTCAGAAAGAAGGAGGAGGCGGCTAGGATCTCTAAAACTCCAGCATCCAGCTCCTCCTTGGAGGATAACACCTTGGAGGATGAGGTAAGGCTGACGGAAGCAACAGGATGTTAAAGATAGTGTCGTTATCAAGCCAAAAGTTAGTCTATCATCTTTATTATGCATCACATACCCATCCAAAGGTTCTTGGACCTCAACGGTGTACTGCCGGAAACAGTGAAGATTAGATACACATTATGGAACCCGTTTTTATATGGACATGTTTCACTGTATTGTTGAAAATAGTATAAAATACCGACAAGTTGAAGATTAAGACACATGTGCAACAGGTGGGTATCGTTATTGACGAAACCTGTCGCCTACACAGTAGACTTCTTCAGACCAATACAAAGGGAGCATTACATCTCCCTTTGTATTTGTCTGAAGAAGTCTACTGTGTAGGCGAAAGGTTTCGTCAATAACGATACCCACCTGTTGCACAAGATACACTACCTAGAGCTCTGCCAAATCACACTTCCCTCTGTGTAGAGCTTCATTATGTCGTACTAAGGGTACGAACTTAATCTATAAGACTTGGTCGTATAAACCTTGGTAATAAATATAGACAAATTGGTTAAGAAAGACAGGTGAACAAACACTAGAACATATTTGATAGAGAACATGTCGGTCTTGGTACCTTGATCACTTCTAACATACACAGGTTAACAAGACAGTATGTATAAGGGTAGAGAGGTCAGTGACTTTTGGTGACCTGAAGAATGCCATATCTTGTCAGGTATACAATGGGATCATGTGACAAGAATCACTGGACTTGGTAAAGCTCTAGACAGCGAAGTATTCCGCCCGAAATGTATACCTGGAGTATACCTGGAGTATACCTGGAGAGGGTTTCGGGGGTCAACGCCCCCTTATACTACAGAAAAGAAATTAATTATTGTACTTGCATTTCACTTGCAACGTATGTCATATACATACATAGATTTTATATATAAGTATATATGCAGTGCTATATATTAAGTTTACAGGAGAAGGAAGAGGGGTTTAAAGCATACGAAAATAGAATGTCTTAAAGAGTCAGGGTAACTGCACTCGAAGTATCAAATATTAACAGCATACACAACCGTGCAATACTGGAGTATCTTTTTTGCCTTCCACCGTCTCCAGTGTGATTCTCTGCATTGAACTGGTAAATCCATTGGTTGGCGAAGCGTCTCTACGGTAAAGATACCCAAGTGTTGCACACGTATCTTATTCAACCCCCCTTGAATTGCACACGTGTCTTATTCAGCCCCCTTGAAGTGCCTAAGTGAGAGTACCTGACTCTTTAACACTATCCACAGCCACGACGCATCATTAGAGCATCGTCAGAGTACCAAGACTTCCTCTACCGCCATCGGCACTTCTTCCTTCACCTCATGAATGAAGGTTACTCACACAAGGAGCTTCTCACCAACATGGAGAACTTCCTGGTAAGGTGCTGGAAGGGAGACAAGGGTAGGGCTGGTTGTCTGTAGTATCTCTCCCTTCCAGTACATCCTCTGTTCTTGTTGTCTTGGATCTGACTGATATATCACACACACATAGAAGGGAAAAGACGCAAAATGCAATCAATTTAGGGAATAGCTAATTTAAAGTAATCGGTCTTGGGACCTTGGTAGCTTCAAATGTCCATGTATATCTGGAGTGACCGAGGACCCAAGACCAGGACGTTTCCATTATGTCCAGAGCGAAATGTTCTTAAAAATGCTTCTTATGCAACGTTACCTTCGTTCACCACCATCATTCTCTCTCTCAGAGGTCTGCTGGAAAATTATTCACTCCTCTTATAATGTTCATATTGCTTCTCACAATACTTATTTTTTCCTGCCTTATATCATTCATGATATATTATATGTTTTGCATTGTATACCGGTGCTCTGTGTACTCAGGGTATTATATACTGATGCTCAGTATACGCAGGGTATTGTATACTGGTGCTCTGTATATCCAGGGTATTGTATACTGGTGCTCATTATACTCAGTGTATTGTATACTGGTGCTAATATACTCATGATATTATATACTGGTGCTAGGGCTAAGGTCAAGGCTAAGACTGAATACCTATATGACTGACTTCCTTTTGTCTCCAGTATATACTATAATCTCATTATTGGAATGAGAAAATCACTCATTAATGAAGCATGTTCGTAAGTAAATATACCCTGGTGTTGCACACCTGTCTTGTTCATCAGCTGTCTTTTTCTTTGCTTCCAGAACAAGATATCATCGACTGCCTACCAGCCAGATTGGTTCCGTGGCTAGGACAACACGCCATCATCTTAGCCACGCTTCTGCGCCCACACTCTAGTGCTTCCACGCCCACGTTCCGGTGTTTCCACGCCCACACTAGTGCTTCCACGCTCACGTTCCGGTGTTTCCACGCCCACACTCCGGTGTTTCCACTTCCACACAACCTCCACGCCCACAACTCCACACCTACACCACCTCCACGCCCATACCATCACGCCCGCACCATCTCCACAGCCCACAACTGTCACACATACATGCTCGTCACTATCTACTTGCGTATATTTTGGCTTAAATAGCAACGCTTTTCTTGCCGAATAAGGCAAGCAAAAATTTGTGTACGCAATTTTATTATTAAATTATTGTAAACTTATCTAAAATATATATAGTTGGATTAGGATAAATTAAATTGCGTTTGTTATAATAAGGTCAGGTAAGTTTTCTAAGGTTCTTTTGGTACAAAATTAATAATTTTTACATTAACATAAATGAAATAAATATATCTTTAAACGCATAAGAGTGTTATACACTGGTGTATAACAGTTTATCACTGTTATACACCAGTGTATAATAGTTTATCACTATTATACACCACTTTAAGGAAATACTCTAAGAAAATCATACAAAAATTTAAAGAGAATAATAGAGAGTATCAGTTTGCTTGGGTACTCAGGTACTGCACTGATGCCTGTGCTCTGAGCTGCTCTGTCTGAGTGGCTTTCTCTGAATGGCTGTGACTCAACTGGTCTTGTAGAGTCCAGGCTCTTGGTAGGTGAAGACATGAGGCTCTCAGATAGAGCCTTAGTTGGTCACTGACTTAACTGTTGTGACCAGGGGAGATGGGCGTTACTGATGGGCGTGGGCGTGGAGACCAGGGGGAGGGTATGATTACTGAGGCTAGCATGGGAGTAGTCATGAAGGCTAGTGTGGGCGTGGTCATGGAGGCTAGTGTGGGTGTGGTCATGGAGGCTAGTGTGGGCGTGGTCATGGAGGCTAGTGTGGGCGTGGTCATGGGCTTGAACAACAGGACGCCCACAACTCAAGGGATAACTTACCATCACAAACACAAAAAAAAATCAATAAAACTGGCTAAAACAAAGCGTAATACACAAGGAAAAACAGAAAAAAACATTAAAATATATTAATTCCTTTCCGAGTATTTTTTCCCCATTTTGAGTCCCCATATACCTAAATTTTGAGTCCCCATATACCTAACTTTTCAAGATTAATTAAAATAACAGAATTTATTCTATGTGATTAAAGTGGATATTTATTAACATGGTGTGAGTGTGATGGTGTGAGTGTGATGGTGTGAGTGTGATGGTGTGAGTGTGATGGTGTGAGTGTGATGGTGTGAGTGTGATGGTGTGAGTGTGATGGTGTGAGTGTGATGGTGTGAGTGTGATGGTGTGAGTGTGATGGTGTGAGTGTGATGGTGTGAGTGTGATGGTGTGAGTGTGATGGTGTGAGTGTGATGATGTGAGTGTGATGGTGTGGTGTGATGGTGTGAGTGTGATGGTGTGAGTGTGATGGTGTGAGTGTGATGGTGTGAGTGTGATGGTGTGAGTGTGATGGTGTGAGTATGATGGTGTGAGTGTGATGGTGTGAGTGTGATGGTGTGAGTGTGATGGTGTGAGTGTGATGGTGTGAGTGTGATGGTGTGAGTGTGATGGTGTGAATGTGATGGTGTGAGTGTGATGGTGTGAGTGTGATGGTGTGAGTGTGATGGTGTGAGTGTGATGGTGTGAGTGTGATGGGTGTGAGTGTGATGGTGTGAGTGTGAGTGTGATGGTGTGAGTGTGATGGTGTGAGTGTGATGGTCTGAGTGTGATGGTGTGAGTGTGATGGTGTGAGTGTGATGGTGTGAGTGTGATGGTGTGAGTGTGATGGTGTGAGTGTGATGGTGTGAGTGTGATGGTGTGAGTGTGATGGTGTGAGTGTGATGGTGTGAGTGTGATGGTGTGAGTGTGATGGTGTGAGTGTGATGGTGTGAGTGTGATGGTTTGAGTGTGATGGTGTGAGTGTGATGGTGTGAGTGTGATGGTGTGAGTGTGATGGTGTGAGTATGATGATGTGAGTGTGATGGTGTGAGTGTGATGGTCTGAGTGTGATGGTCTGAGTGTGATGGTCTGAGTGTGATGGTGGGGTGTGATGGTGTGTGTGCGATGGTGTGAGTGTGATGGTGTGGGTGTTGGTGTGAGTGTGATGGTGTGAGTGTGATGGTGTGAGTGTGATGGTGTGAGTGTGATGGTGTGAGTGTGGTGGTGTGAGTGTGATGGTGTGAGTGTGATGGTGTGAGTGTGATGGTGTGAGTGTGATGGTGTGAGTGTGATGGTGTGAGTGTGATGGTGTGAGTGTGAGTGTGATGGTGTGAGTGTGATGGTGTGAGTGTGATGGTGTGAGTGTGATGGTGTGAGTGTGATGGTGATGTGATGATGTGAGTGTGTGGTGTGAGTGTGAGTGTGATGGTGTGAGTGTGATGGTGTGAGTGTGATGGTGTGAGTGTGATGGTGTGAGTGTGATGGTGTGAGTGTGATGGTGTGAGTGTGATGGTGTGAGTGTGAGTGTGATGGTGTGAGTGTGATGGTTTGAGTGTGATGGTGTGAGTGTGATGGTGTGAGTGTGATGGTGTGAGTGTGATGGTGTGAGTGTGATGGTGTGAGTGTGATGGTGTGAGTGTGATGGTGTGAGTGTGATGGTGTGAGTGTGATGGTGTGAGAGTGGTCTGAGTGTGATGGTCTGAGTGTGATGGTGTGATTGTGATGGTGTGAGTGTGATGGTTTGAGTGTGATGGTGTGAGTGGGATGGTGTGAGTGTGATGGTGTGAGTGTGATGGTGTGAGTGTGATTGTGTGAGTGTGATGGTTTGTGAGTGTGATGGTGTGAGTGTGATGGTGTGAGTGTGATGGTGTGAGTGTGATGGTGTGAGTGTGATGGTGTGAGTGTGATGGTGTGAGTGTGATGGTGTGGTGTGATGGTGTGAGTATGATGGTGTGAGTGTGATGGTGTGAGTGTGATGTGTGAGTGTGATTGGTCTGAGTTTTGATGGTTGAGTGTGATGGTCTGAGTGTGATGGTGTGAGTGTGATGGTGTGAGTGTGATGGTGTGTGATGGTGTGAGTGTGATGGTGTGAGTGTGAGTGTGATGGTCTGAGTGTTAGTGCTGGTCTGAGTGTTGTGATGATCTGAATGTTATGATGGTCTGAGTGTTGTGATGGTCTGAGCGTTAGTGCTGGTCTGAGTGTTGTGATGGTCTGAGTGTTGTGATGGTCTGAGTGTTGTGATGGTCTGAGTGTTGTGATGGTCTGAGTGTTAGTGCTGGTCTGAGTGTTGTGATGGTCTGAGTGTTAGTGCTGTCTGAGTGTTGTGATGTCTGAGTGTTGTTATGGTCTGAGTGTTGGATGGTCCTGAGTGTTAGTGCTGGTCTGAGTGTTAGTGCTGGTCTGAGTGTTGTGATGGTCTGAGTGTTGTGATGGTCTGAGTGTTGTGATGGTCTGAGTGTTGTTATGGTCTGAGTGTTGTGATGGTCTGAGTGTTAGTGCTGGTCTGAGTGTTAGTGCTGGTCTGAGTGTTGTGATGGTCTGAGTGTTGTGATGGTCTGAGTGTTGTGATGGTCTGAGTGTTGGTCAATACACCTTGTGCCTTGATGCTTCTGAAGGGCTCTTGATTCAAGGAATTGGAGCTACCCTCCCCTTCCTCGGAACAAACCTGATTAACTCCCATTCCCTAGGCGCTGCATGGCCCTTACGGGTCCAGCGCTTCCTGTGAACATTAATAATATGATGATAATAATAATAATAATAAATGCTGTGGAAGACACTGCTGTGGAAGACACTGCTGTGGAAGACACTGCTGTGGAAGACACTGCTGTGGAAGACACTGCTGTGGAAGACACTGCTGTGGAAGACACTGCTGTGGAAGACACTGCTGTGGAAGACACTGCTGTGGAAGACACTGCTGTGGAAGACACTGCTGTGGAAGACACTGCGTGGAAGACACTGCTGTGGAAGACACTGCTGTGGAAGACACTGCTGTGGAAGACACTGCTGTGGAAGACACTGCTGTGAAAGACACTGCTGTGAAAGACACTGCTGTGGAAGACACTGCTGTGGAAGACACTGCTGTGGAAGGCACTGCTGTGGAAGACACTGCTGTGAAAGACACTGCTGTGGAAGACACTGCTGTGGAAGACACTGCTGTGGAAGACACTGCTGTGAAAGACACTGCTGTGAAAGACACTGCTGTGGAAGACACTGCTGTGGAAGACACTGCTGTGGAAGACACTACTGTGGAAGACACTGCTGTGGAAGACACTGCTGTGGAAGACACTGCTGTGGAAGACACTGCTGTGGAAGACACTGCTGTGGAAGACACTGCTATGACAGACACTACTGTGGAAGTTAGTTTAATATGTTTATTATGCACCCCATACCCATCCTGTGGGCGGTAGTCACTCCATACCCATCCTGTGGGCGGTAGTCAAAAGATTACAGAGGTACATAATTGGTCCAGGGACTGGACTCCAAAGTTTTGATAGCTGAGCAAGTTACAGAGGTAATGAACTCACAATTTACAAAGGTAATGAACTCACAATTTACAAAGGTAATGAACTCACAATTTACAAAGGTAATGAACTCACAATTTACAAAGGTAATGAACTCCAGGTAAGTCTGGTCACAATCATGACAAGTTACAAAGGTATTTACAGATTACAGAGGTACGTAATGGGTCCAGGGACTGGGCCCCCAAAGTTTTGATAGCTGAACTAGGTACAAAGGTAATGAGCTCACAAGTTACAAAGGTAATGAATTCTGTAGAATGGTTACTTACGTTTATACATGGCTACAATCATGAACAAATTATAGAGTATGACAGACACTACTGTGGAAGACACTACATATCTCTCAGTATATGTATACAGACTCTTGAGAGTTTAAATTAATTCCACTCTTAGATATTAAACTATTCCTGATGTTATCCTGGAGGTCAATAGGCCTTAGAACTAACATACTTATTGACTTTAAACTTAACCAATAAACCTACACAGGATGTATACAAAGAAGGTGTACATCTCTCCGTGTATATACCTCAATCTTTGTATTATTAGTAATTAAGGCGCTTATGACTGGGGGTGAACAGGTAATATCAAGATTTTATTCAGATTATTAACCCCCAGGGTAACACTAAGATAAGATTTCGGTCGGATTTTTAACCCGGAGGGTTAGTCACCCAGGATAACCTAAGAAAGTCAGTGCGTCATGGAAGACTGTCTGTCTTATTTCCATTGTGGTCCTCAATCTTGTCCCCAAGGATGCGACCCACACCAGTTGACTAACACCCAGGTACCTATTTGCTGCTAGGTGAACAGGACAGGTGTAAGGAAACGTGTCGGAATGTTTCCATCCGCCGGGATCGAACCCGGGCCCTCCGTGTGTGAAACGGGAGCTTTAGCCACCAGGCCACCCTGGAGGGCTAGTAATCCAAGGGCACCCTACAGGGCTAGTAACCCAGGGTAACCCTGGAGGGCTAGTAACCCAGGGTAACCCTGGAGGACTAGTAACCCAGGGTAACATCCGGAGAGTTATTAACCCAGTGTAACACTGGAGGGCTAGTAACCCAAGGGTAACCCTGGAGGGCTAGTAACCCAGGGTAACTCCTGGAGAGGTATTAACCCAGTGTAACCCTGGAGGGCTAGTAACCCATGGTAACCCTGGAGGGCTAATAACCCAGGGCAACCCTGGAGGGCTAGTAACCTAAGGTAACCCTGGAGGGCTAGTAACCTTATCTTATCTCTCACAGCTCACTAAAATAGGCATTAGTTATAGTGATCCCGTATAAGAGAGAGACTGAGGTCTGACAGGTGTCGTTTGTTGATCAACGGTTGGGCAGTGGATCGAAGTAAAGGTGTTTCTGGCCCACTTACCACCTCTACCCACCGATTTCTCTTGCCCTGTGAGTGAGCCCACACCCCGCCCTCACCTCTCTCCTCATCACGCCCATCATCGGGACTAAATGGGTGCTATCAGGGGTGGTAGACTGATCCTGGTGCTCGATAGATGAGGGGTGGGCGAGGTGGTCTATTGCGGTTCTCTTCTATGTCTGTTGTGAATCTATCGAGCCTCTATGTAGACCATGTCGATTTTGGGGGGTAGATGATCCTGGTTCTTGATAGATGATGGGTGTGAGACGTGGTCTATTGCAGGTCTATTCTAAGTCTATTCCATGTATGTTGTGAATCTATCGAGTCAGTGTAAGCCCTCAACATTTTGATAATTTTCTAAGTGTTGTTAAGAGTGGCTAAACAGTATCTCTTGTTTAGGAATTATAAGAATATTTTAGGTTATAAAAAGACACTTTTTTATTTATGTATGAACCATATACATTATCTTTAATTCTAATTAGTTGTATTATAATTATTTATGTATATGGCTTAAATAAGAAACTGAACTGTGAAGTGTAGTAGAGTCGCCTCACATCTGATGGACTCGAGTTTGATTAAGTAAGTTTATTTAGGCACAGGTATACATACGTACAATTATCATACATAGTGTAAATTACTTAAAACAAATAAAAAAAGTAAGATAAAGTGACTTATTTTCAGGGACCCCAATGGAAATAAGTCACTTTGACTTCTTTGGGTTATCTAAGGTAATCTACACATATGTTGCTATGTATGATAATCTGTGTAACTGTATTTATGTGAACCTGTACCTGAATAAACTTACTTATTTCTACTGGGGGGGGGGGCCATGTTCCCACCATGATTAGAAACTGGCATGTTTCCGTACACCTGTTGCCCTTGTTCATGTAGCAGTAAGTGAGTAATTAGGTGATAGCTGACTTGTGTGGGTCACATCGTGGGAAGAAGATCGTTGAACTCCAGTGGAAATAAAGTCAACTCGTGGCTTGATTGGTAGCATCCTCTAATCACACACTGAGGGATCAGGTGGCAAGTCAGCATTTAGTATTGCAGCATGGCCAGTCACAGAACATAAACAAATGCAGTAGATATTAACAAAGACCTCTGGTGCAGTAAGGTTAAGTTATGTTAGGCTATTTAGGTTGGGTTAAGTTGGTTTCCTCTAGGTTAGATTACGTTTCTTACCATTCGCGCAGTAAAATAGTTGAGATGTAAAGCCAATTTGATATATACTGTAATTCAAGCATCATTATTAAAGCTGTTAGCTGATGGGGAGCTTTCAGCATTTTCAGGCAGGATGTTTCATAATTTTTTTTTATTTGCATGGCGTTTCTGAGCAGGCTAAGTCATATACAAGCAATAATGCAAGACAAACTTTATTTCTGTAAAGTGGAATACAGTTTATTACTCAGTTAAGGTGATTGATGTACATGACTATAGAAAGTCCCTAGATATGCATAGCCTTTTGGGGAGCCTTAAAATGTGGAATTAAAAAAGATACCTGTTTCTTCTGTTGTGTCCATGTGTTCCATTGCAGCTCTCCAAAAAGAGGTTAAGCTCTGGCTAATGTTTGTATTGAGTGTCTTGTATACATAGAATGCACAGTAGAAAGTGCGAATATTTTATATGTTAAGCAAATTTAAACCTCTGAGTTAGATGGGTGTGTGTTGCCTGGACACTGGATAAGTGATTATTCTGAGATAATTTTTAATGAGTGGCTCGGTAGGCTACGGTGTCCCATGTCTTGATAGGCAACACTTACCTCACACACTTGAGTGTCCATGGTTCAATCCCCAGCATGGGAGGAAACATTATATCTTTATTTCTACAAGTACATGTGCAAGGTATACAGACCTTGCTGACATCAATGACATACTACTTCATACAAATCTGCTTGTTATGCAGAGTGTTTCAGAAAAATTTGGTTAATTTTGTCCCAGGATGCGACCCACACTAGTTGACTAACACCCAGGTACCCACTTTACTGATGGGTGAACATAGGCAACTGGTGTAAGGAAACACGCCCAATGTTTCTACCCTTGCCGGGAATCAAACCCAGACCCTCACCGTGTGAAGCGAGAGCTTTTGCCACCAGGCCATGGGCCACCATGGCTACTGTCAGTGTTCACCTAGGTACCTGGGTGTTAGTTGACTGGTGTGAGTTGCATACTGGGGGACAAGATTAAAGAACCCCAATGGAAATCTTATGCCACATTTTAAGAAAGTCAAACTTGGATTTATTTTTATCACTAAGAACTGTTAATAACTTTAATTCTTAGTCACTACAGAGTACCATACTGGCTTAGCATTTAATGTACCATTCAAATAATTTGCAGTATTAAACAAAATATTGTAAATGTGTAACTACTGTATCAGTACTGTTAAGGTATTAATGTTTTGTATAAAAGATGTATTTGTTTCAGATACTGTACATACTACCAGCTTTGCAGTATTGGTGCTATTAGATCCCATTGCCTGGTTTCATGCTTCACAATCTAGCCTTTGGAAGAAAGTCTTCTCTACCTGCAGGAATGGCAGTAAAGTAAGTAAAATCAGTATATACTAAGCATGTTATATTTAAGATTGCTCAAGTTGTTCCCTTGAACAAGTTCTTGCTATTGTATTAGGAGGACATTGAATATTAGATTTTAAAGTTGGGGCTGAAAAATATATTAAAAGGCATTGTGAATAAGAATAACAGTTTTTGTGGAAGCATTGTAAATTCCAGTAATAATTATTTTGCACAGTATTTGATAGGTCTTTCCCCTCCCTTGTTCTACAGTTTTAATCATTGAGTTGGGAGTGATGAAATAGCTACACATTTTATATAGGGAACAAGGGACTAGTAGCCCCTTCTCCAGTATAAATTACTAAATGTAAAAAGAATAAAACTTTTGTTTCTTCTTCTTCGGGTCACCGGTGGAAGATGGCCGATGTATTAAAAGAAAGTATTGATGTAGTTTTATGACAATTGTGTTATGATTGGAGGAAACTTGTTAGAGAATAAAATACCTTTTGTAAAATATTTTTATTACATGAAATAGTACAAAAGTTTTGTAATTAAAATGAACTTGTTTCTTTCATGTTAACCCTTAAACTGTCCAAGCAGATCTATGTTCACATGTGTAGTACTCCAAAAGTAGATCTACGTTTTTTTTACATATTTTCAAATATAACAAAAAAAAAAAACGTATATCAAAGTGTTTTTACACGTTTTCAAATATATAAAAAAAAAGATCTACTTTTTTACATACTTTCAAATGTTGAAAAAACGTAGATCTACGTTTGGACAGTTTAAGGGTTAATAAATGCATTTGGTAATGGATCCTCATAATATTTTAAGTTTAAGAAGTGATTCATTTGAACCAGCAGTTGATACTGCATTCTTATTCAACAATTAAATGTATTTTGATATTAGAACAGTGGTGTACTGCAGTAGCCCTACTGAACTATGAATAGGCACATCCTGTTATTCATCATCTTTTAATAACTGAATAAGAGGTACATTATTTTTTAAGACTAAATCCAGCATAATATTTTCCCTTGTATTATTCTTTACTATTTGTACTAAAAATATTGTTTTAGTACAACAAAATATTGGTCTTCATATGAAGTGGCAGATGATGAATGACTTTTACTATGTAATATAATTAACTCATACATAGCACTGAATCATGAAAGCTGAAGAGCAACACCCTCAACCTACTGCATTCTCCAGACTTCAGGATTGCTGTTGTCATAGCAGTGTTGACAGATTTTGAAACCCAAGTACTGTACTAACATAGGGAGAGGGAAGAGTAAATAATAGATGTATGTAGTACTGCTGTTATATCACAATACTAAGCCAGGTTACCCATGGGTCACCCTAGCAAGCCAGATCACTGGCCCTATTCAGTGTCACCTCAGGATGACTAGTCAACTTTTGAAAAGCACTGGTCTAGAGAATGTAAGTTCAGTTTTCTTGGTTCATTCTCACTGGAAAGATTTCTGATATTGGGGCTTAACTTTATCATTTTTCTCTATACATACATATGCAAAACAACCACTCTGAAAGAATAGGAATTTCTCTATTCTTTCAGAGTGGTTGTTTTGCATATTCTGAAATCACCTGTTTACTGTGATCTTATTGCATACATACATATATATACCATTCCATTTCATGGAGACCAGAACTTCACCACATAATCTAGATGGAGCAATCAGGTAGTTTTATTGCAAACATTATGCACTGTTGTCTTGGCCTTTGCTCATTTGCAGAGTCAATTTTTCTCATTTAAATTAATTGAAATGCAATTAATCCGTTCAAGTGAAATTCTGTACTTCAATAATTTCACTAATATCAACTTTACGGCTTATTTATCTATCTCAATTGATCCAATATGACATAATAAACAATATAAATAACATAGAAACCTTATATATACTCTAAAATTAATAAAATATGTAATTCATGTAGTGGTATGGGGGGTGTAAGCGGTGGACGACAGTTTGTCTGGAAACCGGGCAAAATACTTTTTGAATAATTTCGCTAATATCATCTATACGGCTTATTTATCTATCACAGTTCATCTAATATGACATAAACAATATAAATAACAAACAATATAAATAAACGAGAATACAACCATAAAAACCATACAAAAATTCCGCTAAGGGGTAGCTAATTGCTGAGAAGCGAACTCTATTATTTATGCTCCAATTTCTTTCATTTTTGGTGTACGTTAAGAAGCATTTTTCCATCATACATTGCCCAAGTTTCAATAAGATAGTCCAACAAACAGATGAGATATAATTCCCTAGATCAAGAGCAAGAGCCTCTCACCAGCATCAAGGAACCTCCCTTGAGGTCTGCTCGCTAATGGAAATTTTGCTCGCGTATGGAAGCAAAAAATCAACCCATCAACTGCTTGTATTTGGAAAAACTCGCACATGGATGTTCTTGCAAGTAGAGGTTCCACTGTATTTGTTTGCATTTGGTTTCATAACATAGTAATTTTTAAGTTTATTTGTGCAGCTATATTCTCTTTCCAGGATTAAAATATTTTTGCCTTTTTCTTTACCTGTAGCATCTATCAGTACAGTCTAGCAGTGGTACCTTCAACTGAGCTGGCTACCACAATGTTGCCAGCCCTTTCCCAGAAAGACGCACCCTATATCTTGCATACATGTTATATTTGTTATTATCCCTCTTGTCAATGAACATTATTGTTTTTTCTTTGTAGTACTTTTTCATCTAGCAATTTATACCACTTGTCAAGACTTGCAATTTATACCACTTGTCACTACCTCCTACTCTTTTTTTATGAATTTTTTTAAATGATTGGAATATACTTTGTTTGTCAATAAAAAAATGTTTTTTTTTTTTTGTAACTTTAGACTTGTGTCTCAAGATCCTTTTTTTTTTTTCAGGTCAGGATATGCTGTTCAAGATAAAAAGGAAATTTTGCTAAGTATTGAATATCAAGATGTAAATCCATTATATTGAGGTCTGAAGAAATACACCATACACAAGATTTTTCTTATAGTTTTGAATATTTTGAACTAAATGAAAAATCTGTCAAAACATGTACTTCATAGAATATCTTAAATATTTAAATATCCTGCTGCAGGATGGTTGACTGGGATACTGGTAACTCAAAACTGCATGCAAGAAGAATGCATACAGTTTTAGAAGACTCCAGCTCTTTTCTAGTAGGCAAAATGTTTCAAGATGATGAAGTTGAGCTTAATGTAATGGATTTTGTTGAAACAGAGTACAAACCTGATAAATGTGATGATAAAAGAATTAGACGAAGTCTGTCAGTTAACTCGGAAAATTATAGACAACGAACAGTAAAGACTGACTTTAAAGACTCATATGGTGGCACAAATGAGAGATACAATACTAGAATAAATTCCTTACAACCTACTACAAACCAAATAATAAACAGAAAAAAGAAAAAGAAATCTACACTACGTCCTACTTTGGCAGTGGAACAAAATAATGATGTAGATATTTCATTGCATTTTCCTTATGCAACTTACCTAAAAAGCCTTTGTGATGAAGTAGGGGATGTTCAAAGCCCAATGTCAGATTCCTTTCACTCAAAAATATTTGACCAGCTTCGTCGTGCTGATGTACATTATCCGTATGCATCTCTTTTGGAAGAACTTCACCAAAGTGTTGAAGTTAAGGCTACCAACATTCCGTCCACAATAGAAGACACATATCAGCAGGAATCTCATGAGTTGGGAATTGCTGATGTTATGAGAAGCCTTCACCATCCAACTACAGTGAATGAGAATTCTAAGAATGTACAGGATTCTCATATAGAGAGCTTTGATGCACCCTTTAGCACCATGCTGTTGGGTATGGTTATGCAGCAAAAAATTCAAGATTATGCACGTAATCATTTCAATAAAGTAAACACAGTCGGTGATTTCCGTGGAATAGGTGAGGTCTTGAAAACCTACATGCCAAAGTCACAAAGTGATGACCCTCCCCCAAGTGAACTTCATTTCTCTTCATTATTACAGAAATTTTCACTTTTTGCACAAGATAAAGTGATGCAAGGAACTAACTCATTTCATGAAAGCAGCGATGAGGAGCATGAGCAAATCTTGCTATGGTCTACATCTGAATCATCTCATAGTGAAGATGATGATTTTGAATGGAAGCCAACAAGTTGGAAGGCCAAACAAGTGACCAATGTTGTAAACATTCCTAAGAAACGAAAATCGAAATCTAGGAGAAAGAAAAAGAGGGTAGTTAAAACTGATTATTCAAAGTCAAATGTTCCTAGCTCCTCTCAAAATTATTTTAATTGCACTGGTCAGAAACATTCAAGTTACTCAGGAAAAGCTGAAAGTGATTCGAATACCTCATCAGCACCATCATCCAGGCTCCTGCAACTTATTATGGGAAATATTCAGAATACTCCAGAGGAACCTACAATTGAGAGGCCACATAAAGTCTTGCAAACAGAGGAAATAAAAAATATGTATAGATGTAATGTTAGACGTAGTAAAAGAAAAGCCAAAAGAAACAATACTCCAAACTACATAGAGAAAGATAGTATTAATTTAAAAAATAAGGTGCAAGATAATGATGACAGCTTAAAATGCAAACAAAACAAGCAACTCAAAGAAGAAGTTTTATCAGTGAGTAATAGCGAAGCAGAAAATAACGCAGTAGATAACCCACCATGTAGCATAAAATCAAGTGAACCTCAGTCTCTCTTGAAAGAATATCTTTTAAAGCCAGCTGGAGAGGAGAGAATACAGACAGAGAACTGTGATATACCAAAAGTTGAAACAAATTTTCTGTTTAGTCGTTTATTGCAAAATTTTAAAAGTTTAGCTGAATCTAGCCATTCTGATAATTCTGAAAGAAGACAAAGTTGCACTGGTCCCAGTATCTTGCGAGGAATGCTTGTTGGAGGAAACAGTAATGAACTCGACAGAATAAATTGTACAGAGGAAGAAACGCAAGACAAAAATAACTTTATTGAACATATAGATCTTTCAACCATTCAAGAATGTTCTTCCAAAGATTCTCTTTTTGAAAGCAGTGGTTCTGTATGCAAAGTTAAGTATGAACAAGACATCAAAATTGAGTTTGAGGAAGATGTCCTTTGTAAAATTGAATGTGACGAAGATAATTTTGAATGTCAAGTTTGTCACCTTCAGTTTTCTTCTGTAGTAGATCTTTCCAACCACCAAATACTGTTTCACTGTAATGAAGATCCTCAGACTTCCAACTCCCACAAATTATTGCCATGTAATGTTGATGGTCTGCAGAATAATGTGCTCCAGGAGAAATTGCCAGCCTGACATTGGACTCTGATGGTGCATTATTTAACTGTGCTTCCCACAATAATTCATTTATCATGCCAGGCTGGCACTCCACATGTGCACTGTGCAATATGTACAAATATTTTAGGATAAGTATATAGTGTTTTTTGTTATAAATTCTATAAATATGTATTTAACAGAAAATATTGAATTTTTATATTAGTGTCTTGAAGAGGCAAATTATAATTGAATTATTTACTATATATATTTGTGGTACAGCTACTTGGTGTTAAGACTGAGTCCGTCCATAGAAAACAGCCTGTTGTGTAAGTAAAATGTTCTTTCAGTTAAAGGCTGTTATTCAGGAAGTGCGTGCAATTATATACTAGCTAAATACTGTACAGTTTATTTAGCGTGTTTTAGAGTGAAATGTCGTGTTTGTCTCAATTGGGTGTGAAGTTCGTTTCTTTCATTAGTGTCCCTACATTTTTAAAGTGAATTATGTGTTAGTAGCATCCTGTGTTTTAATAAAACAGATGTAGGTTTGGGTATAGCCAAGAATATATTAATTATTGATACATAAGCAGTAGTTTTATCAGATACAGTATGCTGTGTGTATGATACAGCTGTTGTCATGTTTACTATACATACAAATAAAATCATTGGCATTTAAGAACTGTTAAAGTACAGTATTTTAAATATTAATACATCAGTTAAAATATAAATGAGATATATTTCTTATATATTAAGATGGAGTAACTAAAGATATTTGATTTAATGATGCTTTTATAATGCCAAAGAAATTTTATTGGTTAAAACTATTTATTGTCTGTAATATATTGATCTCATTGACTGCATTGCATTCATGATCCAAGATGAAATATAATGCTCATATATGGGTTTTGTATCCATTTTTATATTGGTATATATTTTGCCTAAAATGTTAATATTTTCCTTGTTTAAATCTACTTCAGTTATTTTTTTTCTGTTACCTAGTATTCAGTACTCTTTTAAGTATTATAGTGGAACTCAAGAGAAATTAAAAAAAAAAAATATTTATTGGTTTTAATAGATGCAGTGCTCTATATTATGTAGGAACTAGTAATTAAAACCACACATACACGATATAATATTTGCTATGACAAAATATATTTATTAGTACAGGACTGTAATGGAATTGTATCAACATCTTGGTGGAAATTAAAATCTTTGAATTATTAAATTAATCAAAAATTGGAAATCTGCCATTAAAATGAAGTACATGTATTGATATTTTAAAATCATTTTTATATTCAATTAATATTATAATACTGTACATACGTACATCATAGTACAGGTAATAATTCAGTACTTGAATTACAGTAGCCCCAAACATGTGGCTACCCTCTTTGGCACATATTTCATAAAATGAAGCTAGTTTGCATGTGTCATAAGCTGGTCTTGTGAAGTTAGTTAATGTGTATAGCTGAATCAGGATAAGAACGCACAATAGTTTTGCATCTGTTAGTAGAAAAGGTTTGCCATTTTTTTTTTTTTTTTTGACCTTTTCTTCATTCTGTAGTAGTACACATTGATCAGACTATTTTTTTGGAATCTCCATAAATTAATTATAAAAAGTTTTCTTTTCAAGCAGGATTGATCATCTATAGGAATTAGCCCTGTACTAAATTAAAAGCTTTGAGGGATGTGACTGGCTTTTCACCATGAGTACTCTTTGTGTCTTTTATATTTATTTTTGTTGCCCACCCTACTGTAAGGCTTTGTGGTACAGTTATCAGCTTATATTAAATCCCTTTTAAATATTGTGTATTGTCAAGAAAGAATAAAAAGTCACAATACCGTGGCTGGAACAATACACAAATAACCCGCACTTAGGAGACAAACTGACGACAATCCTTCATTCTGACTTGGACCATTAACAAGTCACACAGAAGTGAGAAGGGAAAGGGGCCATAATATATACAAGAGGGTTGGGAGAAGACAGTAGTAGTGGTGGCAATAGAACTAGTGCAGCAGTGGTAGAGGTAGAAATAAGAAGGTAATACTAGTAGTAATAATAGTGAAAAAAAATCACCAGAAGCTACTGATACTTCAGGTATCTACTCCATTTCCTGCTCTTCTCATTCTTTCCAATACTTTGGAGAAATTGACCACTCTTCCTGAGAGACTTGAAGAGCACAAAAGCATTAGCCTAAATGACACAACAAAGCTCTTTTCTGTCTTGTTAAGAAATTACAGTCATCCTGTTAACTAGTCCTCTGCCTTCACAGACACCATCTTGTTGATTCATCCCTTATACACAACATTCCTAATATGAATCTTAGTCTTGGTTTTGTCTCTATAGATGCCCTCCTTTCTCATTACATTGTCAAAGTACTCTAAATGCCAGAACACGTATAATTTGACCAGACTTGTCTCCCTGTCCTTACCTCTTTGCTGTTCCTTTATTTTCATTGCCTTCCCTGTCTTCTGCCTAGGTGGGTTTTGCACTATGGTAATTTTGTCCTGCAGGGGATTTTGGCCTAATTTGTTATTATAGACTACCATGGCTATTACTACTACCACTACTGTTTATTCACTAATATTACACTCTTTCCTTATTTTTTTACCCACCACTACCACTACTGCTGCTGCTGCTGCTGTTGCTACTACCACCTTATTTCTATCTTTACTGCTTCTGCACTGCCTCTTCTGTTACCACTACAACTACCAGTACTACAACCATCTCTACCACCACTATCTCTGATGCTGCTGCTACCATTACCATCACCACTACCACTGCTCCCATCATCACCACTGTTCTACCACTCCCTTTCATTCATATACAGATCCCTTTCCCTTCTCACTTCTCTGTGTGACTCATTAACAGTCAAAGTCAGATTAATAATAATAACAATTCTATTTTAGAATGATACATGTGTGTACAAAGGAGTGTAACAATTTGGTGAACATGCCAAAAGCCCCTTTATATGCAGAGCATTTCGGGCAAACTTAAGACTAACTTAAAATCAGATTGAAATGTCACCATAAATTTCAGCCTCCTAAGTGCAGGTCATCAAATTTATTATGTACTCTTATTTATTTTCTATTTAGCTAAATCTTTGTTTATTGTTACTAGAATTTTAAACAGCGTATGTTCGTTTTAAATATATATGTATATATATAGAAATTGGTACCTGCACTATGTTTAGCAAGAAATGTTATTTGGGATTAGATTTGATGGAGTTTGGTGTTCTGTATTTAAGAATCATGAAAGTTACAGCAAAATGCTAATATTATGGAATTATGTTTAGATTAATTTTGTAGGTCCTGTCTCAACTGTTAATTATAGTTTTTACCCATAATCAGAAAACTTCACTTGTAAAACACTACATGCCACACATCAATTTCCTGTTCTTTTGATATTACCAAATTCAATAATGATCATCCCTTTCTTATTTTATTTTAACATTATTAATTCTTTAGCAAGCTGTTGTTATTTACAGTCACTGAATATACATTTGTTATTAATACTTTTATTATGTCATGAACATAGTTTAAGAAACCTGTTAATTAACTTGCACTCTGGCAGTCCTCCCAGTGTGTAAGTCAGTTAACACAAATCTTACAGATTTTTGCTTACATTTTGTATATATTGATATTTACTTTCCATGTGTTTCTTAATACAGTAGTTCTTATTCCTGTAATAGTTTCCAATTTATGAGGTCTGGTCCAAGACCTGGCCACAAGGGCAAGGGTCTCCAGAACCATAAACAGATATTTACAGATCCATCCAACACACATTCTTTCTCTTGGTTTTTCCTTCAACATATTAACATTTGATCCATGTTATCAGTCCTACAGGTTTCTGCTTATTCCTTATCGTACTAGCATTGTTGGTACCAGAGAAGAGATGTGAACTCAGTGCACTGGTTTAAACATTTTCTGAATGCTTGAACCACATGAAGACTCATCACTGCGACCTGATCATGAAGCATATAAAACTTGGTAATACTGCATATGATTATAACCTGAAAGGTCATCAGTAATTGCTTAAAAAGTTTCTTAAAAATTTATTTTATTGGACTGTCATAATGAATATTCTACTTTGCCATTCGCCAGTAAATTGTTATTCATTTATTGAAGTTTTGGCAATCACTTGTATGTTAATAGCATCAAAATTCAAAATAATGACATTACAACTACTGTGATTACTATTTTAATTTGCATTGAATGGGCTCTTGCACTTGGACTAACCTTTTAGCTTTCAATTGACTGATGTAAATTAGCTCTTATAGTGTTTGAACCCATGAATGGTATGTGCCATATAACAGAATAAAGAGCAGATGAAGATGTCTAATAAAAATATATTTTATTTTTCTTGTAAGTGTAAATAAACTTAAAATATTGCATGCATATTAGGTACAGTGAAAGCTCTCTTATCTTAAGAAAAGGAAGGGAGAAAGGATAAGAGCCAGTAAGGATAATCTGCATATCCTGATACAGTAGGGCCCCACTTTACAGCATTTCACTCTACAATATTTAGCTAATACAGTAGTTTTCAGTTATACCCATATATCATTTATTCAGACTTTCAACAATATATTCACTACTCACTACAGTCGGCCATCACTAATCCAGCAGTCAGTTATCTGGTTCCATCAGTAATCCGGCACTAATTTCGGCTAGCATAATTTCAAATTTCATCATTATACTGACTCAAATTTCATCATTGTACCAATTCAGAAATTGTGCAGATGGTTGTAAATCCACAGCAGCAAGCCAGTGGAGGAGAAAGTAGTGATGAAAATCAGGAAGTTGTAGCAGAAAGCGTCTCTGTTGATAGGTTAATTAAGTGTATTCTAACCTAACCATTCTGTAATCCGGCAAACTCACTTATCCGGCACACTACAGGTCCCAGTGATGCTGGATTAGTGATGGCTGACCTGTATTAGCTACGGATGAAAATATTTTAAGGTAAGTAATGCCTAACTATATTGCTCACTTTATATATTATAGTGTAAACATGTTGTCAGGCTTTTATATGCATTTGAAAACTATGATTCACTTTACAGTGATTTTTGCTTTAAAGAAGCAGGCTAGACCCTAACCTGTATAAATGGGGCCTTCCTGTACTTGTTTCATTATTATGTAAACCACCCATATGCATTTTTTTATGCGGATGAAGGTCTCATGATCCAAAGCATTTGCGCTGCTCTCCCTCTCCTTGGATCAAATCCAAGGAGAGGGAGAGCATTTTCCTGACACTGTCTCATATGGCTGAGGAGCTGTTGTTGAGGTGGTTTAAGTATTTAGAGGATGGAGAATATAATGACTAAGGGGGTATATAAATCTGGGGTGAAAGAGAGTGGGTAAAGGAGGTTTTGAGTGCTAGGGGGTTCAGTATCCAACATACATGTGTGTGTGTGTGTGTGTGTATGCTAGATCAGAGTGGAGACAAGTGGGTTTATTGGCTGGTAAGCAAGATTTTAGTCCTGGAAGTGGGGAAATGCAGTGCCTGCACTCGGGAATGGGGTGGGGATGTTGGAGTTTGGGGAATCATCTGAACTGTGTCATCACTCTTCTGATAAAGATATCGATTGAAAAAAACTATGGTTGTGTTTTTTTTTTTGGGGGGGGGAGGGATTCATCCTACATCAGTGGGAGATGGCCAATGCGTAAAAAAAAAAAAAATCTTATTTTAGCTGATGTCGTTGTCTTTGGTATGTGATCAGTGAAACTATGCCAATTTTTTTTTTCATATCTGGAATGGCAGGTGGGAATTCACCGGGATTCATCATGGCAGAGCATTACTTTAGAGAGTATTCCCATGCACTGAATAATTCTCTGAGTTAAGTGCTTCCACATAAATATAATAATAATAATATTAATAATACTAACAATAGAGAGCATTTACTGTGCATGACAAATTTCATAATTTGAGATACAGGTTTTCTTTATGAAATCACTGGCTTATTGCTGATCTAATTTGCTTTTTAGGGGGAATAAAAAAATCGCTTAAAAAATATTTAAGAATCATATTGCTATTTAACTATCAATCTTTATTTTCAGGCATTTGTTAACCTTACTGGAAAAGGGTAAGAAATTAGTTTTGCTTTTCTTTTATCGAGTACTTGCTACTTGTGTAGACTGTAGTCACTATAATACGGAACAAATTGCCTTAGAGGATAGTGTACAGTACAGTATATGGTTTCTGTATAGCTTGCTCTTAATTCTCTTGTCATACAAGCAGAACCGATCACTGCAGATAGCATAAAGGTGTTTAAAAAAATTCTTTATTATAATTACCCCCTATATTTTTTTTTAAGTTAGTCAAGCATTGGTCTTGTATTTTTTGTCCTGCATACCACATTAGGAAGATACTCTTAGATTTAAAGTAATTTATTACTGGTTTTTCATAAGTATGAAAATCTTAATCTTTCAGTTGCCAATCATCTAATTAATAATTGCTTCTTCATAAAAAATTTCAAGCATGTTGCAGAAACCTGTTCAAATCCATCTTACGCTGTTTACAGTATTTTTAATGAATAGCAGATAAATTTTGAACCAAAAAACACAACTCGTAAGCATGAATTTCCAGTAGTAACCATTAAGTAAAGATAAAGCTGATTGCATTTTACTTCCCAGTTAGTCTGTCAAGATGGAGATGTTTGCTTTATGGTGTTGACCAATATCCTTGATATTATTATATTCATGAGATGTTAAACCTTTAGGAGTCACACAGTACCTTTGGAATTGTAAGTGCAGTACTGTAATCAGGTTCAAACCAAGGAAGGGAAGGGTGGTTCAAATTCCTTGAATCAAGAGTCCTCCATCTACATCAAGATACCTTTAAAAGGGTATATCTTCTTGCCAGTGTCATTCCTTTGGTGCTCTCCAATTCCTTGCATCGAGTCTGAATGCCTTCCATTTCCCTAGGTGCTATATAACACCTACAGGTTTAGCACTTTTCCCATGAATGTAATGATTTCCTTTGATTCATCTGCATTTTGCAGTTCTTGTACCTCTGCTATGTAGCACAAATTACCTTTGCATATTTAGTGCTTTTTGAATACAGTGTTAACATTTAGAACTCAATTGTTCTTCAGGGGGTTGTATTATGCAGAATCATCTCCAGGTATTTTTGCTCCCTATAAGTGTTCAGCTGAACCTACTTAAAAACTTATTCCTATTTTGGGAGCTAATAAACCCTTCTTAAGACTTTTCATGCAGCCCTACTTCTGTCCAGGAGGCTACAGAGATGTAGTGTATTCCTCAGCCTTCTCAGCAGTTCATCATCAGGGATTATCTTTATGTCTAGAGGACTTTTGGTGTTTCCTAGTTGAACACCTGTAAACAGAAGCAAACATCCCCTCTTTGCAAGATCGACATTATGCCCATTGCCTTTGTTATTTTGTGTTTCCATAACAAGCGAAAAGAATAATCACAAATGTTAGTAAGATTAATTCATTAATTACCAATTCCATTTATTACTTTTTTAATCTCTGCATTGGAACTCTAGCAGTGTCTCAAAATTTATCCCACTTTACATTCACTCCATATTGTACTTTTTCCTCTCTGTGGGAGGTTCCAATAATTAAAGTTTATTCTTTACCTCTTTCCATGTCAGGTCTATTTATCTACTACAAACTCGTGCTCAATTTTGCAGTCACATTCTCATGCTATGGTAGTGTACATCAGTGGCTCCAAATCCTCAGAAGGAATAAGGTACAGTGCTGTTTTTCCAGATACAGTAATCCAAGGACATTTATTAAGTCAGCTAGTAACTACTGTATCATACTGATGTTAATTTTTTACTTTCACTAATTTTTAACCACATTAACCCCTGCCCTTACAGCCTTACTTCTCAAGGTGCCTTTTATGTTGGCAAGGGACCTTTGATCCAAGGAACTGGACAAATCTTCCCCTTCCTTGGATCAGATCTAATCCAAGGAAGGTACTGCATGGCCCTTATGTGTTTAATGGTTCCCTCAAAATCAGTGTAATAATAATAATAATTTTGTCTAATTAAAATAAAAATTTAACAATTTCTAACCATTTAAAAATTAAGCAGATAAAAAATGGTCACAGGTCAAGACTAAGAGTTTACATATCAGCTGCTGCTGTTGCTGCTTGTGCCAACAAAGTAATATTTACATTTCTATTTCTTGCATCTTCTGAACAACACAAATGTATTGTCTTGTATATATTTATAAATGTTTGTTACTGTCCTTGCTTTGTTCAGCATTTATGACTGAAATGTCTAGTACCTAATGTTGAGCTGCAGTTCATTGTTTAGATATTAGCCACAATTAAAGTAGAGAAGACTCAGATGTTCACAGTACGTAAAAAAGAACACATTAGTTATAGAAATTAAAGTACAGTATTTAATGTTGTTGAAAGTGTTATGAATTGTATTCCTTTACCTTTATAATTTTATTTGTCCCTATTTGTTATTATAATTCCTGTAAATATATTTGTAATATCAGTACACAATTAATTTCAGTGCCATAAGATTTAATGATGATTCATCTTAAGATGTGTCATCCTAGGAAAAAGTAATCGCCATGATAAAAGCTTGATTATAGTACAACTGTGCATAATTTTGTACAAGTCATTACCTGTTATGAAAGTGAGAATGGATACCAAAAGGAAGAATGTTGAATTATGATGACAGAATTGAAAGTGGTAACTGTAAAAAAAAAATATTTTGTGATAAGAAGTGTTGAATCATATATTTTTTGTATAAATATAATAATAATGTGATATTAAGCAATATAGTAAGGTATATTGTGAGGTCAAGATAATGTAGAGACAGAAGTCAATATTTTATTTTTTTAAAGAAATGTTTTTATTATACAGTAATGTTGGTTTGACTGAAAAGGAAATGGTAATTGCTAAAAATAGAAATATAGTTTCAGTGAAGAAGAGTTGAAAGGTACTTTAGACACAAATCACAAGATAAGCTATGCTATAAGGCACATATGACAATAATGATGTACTTTCTGTGTAATAGACCACTCTTCCCTCACATCATAGCCTGTTCTTGAAGAAGTCATATCCTTTGCAAAAATGTCATTGTGTAAAAAACTCCAGATCTATTACAAGTACAGTATTCCACTGAGTAAAATGCATTTGTGTATCAAATGATGATGATGATGATAAAAAAATGGTATCTGGACCTAAAGCCTGTAGCAGCTTCATCAACCTAAATGCAACCACAGAAACAAAAATCAAACATAAAAATAAAATTATTTTTGGATCCATATAAAGAATCTTTCAATTGGTCTCTACAATACACTGATTATCTTCTGTGTAATCCTGCATGAAATAGTTTGAGATATAGAGGTAGGGAATTTCAAATTAATTTTGTGTCTGTTTTTTGCATTGGGACATAAATGGGGAATTTTAAGAGGCTTCTTTATGAAGTGTACATTTCATCCTTTATGCACCAATTAAAAAAGTTCAATAATGTAAATTTATATACAGAATGGATTTGTGGAATCTTTTAGGCTAGGATCCACAGCAGTGCAATATTATTACTGTATATTAAAAAAACAAGTGCCAAATCTGTATAAGTCATCCTGCAACAGTGTAACAAGATGTCAGTTTTTTTTTTTTTTTCCCAGAAAAAATCACGAAGCACTCTTAATATGATTGCTGTATGACTCGTATGGTTTTAGCATACATTTTTTTAATAGAATAATAACCATATGGTAACCCACTCATACAGTAGGATGAGAATTACCATACATAGTAGTTATATTCTTGGGGAAGCACTAAACTCATGAGGCCATACAGTTAATTGGGAATGAGAGGCAATCAAGTTTCATTCAGAGAAGTGGAAGGCAGATCCAAGTCTTTGGATTAAAAGATTTTCACCAGCATGAAGGTACCACCATCTCCTTTCTTGAAGGAAGTGGATTACAGTATGTAAAGGATATGAAGTCAAGTGAATCAAGATTTGAAAATAATGCATTGTAGTAGTGAGTGATAGGATACTGGTGTATATTTTGATTCAGACCCAAAGATGGTTGAAAATTAAATTGTGAACAATGAGTTTACTTGAAAAAAAAAATAGATATTAAAAATTGTTGGTTGGCACTGTATGATCCATTCAGGTTTAGAGCTTTCCATGAATATAAGAATAATACAAAGTGTTGGAAGGTATGGAGTGCAAGTTAACTGAGATTGTAACATATTAGCAGGTGTGTAGATCAGAGGTAAAGCACTAAAATAGTATTCAGATGAAAGAAACTTTAAAAGAAAGGTTAAGAAAATGTAATGATCTACAGTACTTACATTATACTAATACAGGTTGAAATGTTAATAATATGAAAAGTTAGGTATTTCTCATCAGTACCATTTCACTTGTGAATAATATCAATGAAATTTTAGTAAAAAAGATTAACACTGATTTTTGGAAAATGTCATTGATAAATTATGTAAAACATTTGGTACAAGTTCATAAGTTTCATCAGTATGTAAGAGAATATGACGGAGGAATTGAACTACTGTACCTACAACATTAGTTCTTATTGACATCAGTGTTAACTGGAAACTCTTAAAAATTCAACTTTTATGACAGTGGCTCCTATCTCAGTTGATGGATCATTTACATCTTCATGGAGGTTGTAATGTTGCTGTGATAGCAGTAGTTTGATTCCTGTGATTAATTTCTCATCATATTCCTTTCATGTGATTATGAAATATGAACATCAAAATGGTATACAATACCGACAGGTTGTTAGGTAAGACACATATGCAACAGTTAGACAACTTTATTCCGAAACGTTTCGCCTACACAGTAGGCTTCTTCAGTCGAATACAGAAAGTAGGCAGGAACAGTAGAGATGTGAAGACGATGTAATCAGATAGTTCCTGACTATGGAACTGAACTTCTCCAGGCCGAGGGACTGACAACCTCAAATTCTACGACTTTAAGGGTGATGGACTGATTACATCGTCTTCACATCTCTACGGTTCCTGCCTACTTTCTGTATTCGACTGAAGAAGCCTACTGTGTAGGCGAAACGTTTCGGAATAAAGTTGTCTAACTGTTGCATATGTGTCTTACCTAACGATTATGAAATATGTTGCATAAGGGAAATTAATTTTTTAATACTTTGGTATTGTACAGTATTTATTTTCCATAATTGGTTAAAGATATTAGAAAATAATCTAAGAATGCTTTAAGATTTTAATATATAAAAAATATAAACTGCCTCTTTTTGTGCCAGATTTGTTGAAGAATGCAGATTCAATTGTTTAAACCATTTTCCAAAGCAGAATGGAACCAACAAGCTGTAACAGCTTGTCGGTTTCATTCACTCTGGTCTCCTTTATTGTATAACCCATTTGGGTATAGAGTTTTTCTGAATACATACTGTATAATAATTGGGCCTCAATTAGAATGGAATATGATTTTATTCATGAGGAAGCACTAAACCTGTGTCATACAGCTCTAAAATGGTGATGCTTAATTCCTCCATTTCTTCAAGGAGGGATGAGGTAGGGGCTTTGATGCTTGAAGGGCCATTGACCCATAGAATTGAAACTGATCTTACCTTCATATCAACTTTCATAGTATACATAGTAGAACCCGTATCCCTGGATTCGGTTTCATTTATCCGCTGTTTATCATGGCCCGAAATATTAAATGGAAAATGCCAGAAATGAAAGATTCATAAGTTTCAAATTGTGTGCCATGTTGGGCTCGGTACGTGATTCATCTCTCTTCTCTATACCCGCACTGGTCCGCTTTACTTGCACCCAGTTAGCCTCTAGCATTCTTGCTGTCCGCATTTGTTGCCATGCTGTGATTCGCATGTCGGTTTACGTGCGGCCAGCAGTAAAGGCCTGGTTGATCAGGTCCTGATCCACCACGAGGCTTGGTCATGCACCAGTCCGTGGGGGCATTGACCCCCGGAACCCACCCCCAGGTATTTTAAGTTTTGGCTGTCCCCATTCATTCTTTGTAATAATTCCTTCACTGACAATACTACATAGACTGTGAGGAATTAGTGCTAGCCATCCTTCATAAAATATAAATTATTATAAAAAAGAAGTGCTAAACCCACAGGGGTCATACAGGGCTGACATAAAAATAAAATTATGTACAAAGACCACACAAGTGCAGTGACATTCATTTTTATTAAGATTTTTTTATAAACAAAGTTATAAGAAATTTACATACTCTGTACGGTATTAATTATACCACAAATAAATTATTTTTAATATTTCTGTTGTCCAGAGGGCTGAGGAAGGGTTGTTGAGGTGGTTCAGACATGTAGAGAGAATGGAGCGAGACAGAAAGACTTCAAGAGTGTATCAGTCTGTAGTGGAAGGAAGGCGGGGTAGGGGTCGGCCTAGGAAAGGTTGGAGGGAGGGGGTAAAGGAGGTTTTGTGTGCGAGGGGCTTGGACTTCCAGCAGGCATGCGTGAGCGTGTTTGATAGGAGTGAATGGAGACGAATGGTTTTTAATACTTGACGTGCTGTTGGAGTGTGAGAAAAGTAACATTTATGAAGGGGTTCAGGGAAACCGGCAGGCCGGACTTGAGTCCTGGAGATGGGAAGTACAGTGCCTGCACTCTGAAGGAGGGGTGTTAATGTTGCAGTTTAAAAACTGTAGTGTAAAGCACCCTTCTGGCAAGACAGTGATGGAGTGAATGATGGTGAAAGTTTTTCTTTTTCGGGCCACCCTGCCTTGGTGGGAATCGGCCAGTGTGATAATAATAATAATTTCAATATGCATAAAAAATAAGTGAGGTACCTTAAAGTTCATATGCAACTGAATACTGTGGGGGTCACTGAGAAGAATAATTAAAATAATTATTTTTTTTTGACATTTCTCCATTTATAAATGAACAGGCCTACTTGCAATGTCCAACAAAATGAGAATAATTTGTAATTTACAGCTGAAGGGCTCTTGTTCCAAGGAATTGGAGATAGTCTCCCCATCCTTGAATCAAATGTAAGTACTTCCCATTCCCTATTTACTATTACCCCAAGAGGTTTAATGATCTGAGAGTATAATAATGTACTCAGAGTAAATTATTATTATTATTATAATCAAAAAGAAGCGCTAAGCCACAAGGGCTATACAGCCCTACTCAGAGTAAAAAGGCACAATACTGTGATGGGAACAATACACAACCAACACATAGGAGAAGTAATAAATGTACTTCCTTAATATAAATTTTATATCCAGCAATAACAATATGCATTGTCATTGTAACACCAATGCTGTACAATACTTACTATAGCCAGTCACCTTCGTATTCTTTATCATATATATATACAGCTACTCAGTTGTGTTATTAAAAATAAGCCACCTAATTCCTCGGTGGGAGATGGCCAACATGTTGAATTTTTTTTTTTATAAAGTTAAACAAATTCCAGTTTGTGTTTAGCTTAATTTATTCTATTAGTACAGTATCAGTTTTCATAGCAATTTGGAAGAGTTCTGTACAGTACAGTATTATAGCTCAGTTGTTCATACACTTATACAAAAGTCTAACAGGCAGCGTACCAGTACTAGTTAATGATAAGAGTTCTGGCGTGTCAGGATGAGCAAGCATAACCAGCAGTCTCTTTCCAGTGCTCAAAGCTAAAAACCATGGTGTATGTTAATAACCTATCAACAATAGTAGCTTCCTATATATCCTTGTTTGCATTTGATGCCAAAATTGTGTGTATAAAAATGGAGGATGGTAGATAAGTGCAAGAAGACCTGGTTAGACATCAGGTATTATTGAACTAGTGGGTGCTAGAGTTTGACCCCAGTAAGAGCAAACTCATAAAACTGCAAGACTTGGGAATAAATATTACACCAAACTTATCTCCTGAAAAATAGAGAACATCAACAGCACCATCTAGGTTGATAAGCATAACAATGATATTCAGAAACCTAGACAAGGACTCCTTAATAACACTCTGTGACACATGTACTACCTATTTCTAAGTACACAGTGGCAGAATAGAATCCTCACCTGGTCAACCATATACCTTATGTCTACAACCACTCCCAAGAACTCTACTTGCTTGTGATTATTGTATGAATAGTGAAATGCTTAATAAAAGTTATGCTGTGTTTGGAGAATGGGAGGTAATGAAGTTTGATCCAGGAAATTTGTGTATGTTTTCTATACCCAGAGAAAGACTAGTTATTTTCCTTCCAGGAGATAAAGTGTCACTGGTTGCCTTGACCCAGATCTTGGCTTGACTGATGGTTCACCCCCAGAAGACATTTGTACCATTCCTGCAGTCTATCAAAGTCCTCTTGTAATATCTCATGATGAATGAAAGAAAAATAACCAATGTAAAACTCAAATAATGCGCATTCATCTTAATAAAATAATGAACTAACAGTAAAGATCTTTAGTTTTGTTCTTTGTGATACAGCAGAGGGAGAATGTACACACAAAATTTAATTTTAACGCTGCTAAAGAATATTCTATTGTTATCCCAATGATCAGTTTACCCTTCTAGTTATTATTATTACCAATAAATTTAAACCTGGAATTGTTCTTCCCATTACCATTACTAAATACTGTTGGTTTTTCAATGCATGTCTTTGGCTGTAGGAATGATCTTGGCTGTGGATTACTTAAAAGTCCCAGCCCAGTATTTGGTGGTCCTCTGGCAGATAATGTAGCATTACCTGAAGATTTTCCTCTTCCCTGACCTCCTCTTGTTCCTCTACCTCTTCCTGCCATAGAAGCTGCTGCTTTACTACGCGATGCCGCATAGCGTGAAGATGAAGCTTGACTACTATTGTAACTTGCCTCTTCATCTTTCCCTGTTTTAGTCTTCTTTGTTGGTCTTCCTCGACCAGCTGAGAATTTTCTTTTGCGCTTCGATCTAGAACACAGATTTCCTTAATCAATGTTAAAATAGATTTAAAGAATTATTGAAAATCTGTATAATGTCTTCATACAGAATATCATAATTTATCTGCAAAACATAATGAAAAATTTCTAAGAGACACAGTATGAGGGAAATTTTACAGTAAATTCACTCAACTTAACATGATACTAATAAGATTCTACCATACTTTCTGCTGCACACTATTCTCCAATACGAGAAAACCATAAACTCTGTAGTATTCTTGCATTAAGAGTACAGTAAGCAAAGCATACTCTCTTATTACACAGATGCAGCAATTATAAAAATAAAACTATGAGTACAGTAGGGCCTCGCCTTATGGTGTTCCGTTAATATGGACATTTCAAATTACAGTGGTACCTCGACTTACTAGTGCCCCAACTTTGGAGTTTTCAGTTACAAGCCGTCGCTCGGTTGATTTTTTGCTTTGAATTGCGAGCCAAAATCCTCTTTACAGTAACATACATATTTTTTTTTTAACACATCAGCCATCTCCCACCAAGGCAGGGTGGCCTGAGAGAAAAAAAACTTTCACCATCATTCACTCCATCACTGTCTTGTCAGAGGTGCACTTACACTAGTTAGAAAACTGCAACATTAACACCCCTCCTTCAGAGTGCACACAGTGTACTTCCCATCTCCAGGACTCAAGTCCAGCCTGCCAGTTTCCCTGAATTTTTTCATAAATGTTACCCTGCTCACACTCCAACAGCACATCAAGTTCTAAAAAGCATTTGCCTCAATTCACTCCTAACACGCTCACACATACTTGCTCGAAGTCCAAGCCCCTCTCACACAAAACCTCCTTTAACCCCCTCCCTCCAACCTTTCCTAGGCCGACCCCTACCCCGCCTTCCCTCCACTACAGATTTATACTCTCGAAGTCATTCTATTTTGTTCCATCCTCTCTACATGTCCGAACCACCTCAACAGCCCTTCCTTAGCCCTCTGGATAATAGTTTTAGTAATCCCTCACCTCCTAATTCCCAAACTACAAATTCTCTGCTTTATATTCAAACCACACATTGCCCTCAAACATGACATCTCCACTGCCTCCAGCCTTCTCCTTGTTGCAACATTCACCACCCATGTTTCACACCCATATAAGAGTGTTGGTATAACTATACTCTCATACATTCCCCTCTTTGCTTCCACTGACAAAGTTCTTTGTCTCCACAGATTCCTCAGTACACCATTCACCTTTTTCCTCTCAATTCTATGATTCACCTCATCTTTCATAGACCCATCTGTTGACACATCCACTCCTAAATATCTGAATACATTCACCTCCTCCATACTCTCTCCCTCCAATCTGATATCCAATCTTTCATTATCTAATTTTTTATCCTCATCATCTTACTCTTTCCTATACAGTGGAACCTAGGTTTTCGTGATTAATTCGTTCCAGAACGTCTGGTGAAAACCACATTGTACGAAAACTGAAACAATATTTTCCATAAGAAATAATGTAAATCCAATTAACCTGTTCCAGACACCCAAAAATATTAAAAAAAAAATATATTTTATGGAGAATAACTATAGTTTTACATACAGAAAACAATGAGAAATAAATATAAATGACTAATGAAATGGATAAATGAACTTTTAACATCACTTTTACCTTTATTGAAGACTCTTGTTGGCGTATGGAAGACAGCGAGGAGGGGAGAGGGAGGAGGAGAGGTTACTGTTTGGAAGGGGAATCCCCCTCCATAAGGACTTCAAGTATCAATGCCCTATCCAGGGTTACTTCTCTTCTTTGTCTTTTACTGGCACTAAGACCAGCTTGAGAGTCACTGAACCCCTGTCACACAAAAAATCTGTCCAGAGAGGTCTGTTTCTAGCATCTCTTTAAGATTTCCCTAAAATGAGACGAGGCATTGTCATTGAACATTGATGCGGACTTCCTGTACATCCTGGCGAGATCGGCGGACACGCATACACCACTTTCATACTTTGAAACGAGTTCTATCATGTTTCTCACCTTCTTTATCAAAGGGCTAGCACTCGGAATTTTCTTTGGCCCCATGGTGGCTTATTTAGAAGTCGCACTCAATAAACAAGCACAAAAAACAATGGATTATTACGAAATGTTTCGGATGAATGAGCGGGGTAATGTTCACTCAACGAGAAACAAAACCAGACTGAATCAGAACTTGTGGGATGCTTTGTGTGGGTGCGGGCAGGCAGACGTGTCTGGTACGGCGGACCATTGTCAACTCTATGAAAACTGAACAGATGTACGGAAACGGACAAAATTTCGATGAAAAAAGTCGTTGAAAACTGAATCCTATGAAAACCAGGGCATACGAACACCAAGGTTCCACTGTGCTCACTTTTTTCTTCTTTTACATACCCTACAAAACTCATCCACAAACCTCTGCAACTTCTCTTTAGAATCTCCCAAAAGCACAGTGTCATCAGCAAAGAGCAACTGTGACAACTCCCACTTTGTGTTAGATTCTTTATCTTTTAAACCCACACCTCTTGCCAGCACCTAAGCCTTCACTTCTCTTACAACCCAATCTATAAATGCATATATTGAACAGCCATGGTGACATCCCACATCCTTGTCTAAGGCCTACTTTTACTGGGAAATAATCCCCCTCTCTCCTACATACTCTAACCTGAGCCTCACTATCCTTATAAAAACTCTTCACTGATTTCAGTAACCTACCTCCTATTCCCCCCTCAAGGAAGGGTCCTTGATGCTGGTGAGGGGCTCTTGATCTAGGGAATTGGATCTGTGCTTCAGTTCCCTGAATTGAGCCTGAATACCTTCCATCCTTCCCCATGCGCTGTATAATCCTACGGGTTTAGCACTACCCCATAATTATAATTATATAATTATTATACCTCCTATTCCATATATTTGCAACATCTGCCACATTCTCCCCCCTATCCACCCTATCATACGCCTTTTCCAAAACCATAAATGCCACAAAAACCTATTTACCCTTATCTATATACTGTTTACCTATATATTTCACTGTAAATACTTGGTCTACATACCCCCTACCCTTCCTAAAGCTTCCTTGTTTATCTGCTATCCTACTCTGTCTTACACTTAATTCTTTCAATAATAACTCTACCATGCACTTTACCAGGTATACTCAACAGACTTATTCCCCTATAATTTTTGCACTCTCTTTTGTCCCCTTTGCCTTTATACAAAGGAACTATGCATGCTCTCTGCCAATCCCTAGGTACCTAACCTTACCCTCTTCCATACATTTATTAAATAAAAGCATAAACCACTCCAAAACTATATCCCCACCTGCTTTTAACATTTCTATCTTTATCCCACTGATCTCAGCTGCCTTACCCCCTTTCATTCTACCCACTGCCTCATGAACTTCCCCCACACTCACAACTGGCTCTTCCTCACTCCTACAAGATGTTATTCCTCCCTGCTCTATACATGAAATCACAGCTTCCCTATCTTCATCAACATTTAACAATTCCTCAAAATATTCCCTCCATCTTCCCGATACCTTTCCCCTCAAGGGAGGTTCCTTGACGCTGGTGAGGGGCTCTTGATCTAGGGAATTGGATCTGTGCTCCAGTTCCCTGAATTGAGCCTGAATACCTTGCATCCCTCCCCCCCACATGCGTTGTATAATCCTAAGGGTTTAGCTCTCCCACATGATTATAATAATAATAGTAATAATAATAATAATAATAATAATTCCCGATACCTCTAACTCTTCATTTAATAACTCTCCTCTCCTATTTTTAACTATCAAATCCATTTGTTCCCTAGGTTTCCTTAACTCATAATCTCACTCCAAAACTTTTTCTTATTTTCAACAAAATTTGTTGATAACATCTCACCCACTCTCTCATTTGCTCTCTTGTTACACTGTTTCACCACTCTCTTAACCTCTCTTTTTCTCTCCATATACTCCTCTCTCCTTGCATCACATCTACTTTGTAAAAGCTTCTCATGTGCTAACTTTTTCTCCCTTACTACTCTCTCTTTACATCATAATTCCACCAGTCACTCTTCTTCCCTCCCACACCCACTTTCCTGTAACCACAAACTTCTGCTGAACACTCTAACACTACATTCTTAAACCTACCCCATACATCTTTGACCCCACTGCCTATACTCTCACTAGCCCATCTATCCTTCAATAGTTGTTTATATCTTACCCTACTTGGCTTCTCCTTTAATTTATAAACCTTCACCTCTCTCTTACTTGCTTCTATTTTTCCTTGTATCCCATCTACTTTTTACTCTCACTGTAGCTACAACTAAAAAGATATCCGATATATCTGTGGCCCCTCTATAAACATGTACGTCCTTTTTTCTACCAACACATAGTCCAACAAAATACTGTCATTATGCCCTACATACACACTCTAAGTTATAAAAACCTCCATTATATATATTTCCTTCCCTCATGAAACATAAAAGTTATCAAATGTACAACTTTACAAATACAAATAAATTGGAACATGTCAAAGAAAATAACTTGGGTGTTGAGGATTTTAAAAAAAATCCTGAGCATGTGTCACTCCTCACAGCCAGTAATCAACTAGAGTTGTCTATATCTTCATTTATCACAAAAAAAAAACCTCAAGACAGGCAAGGGGCAATTGATCTAAGGAATTGGACCTGCGTTTCCCTCTTTAGTTTAAACATGAATGCCTCCCCTATGGATTTAGCAATCCCATATAAATATAATAATACATAATAATAATCACAAAAAAAAGGTCAACTGCTAATTCATGTGGAAATGAATGGTATAAAATACCGACACAATGGAAATATAAACACTTTAACAGTATACTGTGATCCTTCATTGACAACATTTCACCCATGCAGTGGGCTTTATCAAGTCACAGACAGATCTACCTGGGTGAAAGATACGTGAGTATTTATAGGATGGCATCAGGTGGAGAATGCTGCATGTGACAGTCTTCTGAAAAGGGCGATAGAGTCTAGAACCTTGGGTAGCTTTAAAGAAAGATTGGATAAGTATACGAGTAGACCTTCTGCAGTGTTCCTCCATTCTTATGCTCTTATGTGGGATATCTACCTCCACATCCACCACTGTCAAGGACATTACCAGTAATAGACAGGACAGGCTTCAAACCTCTGTAGGGGTAGATACAATCCCTTACAATGACTGCAGCAAATTATACGTCGGTGAAACATCCAGAGACCTCCAAACACGTATTTCAGAACACCAGGACACAGGCAGATCTGATGATCCAAGGAATGCCTGTGTTCAACACCGAAATTCACACAACCATTTAATCAACTACAGAACCACAAGACTTATCGCCAGAGAAGACAACACTCAATACCGAAGAATCCTGGAATCCTCACTTATCTGTATATCCAACAACTTCAACCAGAACAATGGCTTCTATAACATAACTGAACCCCTTGCCAAGAAACTTCACTGCTATCCCACATAAGAACATAAGAATGGAGGAACACTGCAAGGTCTACTCATATACTTATCCAATCTCTTTTTAAAGCTACCCTGGGCTCGACTCTATCACCCTTCTCGGAAGACTGTCACATGCAGCATTCTCTACTTGACCCAGCATTCTCCACCTGACGCCATCCTATAAATACTCACATATCTTTCACCCAGGTAGATTTGTTTGTGACTTGATAAAGCCCACTACATGGGTTAAACATCAATAAAGGATCACAGTATATTGCTTAAGTGTTTATATTTCTGCTAACTGATATGTATGTGTGGAACTGTCCGCAGTGGCTTGTAAACAATGACACACTAGCTGAAGGCAGGGCAGCTGAAGCGTGCTCAGGCCGGAGGAACAGGCGGACGCGTTCGGGATGATTGTCCTTAACCGGGTTTTTCATCGTTGGCCGAGCCAATATTTTTACGCTAAAACGCATCACTACCCGAGGGTTCACTGTATTGTATACACGGAAAATAAATGAAGTATTACCAATAAAGTAGTGAAGAGAACTGTCAGACTGGAACCTGACTTAATTATTGATAAACTTTTATTTGGGACTAGTTTTATTATAGAACAAATACAATCTTCTAGGTAGTAGGTTGGTAGCCGGAACCGCCCAGGGAGGTACTACCGTCCTGCCAGGTGAGTGTAAAACGAAAGCCTATAATTGTTTTACATGATGGTAGGATTGTTGGTGTCCTTTTTTTCTGTCTCATAAAAATGCAAGATTTCAAGTACGTCTTGCTACTTCTACTTACACATAGGTCACACTACACATACATGTACAAGCATATATATACACACCCCTCTGGGTTTTCTTCTATTTTCTTTCTAGTTCTTGTTCTTGTTTATTTCCTCTTATTTCCATGGGGAAGTGGAACAGAATTCTTCCTTCGTAAGCCATGCGTGTTGTAAGAGGTGAATAAAATGGCAGGAGCAAGGGGCTAGTAACCCCTTCTCCTGTATAAATTACTAAATTTTAAAAGAGAAACTTTCGTTTTTCTTTTTGGGCCACCCTGCCTCGGTGGGATACGGCCGGTTTGTTGAAAAAAAAAAAATCTTATACTGTATATCCTATCAGAGTAGGGACAATATGTCCAATAAACTAAGATAAATGCTAACTCAAATGAAAGGAAGTATTTCCACTGCCAACTAATGTACTGTCTTAACAAAGGTCACCATATCAGCAACTGAAATAATAATGATTACATTTATTTAATCTATTTATTGGAATATCATTATGACATCAAGGTTTGCATAAGATGACAAACTTTCAGTAAATGTATATATTTTTCTACTTACACAAAGATCTAAATCCCAAAGCACTGTGAAACACAGGGTCCAGCTTAATGAGGTGTGACTGTATTAACATCCAAAATAATGTGTAAACAAGCCAAGCTTACCCTAATTAACTCAACTCAATCTTACCCTCTGCCAAATCTCTTCCCAGGACTTCCTCTTCCTCTTCCTCTTCCAAAATATGGGGATGAAACTGAGGCTGGTGCATTCACTGAACTTAGCCACCCAGTTGAGTTTTCATCATTCTCCTCAAAGCTGCAGTTATCAAACGATCCTTCCTCTACTCGATCACTCAAAATTACTGCAAACCCATTAAAGACTTTGTCATATGTACCGTAAAGCATTTTCAGATGAGCTAATTGTAAGGGTAACTAATCATTTTAAAGCAGCCCTTACAAAAAAAATATACATTCCTGAAAAATAAATTACATTTACAGTACTGTATAAGAAAAAATAAATGAACCATTAAGAAGAGCTTGAAATCCTCTACATGTGCTATAATTCTACACAAAAATTTGTGAGCCTTATGTATTATCTAAAGCCACTGTAATATGTAAGTTAACTTGAAATGCCAAGTAATTAATATTTACAACTTAAATTCCCAAAATACAGTGCAATAACGTAACATAAGGCATTTCTTCCCTACTTACCAAGTTTCTGAGCAGCATATCTTTGTGTAATATCCAGAAGTGATTGACCATATTTCTCAAAGTTTGCCTTTGTTACGTGAGGAATCAGGAGCATTTCTTCTTCACTCTCTGGCATTGACAGAGACATCAGCCTGTTAAGATTATAAGAAAGTTTTAAATAAAGCCTATATATATACTGTACACACATTACTTGATGGTAAATAACATGTCTCCATGGGGAAGTGGAACAGAATTCTTCCTCCGTAAGCCATGCGTGTTGTAAGAGGCGACTAAAATGCCGGGAGCAAGGGGCTAGTAACCTCTTCTCCTGTATATATTACTAAATGTAAAAGGAGAAACTTTCGTTTTTCCTTTTGGGCCACCCTGCCTCGGTGGGATACGGCCGGTGTGTTGAAAGAAAGAAGAAAGAAATAACATGTATATGTATATGTATATGCAGAAAATTCGGAGTGTGGAAATTAGGAGAAGGTGTGGAGTTAATAAAAGTATTAGTCAGAGGGCAGAAGAGGGGTTGTTGAGGTGGTTTGGTCATTTAGAGAGAATGGATCACAGTAGAATGACATGGAAAGCATATAAATCTATAGGGGAAGGAAGGCGGGGTAGGGGTCGTCCTCGAAAGGGTTGGAGAGAGGGGGTAAAGGAGGTTTTGTGGGTAAGGGGCTTGGACTTCCAGCAAGCGTGCGTGAGCGTGTTAGATAGGAGTGAATGGAGACGAATGGTACTTGGGACCTGACGATCTGTTGGAGTGTGAGCAGGGTAATATTTAGTGAAGGGATTCAGGGAAACCGGTTATTTTCATATAGTCGGACTTGAGCCCTGGAAATGGGAAGTACAATGCCTGCACTTTAAAGGAGGGGTTTGGGATATTGGCAGTTTGGAGGGATATGTTGTGTATCTTTATATGTTTATGCTTCTAGACTGTTGTATTCTGAGCACCTCTGCAAAAACAGTGATAATGTGCGAGTGTGGTGAAAGTGTTGAATGATGATGAAAGTATTTTCTTTTTGGGGATTTTCTTTCTTTTTTGGGTCACCCTGCCTCGGTGGGAGACGGCCGACTTGTTGAAAAAAAAAAAAAAAAAAAAAAATGTACATGCAGATGTACCCAGTCAATGGAACATTAATGTAAGGGCAAAAGCAGGAACTGTCTAAGAGTGCCATGTGTGAGGGGTCTCAAGGCTCCATTTTGTATAAAAGAAAAGGTCACTTTAGTGGAGCAAAAAAATAAAAGTCCTTATTTTAAATTTATTATGCATCATTTTAAGCAGTTAAATATATGCTTGAACAGACTATAAAGTATAGTTACAAAATGCTGCATATGCTGGATGTGTTGCCCCAAGGCTTAACTTAACTCTTAATCCGTCAATACCCATGGCACCAAGCAAACTAAACACGACAAACTCATGCGGCAAGAAAACAGTATATTTGTCTTTTGTCTGCTAAAAAGCATGTGCAAGTGGTGTTCTAGTAGCAGACATACATGTAAAAACTTCTGATGAGGTTCCAGGAATAATTCTACTTAGTCTGTCTGGCCCAGCCTGCGGCCAGGCTTCACTAGTGAATGAATGATCAAACTGTCAATCTGCAGCCAGCAGGCCCATATGTCCTAAATGATCAAGGTGGCTAGTGACTCGAACTTGCATTTTCAGCTGTCAGCTGAATGTGGTTAGAAATGGTGAATGGCATCAAAAATAATTTTTTTTAAAGATTTTGGCAAAATAGTACATATGTACTGTGTTAAAAAATGATGACATAAGACCCAAGGTGACAACGCTAGAGATAAAGGAGGAAATAATAATTTTTTTATTATTTTTATTAAGACACTGCCGATTCCCACCAAGGCAGGGTGGCCCAAAAAAGAAAAACTTTCACCATCATTCACTCCATCATTGTCTTGCCAGAAGGGTGCTTTACACTACAGTTTTTAAACTGCAACATTAACACCCCTCCTTCAGAGTGCAGGCACTGTACTTCCCATCTCCAGGACTCAAGTCCGGCCTGCCGGTTTCCCTGAACCCCTTCATAACTGTTACATTGCTCACACTCCAACAGCACGTCAAGTATTAAAAACCATTTGTCTCCATTCACTCCTATCAAACACGCTCACGCATGCCGGCTGGAAGTCCAAGCCCCTCACATACAAAACCTCCTTTACCCCCTCCCTCCAACCTTTCCTAGGCTGACCCCTACCCCACCTTCCTTCCACTACAGACTGATACACTCTTGAAGTCATTCTGTTTCGCTCCATTCTCTCTACATGTCCGAACCACCTCAACAACCCTTCCTCAGTCCTCTGGACAACAGTTTTGGCAATCCCGCACCTCCTCCTAACTTCCAAACTACGAATTCTCTGCATTATATTCACACCACACATTGCCCTCAGACATGACATCTCCACTGCCTCCAGCCTTCTCCTCGCTGCAACATTCATCACCCATGCTTCACACCCAAATTTAAAATGAAATGACACTACTGTACTTCAAGTAGCAAATGAAGATTTTAAAACTGAAGTTGAGGGATTTTATTTTAATGCGTGATGCCCATTGCCTTCGCTACTATGTACGCTCTCACGATCTTCACAATCCTTCCATTTATAGAATGGTCACTGATCTTTCTTTCTTTCTTTCAACACACCGGCCGTATCCCACCGAGGCGGGGTGGCCCAAAAGGAAAAACGAAAGTTTCTCCTTTTACATTTAGTAATATATACAGGAGAAGAGGTTACTAGCCCCTTGCTCCCGGCATTTTAGTTGCCTCTTACAACACGCATGGCTTACGGAGGAAGAATTCTGTTCCACTTCCCCATGGAGATAAGAGGAAATAAACAAGAATAAGAACTAGAAAGAAAATAGAAGAAAACCCAGAGGGGTGTGTATATATGTGCTTGTACATGTATGTGTAGTGTGACCTAAGTGTAAGTAGAAGTAGCAAGACGTACCTGAAATCTTGCATGTTCATGAGACAGAAAAAAGGACACCAGCAATCCTACCATCATGTAAAACAATTACAGGCTTTCGTTTTACACTCACTTGGCAGGACGGTAGTACCTCCCTGGGCGGTTGCTGTCTACCAACCTACTACCTAGGATGGTCACTGATATTAGTAGACATTCTTTATTTGTTCGCCGCCCCTGTTTGCTCCGTCCCTTTTCTCTTCGCCTACATTCACTCTTGTCTTCCCTTCAGTTACCACCTTTATATGTTCATGTAGCATCTCACTTTTCCCTACCCCCCTGGGAAGTTCCAGCTGTTCGGGTCTGTTCTTTCTCATTCCCTTGCTCGAAAGCCCAACTGCCTACGGTGGCTTCCCGCTCTCTTTTTCTTGATCACTTCCACTCTCATTCTCATGCCATCGCTGTGTACACAGATGGCTCTAAGTCTTCAGACGGCGTCGGATTCGCAGCAGTGTTTCCGGACAATGTCGTGCGGGGGCATTTACTATCTTCGGCTAGCATTTTTACTGCTGAATTGTATGCCATTCTTGCAGCACTTATTCGTATCGCATCTATGCCTGTGTCATCATTTGTGGTAGTCTCAGACTCCCTTGGTGCTCTACAGGCTATACGAAAATTTGATACATCTCACCCCCTAGTTCTCCGTATCCAACTTTGGCTATGCCGTATCTCTACCAAACATAAAGATATTGTTTTTTGTTGGGTCCCTGGTCATGTTGATGTACAGGGCAATGAACAGGCAGACACTGCTGCGCGGTCAGCAGTAAATGACCTACCAATTTCCTATAGAGGTGTTCCATTTATGGACTATTTTGCTGCAATAGCTACCCACCTTCGCACCCGTTGGCAACAACGTTGGTCAACTCTGCTCGGTAACAAACTTCATTCTATTAAACCGAGCATAGGTTACTGGCCGTCTTCTTGTCATCAGTGCCGAGGTTGGGAGACCACTCTCTCCCGCCTTCGCATTGGCCACACTCGTCTTACTCATGGGTATCTCATGGAGAGGCACCCTGTTCCTCTCTGTGAGCAGTGTCAAGTTCCAGTATCCATTAGCCACATTCTGTTAGACTGCCCTCTCTATCAACGAGCACGCAGAATTTACCTCCAACGTCGTCTTCGTTCTACTACTCTCTCTTTACCTTCCCTTCTTGCTGATGGACCCTCCTTTAATCCTGACTCTCTCATTGACTTCTTGACAACGACTGATTTACTCCACAAACTCTGATGATACTTTTTGCACTCCCCCCAGCCCTTTCTAGTTCAGTCTCTTGCTGCCCTTTACCCTTTCACCATCCACTGCTCCGCTGTTATCCGTAACCTATTACTCATCCATCTCCCTTTTGCCACCTGATGCCCTCACTTCCTTCCTGCCCTGCAGCGCTGTATAGCCCTTGTGGCTTAGCGCTTCTTTTTGATTATAATAATAATGCAGCCATTAAAAATTTCTCAATTATCTGTTTTCAACTCATACCTGGCATACCTTTACTTATTTTCTAACCACACAACTGCTCCTCAATTGCCAAACTGTTGTGTTAATTTAACATATTCCCTGACCACTCATACAGGAAAAACTAAACTGGAGTACAGTAGTATGTATTGTGAATATCTTAGTGATAATCTCCATGGGAAAGTGGAACAGAATTCTTCTTCAGTAAGCCATGCATGTCATAACAGGCGACTAAAATGCCGGGATCAATGGGCTAGTAACCCCTTTCCCTGTATAAATTACTAAATTTAAAAAGAGAAACTTTCGTTTTTCTTTTTGGACCACCCTGCCTTGGTGGGATATGGCCAGTTTGTTGAAAAAAAAAAAAAATCTTATTGATAATCTTCATGGGTAAGTGGAACAGAATTCTTCTTCAGTAAGCCATGCGTGTCAATAACAGGCGACTAAAATGCCGGGATCAATGGGCTAGTAACCCCTTTCCCTGTATATATTGCTAAATTTAAAAAGGAGAAACTTTCGTTTTTCCTTTTGGCCCACCCTGCCTCAATGGGATATAGCTGGTTTGTTGAAAGAAAGATCTTAGTGATAACTGACCTCATCTAAGTTTTACTCCACTTGCTGAGAAACCTCTTGAGAACATGAGGCTCATGGCATTTCTAAGAATGTAACGGTTAACAAGAAAAGAAATGGGTTAAAAAAAATTGAGGTGATATAGCATACCTAAGAGCAATCATGTTGATGACATTTGTGTAGTTGACACCTTTAGCTGCAGCCAAATCCTTAACAGTTTGAAGAAGTGCTGTGTAACAATCATTTTGCAACTGCTTCAGTTCATCGTCATCATTTTCAAGTTCTGCATCTGCTTCTGTTCGACTTTCATTGTTTCCATCTTTCTTCATTTCAAACTCAAACTATTTAAAAAATGTATGAGATTTTTTTATATACATAAAAAATACAGAATTCATGGATGTTAATATTTACTAGACATTTAAAGATGTTAAATTTCACTGCAGTCCAACTCTGAAATTTCAACACCAACTGGACTCAAAGTTAAAGGAGGCAACTGCACTCGAGAATATACATGTACATTTCTGCTGCACCAAATACTTGCAACCTAAAACTCAAAGCCTCCTTTACCCCTCCCTGCAACTGTTCCTAGGACAACCCCTACCCCTCCTCCTTTCAACCCCACATTTATAAACCCTCTTTGTCATCCTCTTCCTCTTCATCTTCTGTATATGTCCAAACCACAGGTATTATGGAAAATTAGAACATATTGGGTTAGTGTGTATACACCTGTAACTGATTACAAAGATATACTACTAGCTAATGTAATTAATTTTAATATACAAAATCTATGCCCTTACATTATATAAAGTAAAGCAGTTCCAAGGAAAATCCTAGAGGGACTAGTACCGAACTTGCACACGAAAATCGCTCACTACGAAAGCAAAAGACTTGGCAGACGATGCAACATCCCCCCAATGAAAAGCAGGGGTGTCACTAGCACGTTAAGAGACCATACAATAAGTGTCAGGGGCCCAAGACTGTTCAACTGCCTCCCAGCATACATAAGGGGGATTACCAAGAGACCCCTGGCAGTCTTCAAGCTGGCACTGGACAAGCACCTAAAGTTGGCTCCTGATCAGCCGGGCTGTGGCTCGTACGTTGGTTTGCGTGCAGCCAGCAGCAACAGCCTGGTTGATCAGGCTCTGATCCACCAGGAGGCCTGGTCACAGACTGGGCCGCGGGGGCGTTGACCCCCGGAACTCTCTCCAGGTAAACAAGGCCTGATAATTCAATGAGGAGAAAAAACCCTGCATATAGCATAAATTTCATCCTACCTCTAGCTGTTTGCTAAGTTGGTAAACATAAACAGTAGTCTAAATACAACAAAATTACTAAATATTTGGCATATGATTTTCAAGTCTGAGTTTAAAGTGGAATTACTGACAGAAGAAAAGTTATCTGTAATGCACAAGACTACAAGTCTGGAGTAACATTGGATGGTCATGTGGCATGGTAAAACTTAGGATTCTGAAGTTCAGCAATTTTGTTTTAAACTTCTGGTAGTTAGTTTAAATATGACTCAACCTGCATTTCATATGAAGCATGAACTTTGTGCATCAGCTGTCAATGTATTAATGATGTAACATAAAAGCTTAATTTAAGGAGCAAAACTTAAGATGACTCTACCTTGGTGAGAGCTGTCTGATGAAGTACGTATTATTATTATTATTATTATAGGTAGTAGGTTGGTAGACAGCAACCACCCAGGGAGGTACTACCGTCCTGCCAAGTGAGTGTAAAACGAAAGCCTGTAATTGTTTTACATGATGGTAGGATTGCTGGTGTCTTTTGTCTGTCTCATAAATATGCAAGATTTCAGGTACGTCTTGCTACTTCTACTTACACTTAGGTCACAGTACACATACATGTACATGTACAAGCACATACATACACACCCCTCTGGGTTTTCTTCTATTTTCACTCTAGTTCTTATTCTTGTTTATTTCCTCTTATCTCCATGGGGAAGTGGAACAGAATTCTTCCTCCGCAAGCCATGCGTGTTGTAAGAGGCGACTAAAATGCCGGGAGCAAGGGGCTAGTAACCCCTTCTCCTGTATATATTACTAAATGTAAAAGGAGAAACTTTCGTTTTTTCTCTTGGGCCACCCCGCCTCGGTGGGATACGGCCGGTGTATTGAAAGAAAGAAAGAAGTAGGTTGGTAGGCAGCAACCACCCAGGGAGGTACTACTGTCCTGCCAAGTGAGTGTAAAACGAAAGCCTGTAATTGTTTTACATGATGGTAGGACTGCTGGTGTCTTTTGTCTGTCTCATAAATATGCAAGATTTCAGGTACGTCTTGCTACTTCTACTTACACTTAGGTCACACTACACATACATGTACAAGCATATATATATACACACATCCCTCTGGGTTTTCTTCTATTTTCTTTCTAGTTCTTATTCTTGTTTATTTCCTCTTATCTCCATGGGGAAGTGGAATAGAATTCTTCCTCCGTAAGCCATGCGTGTTGTAAGAGGCAACTAAAATGCCGGGAGCAAGGGGCTAGTAACCTCTTCTCCTGTATATATTACTAAATGTAAAAGGAGAAACTTTCGTTTTTCCTTTTAGGCCACCCCGCCTCGGTGGGATACGGCCAGTGTGTTGAAAGAAGAAGAAAGATAAACCCCTCTGGGTTTTCTTCTATTTTCTTTCTAGTTCTTGTTCTTGTTTATTTCCTCTTACCTCCATGGGGAAGTGGAACAGAATTCTTCCTCCATAAGCCATGCGTGTTGTAAGAGGCGACTAAAATGCCAGGAGCAAGGGGCTAGTAACCTCTTCTCCTGTATATATTACTAAATGTAAAAGGAGAAACTTTCGTTTTTCCTTTTGGGCCACCCCGCCTCGGTGGGATACAGCTGGTGTGTTGAAAGAAAGATTATTATTGTAATCAAATTAAACACTAAACCTGTAGAGGTCATACAACAATGAGGGAAAAAAAAGAATTAATATAATAAATGTAATGGTAAATACCTTCATATTTGGATTACTGAGAAATTCCTGGCATTTTGACCCAGGTCGTAAATAGGCACAAGCCATCTCATCTCTAATTACTACCATCTCTTCCTGTAAATAGCCCTCAAGTACCAATCGGCGGAACAATCGTTCTGCATCATTCCTTGTCCAGGATTTTCCTATCCCATGCAGTGAATGCCGATTATGTCCTATTGAATATAAAAATATTAAATAAAAAATAAATCACAAAAAAATACATAAAATATCTGTTTTTCACTCTAATTATATTTATAAAGTTGTTATACACAAGCAAAGACACTGAACTAACACTGCTCGTTACTCTCAAACACCTTAAGCTTCATTTAACTTTCATTTACATTCAACATTCTCTTCCTGTTGTTTATAATACTAGAAGTTTTAGACATGATCAAATATCAGAAAAAAAAAAGTCTAGTCTCCCCTCTCTGTTCTTCAAAAAAGAAGGCTGTTAAAAGAAGAAAGGGAATCAGAGAATGTTTATTGGTTCTCACTGGCTCTAGGTATGTGAATACAAAATGCACTCAATACCTGTATTATGATGATCAATATTTATGGATACCTTACACAGTTTAAGGTATATGTACGTGTGTACATGTATGCGTGCGTGTGTACTCACCTAATTGTGGTTGCAGGGGTCGAGACATAGCTCCTGGCCCTGCCTCTTCACTGGTCACTACTAGGTTCTCTCTCCCCCTGCTCCATGAGCTTTATCGTACCTTGTCTTAAATTACGTATGGTTCCTGCCTCCACTACATCACTTGCCAAACTATTCCACTTCCTCATAGCTCTATGACTCAGCTGAGACTTCAGCTTCCAACTGTGACCCCTTGTTTGTGTGTCCCACCTCTGGAACATCCTGTCTGTCCACCTTGTCAATTCCTCTCAGTATTTTGTATATCATTATCACGTCTCCTCTAACCCTCCTATCCTCCAGTGTTGTCAGGCCGATTTCCCTTAACCTTTCTTCGTAGGACATTTCCCTGATCTCTGGTACTAGCCTTGTTGCAAACCTTTACACTTTCTCTAATTTCTTGGTGTGTTTGACCCCATGTGGGTTCCAAACTGGCGCTGCATACTCCGGTATGGGTCTGACGTACACAGTGTATAGAGTCTTGACCGATTCCTTACTGAGGTATCGGAACACTATTCTCAGGTTTGCCAGGTGTCCATATGCTGCAGCAGTTATCTGGTTGATATGCACTTCAGGAGATGTGCACGGTACGTATTATACTCACCCCAAGATCTTTCTCCTTGAGTGAGGTTTGCAGTCTTTGGCCACTTATCCTATACTCTGTCAGCGGTCTTCTTTGCCCTTCCCCGATCTTCATGACTTTGCATTTAGCGGGGTTAAAATTGAGGAACCAGTTGCTGGACCAAGCTTTCAGCCTGTCCAGGTCTCTTTGTAATCCTGCCTGGTCCTCATCTGATTGAATTCTCCTCATTAACTTCACATCATCTGCAAACAGGGACACTTTTGTGTCTATCCCTTGTGTCATGTCATTCACACATACCAAAAATAGCACTGGTCCTAGGACTGACTCCTGTGGAATCCAGCTCGTCACAGGCGCCCACTGTGATAACTCACCACGTACCATGACTCATTGTTGCCTCCACGGGAGGTATTCTCTGATCCATTGCAGTGCCTTTCCTGTTATACATGCCTGATCCTCTAGCTTTTGCACTAATTTCTTGTGAGGAACTGTGTCGAAGGCCTTCTTGCAGTCCAAGAACATGCAATCTACCCACCCCTCTCTCTTGTCTTACTTCTGTTACCTTGTCATAAAACTCCAGTAGGTTTGTGACACAGGATTTGGCTTCCATGAATCTGTGCTCGTTGTCGTTTATAAGCTTGTCTCGTTCTAGGTGCTCCACCACTCTCCTCCTGATAATCTCCATGACTTTGCATACTATACACGTCACTGACACTGGTTTATAGTTTAGTGCCACGTTTCTGTCTCCTTTCTTAAAAATGGGGACTACATTTGCTATCTTCCATACCTCAGGTAGTTGCCCAGTTTCAATGGATGGAGAGAACGAGTGAGTGAAAGTGAATGTGTGAGAGAGTGAGAGAGTGAGAGAGTGAGAGAGTGAGAGAGTGAGTGAGTGAGTGAGTGAGTGAGTGAGTGTGTGTGTGTGTGTGTGTGTGTGTGTGTGTGTGTGTGTGTGTGTGTGTGTGTGTGTGTGTGTGTGTGTGTGTGTGTGTGTTTGTGTGTGTGTGTTTGTGTGTGTGTGTGTGTGTGTGTGTACACTCACCTAGTTGTACTCGCCTAGTTAACGTTGCAGGGGCCGAGTCCAAGCTCCTGGCCCTGCCTCTTCACTGGTCACTACTAGGTCACTCTCCCTGAACCATGAGCTTTATCATATCTCTGCTTAAAGCTATGTATGGATCCTGCCTCCACTACATCGCTTCCCAAACTATTCCACTTCCTGACTACTCTGTGGCTGAAGAAATACTTCCTAACATCCCTGTGATTCATCTGTGTCTTCAACTTCCAACTGTGTCCCCTTATTGCTGTGTCCCATCTCTGGAACATCCTGTCTTTGTCCACCTTATCAATTCCTCTCAGTATTTTGTATGTCGTTATCATGTCCCCCTATCTCTCCTGTCCTCCAGTGTCGTCAGGTGTGTGCGTGCGTACGTACTCACCTAATTGTGGTTGCAGGGGTCGAGACTCAGCTCCTGGCCCCGCCTCTTCACTGATTGCTACTAGGTCCTCTCTCTCTCTGCTTTGTGAGCTTTATCATACCTCTTCTTAAAACTATGTATGGTTCCTGCCTCCACTACTTCACTTGCTAGGCTATTCCACTTCCTGACGACTCTATGACTGAAGAAATACTTCCTAACGTCCCTGTGACTCGTCTGAGTCTTCAGCTTCCAGTTGTGACTCCTTGTTCCTGTGTCCCCTCTCTGGAACATCCTATCTCTGTCCACCTTGTCTATTCCCCGCAGTATCTTGTATGTCGTTATCATGTCTCCCCTGACCCTTCTGTCCTCCAGTGTCGTCAGTCCGATTTCCCTCAACGTTTCCTCGTATGACATTTCCCTGAGCTCTGGGACTAGCCTTGTTGCAAACCTTTGTACTTTCTCTAACTTCTTGACGTGCTTGACCAGGTGTGGGTTCCAGACTGGTGCTGCATACTCCAGTATGGGCCTAACATACACAGTGTACAGTGTCTTGAACGATTCCTTATTAAGGTATCGGAATGCTATTCTCAGGTTTGCCAGGCGCCCGTATGCTGCAGCAGTTATTTGGTTGATGTGTGCCTCCGGTGACGTGCTCGGTGTTATGGTCACCCCGAGGTCTTTCTCCCTGAGTGAGGTCTGTAGTCTTTGTCCACCTAGCCTATACTCTGTCTGCGGTCTTCTTTGCCCCTCCCCAATCTTCATGACTTTGCATTTGGCAGGACTGAATTCGAGAAGCCAGTTTCTGGACCACATGTCCAGCCTGTCCAGGTCTCTTTGCAGTCCTGCCTCATCCTCATCCGATTTAATTCTTCTCATCAACTTCACATCATCTGCGAATAGGGACACTTCAGAGTCTATTCCTTCCATCATGTCGTTCGCATATATCAAAAATAGCACTGGTCCTAGAACTGACCCCTGTGGGACCCCACTCGTCACAGGCGCCCACTGTGATACCTCTTCACTTACCATGACTCGTTGCTGCCTCCCTGTCAGGTATTCCCTGATCCATTGCAGTGCCCTCCCTGTTACATGCACCTGATCCTCCAGCTTCTGCACTAATCTCTTGTGGGGAACTGTGTCAAAGGCCTTCCTGCAGTCTAGGAAAATGCAATCAACCCACCCCTCTCTCTCGTGTCTTACTTCTGTTACCTTGTCATAAAACTCCAGGAGGTTTGTGATACAAACCTTCCATGAACCCATGCTGGTTTTCATTTATAATCTTGTTCCGTTCCAGGTGTTCGACCACTCTCCTCCTGATAATCTTCTCCATGACTTTGCACACAATACATGTCAGAGACACAGGTCTGTAGTTTAGCGCCTCGTTTCTGTTTCCATTCTTAAATATGTGCATGCGCACGCGTATGTGCATGCGTGCGTGTGTGTACTCACCTAGTTGTGGTTGCAGGGGTTGAGTCATTGCTCCTAGCCCTGCCTATTCACTAGCCGCTAGGGTGTGTACGTACATACATGATACATGCAATAAGATCAGTAAACAAGTGATATAACAATATGCAAAACAACCACTGTGAAAAGAATAGTGAACTTCTAAGTGCTTTCATGATTCCTCACATTATCAAGGAACTATATGAATTATATAGTACCTTGATAATGTGAGAAAGCACTTGGAAATTCACTATTCGTTTCAAAGTGGTTGTTTTGCATACATATACATATATACTGTATATAGTTATTTATATAGCTATTTGTCTAGTTATTTATATATTACTAATCAGTGCTTTCAACGTACCACTGTCCATAACTTTCTTAGCTTCAGAGCCTTTGAAGATGTCAACAAAATGATTGATAGTAAAGTTGTTGGACCATCTTCCTCCAGAACACAGCTGTTGGACAGCCTGAAGAATTGCTCGAGTTTCACGTGTAACATCCACTTTTGTGAAGGATTCCTGAAAAGTGAATACAACATATGTAGTTGAAACCTACTGTTCTAGAACTTCCACATTTATCATCTAAAATTGCATGGCTCATCTCTGATCTTTCTTGGGTATAAAACAATTTTTATTTTAACACAAATGCCATCTCCCTCCATGGGGAAGTGGAACAGAATTCTTCCCCTGTAAGCCATGCGTGTCGTAACAGGCGACTACAATGCCAGGAACAAGGGGCTAGTAACCCTTTCTCCTGTATACATTACTAAATTTAAAAAGAGAAACTTTCATTTTTCTTTTTGGGCCACCCCGCCTCGGTGGGATATGGCTGGTTTGTTGAAAGAAGAAAAAAGAACTGCCATCTCCCCTGTACCCAGATAAAGTAATGTAATTGTTAACCACTTTGCTTGATATTGCATCAGATGTAGTACAAATTGGTTATCTAATAGACATATCAGACATGTACATGTACAGCCTCTCCTCACTTAGTGATGTACTTGTTTACCAACGACTTGAACTTACAATGGGCTCTCTGAACAATAGGCATAATTAAATAATGTATATCAGAGCTGATTTCCACTATTCTGTTTATTACAATATACAGTACACTACTGTATAAACATTTAAAAATGTACTAAAAATATTATAAATGGTGCAAAGGTGACAATAAAAAATATCAAAGATGGCTGACACAAACCCACTACAATTATAGTATGCTCCTCACTTAGTGATGAATTTGTTTACCAATGTGGTCTTAGAAATGGAACACCATCGTTAAGTGAGGAGAGGCTGTATTTACAAGACGTAATAACATAATCTCATGAATAACCTCGTAATACTCTATGCAAGTCTGTGGCTCTGAAAGCCAAGCTCACACATGCCACAACACACCCAATGCAAGTCTGTGGCTCTGAGATCTAAGCTCATAGATGATATAATGCCTATGCACGTTGTAGATCATATTTAATTTTTAACGTATAAAGTTAATTGTTCTTGTTTCTTTAATTGCCAACTACTTTATGAGGACGGATTTTTGAGTAATGACATTAGGAATACGATTGCTGACACTTAACAGAAACTAAATTTACACAATTTCTGCAAAGGTCCTTTGCTGTTGCTGAAATTTACTGAAAGATCTGTTGAATGAACCATACTGTGCTCTTCAATGTCTGTATCACTCTAGCATGTAAATATCTTAAGAGTTATTAAGTCGTTTGATGCGTCTCCTACATTCGACACCCACAGTAGCACTTGCCCTACTAACTGATATACATTCAACACCCAAAGTAGCACTTTCCCTACTAGCCAATATACATTCAACACCCACAGTAACACTTGCCCTACTAGCTGATATACATTCAACACCCACAGCAGCACTTGCCCTACTAGCCAATATACATTTGACACCCACAGCAGCGCTTGCCCTACTAGCCAATATACATTCGACATCCACAGCAGCACTTGCCCTATTAGCCGATACACATTTGACACCCACAGTAGCACTTGCCCTACTAGCTGATATACATTCGACACACAACAGAACTTACCCAACTAATTGACAGACCTTCAACATCTACAGTAGACTTGCCCTACTAGCCAATATATCCTCGTCAATTCTTCGTTTCATCAAGGGAAGTTTCCATAATACAGTACTCAAGGTAACAAGAGATCATAAAAGATACAGTATAAATCATTAGGATCTTTAACTCTTACATACTATGTAACTTACGTGGCACTTGCAATTATCACAGGCAGAAGCTGGACTTCTCTTGCAGTTCTCTCTGCTGAAGATTTCGCCAAAATAATTTAGAAGCTGTGTACGACGACAGTCCATTTTGTTCTCACAATATGCTACCATCCGCCACAAGTTATCATAGTGAGTCTTCCTGGCTTGCAAATTGTCTCTGTCCACTAAAAAATAGGAATTATATATTACAACTCATCATATGTAATAATATAAAATAAGGCTGGTAATGTGTAGTAACCAAAGAATATCATGCAAACACAATTGTTGCAGCACATTTCCTTAGACTCTTATAATTACTCATTTCAAATGTGTGCTTCCCTAACTTTGCCTTAGTGGCTAACATTCAAAATATTCTACATATACAGTATTCAACAGTATTAAATTTTTTTTAACACATTTGTCGCTTCCCACCGAGGCAGGGTGACCTGAAAAAGAAATACCTTCACCATCATTCACACTTGTCTTTCCAGAGGGACGCAGATACAACAGTTCAGATATCCCTCCAAACAGCAAATATCCCAACCCCCTCCTTTAGAATACAGGCACTGCATCTCCTACTTCCAGGACTCAAGTCTGGCTAACTGGTTTCCCTGACTCCCTCACAAAATGTTACCTTGCTCACACTCCAATAGAATTACATATAAAGATGTACTTGTAATTATTCACCCTGCCTTGGTGGGGGACGGCCGACTTGTTGAAAAAAAAAAAAATTATTCTCTCACCCTTTGTAAACTCAAATCCTGTAAATTATTCAAAAACTATAATGAAACTCACTGTCAATCATCTTCCTGATACGATGCATATCTTGGTAACTGTAGAAAAGAGTGCAATCAGCAATCTCACCATCCCTGCCAGCTCTCCCAGATTCCTGGTAATAACCTTCAATACTTTTGGGTAACGAGTAGTGCATGACGAAGCGTACATCTGGTTTATCAATGCCCATACCAAAGGCTATTGTTGCACACACAACCTGCAGAAACAAAATGCTAATTTCTAAGATTTCTCTTTTAGTTTTGCTTTTAACTTGATCAATTTGCTCCTAAATACACACTTAAACCACATTTGCTAAATTTAACTCCACTTAACCTCTACCTGCAGGATTGCCTGAAGGACTCAGTACACTATTGGCAACAAGCAACTAAACCATTGTTTTGCTATATAAAATGCAGATTTTATTTACAAATAAAATATTACAGCACAGGGATGGAACATACCTTCCATAAAGCTTATGTTTAAATTAACAATATTGTTCCATTTACTTCACTGTAAGGTGTTAAGATTGAAATACAGCTAATAGGAGAAAATAATCATCATAATCTCCCTTTAAATAACACATTATACATTCTTAAAATAATCAAAGATTGTATTTAATTATGTAATAAATACAGTAAAGTACTGTACATTACAGGTTTTGTCAAATGACTAAGTATGGTAGTTGAATATCAAAGGTTTACAATACTGACAATTTGAAGAGCAGTGGCTCACCTGACCCCACACTTATTTTCCAGTCACAAAAGAAAGCCACTAGCATGCAGTGCATTTAGGGGTAAACCATCAAGAAATGACAGTACTGCAAAGGGAAATAATAATGTACTGTATATTGAGTATTGTACACTGAAAACACTCATTTAAATATGATACACAGGATCCAATAAAGACTGTACAGCCCAGTGAATAAATTAACCTACAATTAGTAAAGACTCACCTTGAATTTGTCATTAATCCACTGTGACTGAACAGACACTCTATCCGGGTCTGTTAATCCAGCATGGTAGCTCACAGCCTACATAAGAAAATATATATATACTGAAAATATTTATTTGTATATTATATACTTATCACTAACTCATCTTGACAAACATATTTCTCACCATGAATTTTGTAAACAAAATTTAGGTACAACTAATCAGATATGAAATAAGGAAAAATACTCCACAAATACCTTGATGCCAGCTTTTGCAAGGTCACTAGCTGTTGTATCACACTCTTTTCGAGAGAGGCAATATACAATACCCGACTGGCTACTATATTTGGCCTTAATTAAAGCAACAATTTCATTAGTTATTTTTTTGCTCTTCTTTGGTAAAACTACATACTTCAGATTAGCTCTGTTGAAACTGCTGAGGAACCTGTGGATGAAAAATATGCTTTTATAGCTAAATTTGCATTCAATGAAATGATTTTGTCACTGAAGAAGCCAACTCATTCCCAGTATTTCTTAAACCTATATCATTATAAAACTGAGAATTCCCAATGCTGTAAATATTAAGAACATGGAAGAAATGAAATATAGGAGCCACACTTATTGAATGATGACAGCCCTATGCACAGACTACCAAGAGAACACAGATGCTGAAATGACCTCCAATGAAACGTGCAAACTCTTTTATTGGAGATCTTTTGAACTTCCATGGCCCTCTTCATACAGTGTGTGTGTCTGGCAATCACCAGTACAGAAGTTCAAGCCCCTACAATTCTACTTTAATATATTCTTATATCAAACATTCTAATCACTTAAGGAGCTGTATGACCCTTGTGGGTTTAGCAGTTTTGATTGTAATAATAATAATCTAATCACTTAATTTTCTGTGCCTCTCCTGTTTGTTTGTTTAATTCATGTTAAGTGCTAAACCCATTTGGGTCATTCAGCACAAGTCTCTTTCATAAGGGAAATCTCTGGGCAGAGTTTTTAGGTCAGTTCTTTGTAATATAGCTTAATATACTACAGACAATGATAACCCAAAATTTTGATCACAAATTACAGAAACATCTATACAAAAGAGACTAAATTAACAGCCAACAATTTTATAGTTACAAAACGAAACCTTATGTTGATATGTGACTGAACAGAATAAATCACCCAGTATCCAACCATTTTGGATCAGTGAGTCCAAGCTGGTGAAGAATATCCACTCTGACTCTGGGTGTTGCTGTTGCTGTTAGGGCAATGGTTGGTACTCCAGGGAAACGCTGACGAAGAACATTGAGCTTCTTATAATCAGGCCTGTGTGATAAAGTAATGGTATCTAAGATAATATTCCAGGAGCAAGGAGCTAGCAACCCCTTCTCTATAAATTACTAAATGTAAAAAGAAGAAAATCTTTACAAGGTTTTCTTCTTTTTTGAGTTGCCCTGGCTTGGTGGGAGATGACCGGTATGTTATATTAGATGTTAAGTTACATCAGATGTATGTTATATTAAAATACAGGTTAAAAGCATGAGTTTTCAGAGCTGCTGTTCATCTTTAGCATTTTAAAACAGAGAAGGTTAGCAAAGAAATTTATCAAATGGTAACTGAACAAAAGTGTCATTACTCTCTCTCCTGTATTTGAAACCCATAAAAAATCAATTGAACTTCATATATTCTAATCACTTCCTTGTAAAATATCTAGATACATAATGATCATTAAACTTTTTTTTATCAATCTGATTTATAGCAGCATGGGAAACTATTTACCACACTGATTAATGATTCACTTTGAACAAGACATGATGTAATTTATATAGCAAACATTCTGACTCTTATACATGAAGTTTATATCCCATAAAAAAATGTAGTACTTATGCATTGTGCCTCACTAGGGAGATTCTCAATAACAAAGTGGGCATCACTGCCAAAGAATATTTAATAGGAAGAGGTCACTCACTGGTCTTATTGTATAATAGTTTTCTAGACACCTGATATTTGGCTCATAAGGCCAAAGAGGATGATGTGTAAAATTCTTACCATAGGTCAAAAGAGACTGAAAGAAAGTCAGAATGAGGAAAATATGAAAATAAACATGCAGAAAACATGTGTCATGTGAGAGTCTACTCTACTGCTTGAATGAATGGTGTTAATAGTAGGACAAAATGTCTACCTGAAGTCATGTCCCCATTGTGATACACAATGAGCTTCATCTATGACAAATCTTCCCAACTTCTGACGTTGATACAAACTTTCCAAAATACCAGAAAATCTTTGACTTGCACTAATCTTCTCAGGTGTAACATAAAGAAGCTTGATACCTGAAACATTAATATGTGATAATAATAAAAAATAAAGATTAAATAAAAAGTACAGTAGGGAATTATACTCTGTATCAAACTACAAAAAAAATATCTTAGACTACTTTTAGGTTTCCTTTTTCAATCATACCTGAATTATTTCTAATACACTGTAACTCAAGGCATGATATAGTGTAATTTTATGATTTTTATTTGGAAAGCTCTAAATCTGTAGGGTCATTCTGTGCAAGATGTTGTAGAGACTTGATCCTTTGTCTGCTGAGTGCAAGTCAGATGCATTTCCTCTTTGTACTCGCTTATATATGTATGATCTGGTGTGAAATTAAGAATTATCTGATTTACCAGAAGTGTTAACTTTATCATAAGTGTCAGAGAGGTGACTGCTTAACATTGGCCATTTCCCACCAAGGTAGAGAGATCAAAAGAAACACATCTGTATACTATACAAGTCTCCTTTGTATAAAGACCATCATATTATAAACTGCATTGATAGTGAAAGAGCAGATTGTAAGCTACATTAAAAAAAATGTTCACATGGTGCTTACTTATTTCACGTTTCATCAGCTCTGCACAAAGTTGGTTTTCATCGCGAATATTCACGTCTCCAGACATATGGCCGGCAGGAATCTGGAATTAAAGAATTGCAGTAATATTTAATATAATAACTAGTGTCAATATGTATACATCATTCTCATGATACATGTTGGATAACTGATGCCTCTCTCCCAATCCCTCCTATTTCTTTTCTTTCGAGTCTCATTTATTAATTGAATAATAATAAACTTATTCATTTCAACTAGGTATTCAAACAGCTCAGAGTGAGTGAAAGCAAGTGGCTTTGAGAATTTGAAGCGTTGGAGTGTGGGCAAAGTAACATTTATTAAAGGATTCAGAGGAAACTGGATAGCTGAAATGGAATTCTGGAGGTGGGAGGTACAATACTTACACTTCAATGAAGGCTGGATGGTGATGTTATGGTTGATCAATTGAATTGTGATATTTGTGCATGTCTGAAAAAACAGCTAAAGAACAACTGATACCAAATGTGTTTTTCATTTTTTAGTCACCTTGTTTTGCTGGGAAATAGCCAATGCATTAAAATAAAAAATATACAGAAATCATAAATTATTTGAAAAATGAATATTAGTTTAAAAGACAAATCCAAGAATATACATCCCTCACTCAACTACATGAAAAATCAAAATACAGTGGACCCCTGACTAACGATCAGCTCCCAACCTGACCAATTATGTAAGTGTATTTTTGTAAGTGCTTTTGTAGGTGTATTTTTGGGGGTCTGAAACGGACTAATCTAATTCACAATATTCCTTATGGGAACAAATTCGGTCTATAACGGCACCCGATCAGACTTCTGGATTGAAATAATATCGTTAGTCGGGGGTCCACTGTACATGCTTTTTTTTTTTTTTAACACACTAGCCATCTCCCACTGAGATAGGGTGACCAGAAAAAGAAGAAACACTCACCATCATTTACTTTTTCACTGTCATGCTGATACTACAGTTCAGATGCCCCTCCAAACTGCTAATATCCCCACCCCACCTTTGGAGTGCAGGCACTGTACTTCGCATCTCCAGGACTCAAGTCCAGTTAACCAGGTTCCTTGATTCCCTTCACAAATAATGAAAATACTCACATCAAGAGAAGCTAATTTTTGTACTTGGTCCTGTATAAGAGACTTGAGAGGTGAAACAACGATGGTCACACCATCTGCCACACATGCTGGCAGCTGCAACAATGAGTAAATATTTAAGCACACATAAAATAAATATTTTCTGAGCTGAATAATAACCCACATGGAAACAAACTCAGGAAATGTCTATTATGGCTGGTAGAAAGATGTATCAGAGTTGGGAATTATTGTGTTTTAGGGAACATTTGGAAAAGAACAACATAGAGGACTATGGACTATGTTTTAACTTCTTTACTAGTTACTGGGAGTGGAGAGGGTCATAGGATAAGGGAACAAAAATTTATAACCAATGCAAAACATTGCAAAATTGTTTTATACGTTGTACGAGAAATGCTAAGGTTAAAACATATAACTCATTAATCTGGTTACTGCAACAGGTCTATTGAATACTATATTAAATATACCAGTTTGGGTGTCTATATACGTAGCTAGTAAACCAAAATGAATATGCTCCTCATTTATAAATACTTAAACACAGAAAACAACATATAATTTAGTGTACCTGATAGCACAAACTTTTGCCTCCTCCTGTTGGCATGAGAACAAAACAGTCCTTCCCTAGCAGTGCTGCATTAATCACTTCTTTTTGATTTTCCCGAAATCTTCGCAAACCAAAACGCTGGTGGAATATCTGGGGAATAGAAATGTATTCATGACACATCTTTCAGGAAATCAAACAACACTAAGCTTACACATTTAGCTACAAAATGTAATTCATAATAATATTAATTTTCCTTTAAAATGTGACACACAGGAAGCAGCATCTTCAAGCTTATAAAGTCACTATACAGAAGACAAGAAATTTTTCCCCCTAGAGAAAAATAAACATAAGAAGCATACAACTTCCTCAGGCTAGTAAAACAGTACAGTAAATCCTTGATTTAACATACTTCAAAAATATGGAACAAAATCTGCTGGGTCAACTGATTTGGAAACAATGAACAAAATCTGTTCATTACAGAAGTTTCAATTATTAATACAATCACAACTAAAACAATCTCAGCTTTATCCAACATGATACCCATTACCAGCCACCTGCTTTCCCCTATTAGTCCATTAAATCAGGCATTTAGATATCAAAATACACAGAGAAAAAATCATCAGACAAAATGGGAAGATCCTTCATGAACGCTGTACATGAAGTAGTCACTAAGGGGCTGCAGATACCATGTAAATACTGTAAAGGCAACCTTACAAAGTACACGTATCCTCTATTCTCATTAAAATATCTTTATAGTTATTTAATAATACAATACAATGTATATTTTTAAAGAAGATACATCTGTCATAAAGACAGGTTTACAGTGTTTATTGTATACATGGTTTTAGAGCATACTTTAGCAAGGACTAATACTAACAACAGAGAATGAAAATAACATACAGAATATTTAACATGATTATATACATATACTGCACGCACACATGCACATGCACATGCACACGCACATGCACACGCACATGCACACGCACATGCACACACACGCGCACACACACACACACTGGAGGACAGGAGGGTTAGGGGAGACATGATAATGACATACAAAATACTGCGTGGAATAGATAAGGTGGACAGAGACAGGACGTTCTGGTGAGTGGACACTGAAACAAGGGGTCACAATTGGAAGTTGAAGACTCAGATGAGTCAAGGGGATGTTAGGAAGTATTTCTTCAGTCAGAGAATTGTCAGGAAGTGGAATAATCTAGCAAGTGATGTAGTGGAGGCAGGAACAATACATAGCTTTAAGACGAGGTATGATAAAGCTCATGGAGCAGGGAGAGAAGGGACCTAGGAGCGATCAGTGATGAGGCAGGTCAGGAGCTGAATCTTGACCCCTGCAACCACAATTAGGTGAGTGTACATACATACACACACACACACACACACACACACGACATACAAAATACTGAGAGGAATTGACAAGATGAACAAAGACAGGATGTTCCAGAGATGGGACACAGCAACAAGGGGACACAGTTGGAAGTTGAAGACACAGATGAATCACAGGGATGTTAGGAAGTATTTCTTCAGCCACAGAGTAGTCAGGAAGTGGAACAGTTTGGGAAGCGATGTAGTGGAGGCAGGACCCATACATAGCTTTAAGCAGAGGTATGATAAACCTCACGGTTCAGGGAGAGTGACCTAGTAGTGACCAGTGAAGAGGCAGGGCCAGGAGCTTGGACTCGACCCCTGCAACCTCAACTAGGTGAGTACAACTAGGTGAGTGTGTACACACACACACACACACACACACACACACACACACACACGTGTGTTCATGCACGCACGCATATACAACAGGCCTAGTGTCTAATTGACATGTGTCTAGGACAGAATGGTAACTAACTAACTCATGTACATGCATGCACACACATGCACACACACATGAACACTCACAAGTACACCTGCAGGCACACATGCATGCACACACACCCACACACTAACAAACATACATGAAAAGAAGAAGAAAAATTAAAAGTGGGCACAAAAACAAACAAGGTGATGAAAGTAACCAAATGTTTAAGAAATGATTGGTAGGAGGGAGTAGATTATTATAATAAAAAAGAAGCGCTAAGCCACAAGGACTATACAGCAGGAGGAGGGAGTAGAAAGGACATGAATGTACACATTTTGATATCTGAAGTGAATGTCTTGACAGATAGGTCTATGAAAGATGATATGAAACAGAGAATAGACAAAGGAATAAAAGGTAGGAGTGTTAGGCATCTGTGGAAAGAAACTTATCCATGAAGGCAAAATAGGGAATATACAAGAGTATAATGATACCAGTGCCTTTTTATGGGTGTGAAGCATGGGTGGGCCTTCAATGTTGCAGTGAGGAGGAGGCTAGAGGAAGTGGAAATGTAATATTTGAGAGCAACGTGTGCTGTGAATATTATGCAAATAATTCATAGTGCAGAGATCAGAAAATGATGTGAGGTTACCAAAAAAGTATACTTCAGGGGGCAGAGGAGGGATTGGCAAGGTGGTCTGAACATTTAGACAGGGTGCAACAAAATAACCAAGAGAATGTATAAATCTGGACTGGGGGGAAAAAGTGGTTGGGATTGTCCAAGAAAGGGTTGGAGGGAGGGTGTTAAAGAGTTTTCATGTGGTAGGAGCTTGAGCATCTAGCAGTCATGTATAAGCATGTTAGTGTGAAGAAAGTGGAGAAAAAGTGGTTTTGGCTTTCACATGCTGTTGGGGTGTTAGCCAGGTAACATTTATGAAGGGATTCAGCAAAACCAGTAAGTTGCAATAGAATTCTAATGATGGAAAATATAGTATCTGTTCTCTGAAGGATGGGTGAGGATGTTGCAGTTCAGAGGGACAAATGAATTGTGATGTTTGCACACTTTTGGCAAGATAGCTACTGAGTGAATGATGGTGAATGTGTCTTTACTTGTGGGGAAGTCAACCTACTGTGGTGAGGGATAATTGGTGTGGTAAATGATATATACATATATTGTACAGTATGTATATACATAATGCATACTAAAAATGTAAATATAAATAACAAGGTAATGCAAATTTTTGTGAAAATTAAGTACTGTATTTGGCAAAAGACAATGCAAGCTCAGGTCAAAAGGATTATTGCTGCACTCTGTTGCAGTTTTCCAGGAAATATCTTAGGTCAGCATCAACATGACAGTCAAGAAGAAATCCTGAGACAACTGTCTCATAAACAGGCTAGATTAAAAACTTCTGCTTATCAGATGTTACAGTACCTTTAACATTTCCCTGGTGTGTGGATAATTCATGCCACTGAACTCTCCAGTAGCTCCATCATTTTGCACATTACCATGAAAACGAGCCTTGGTGTCAACTGCTTTGGAAGGAGTTGTGTTTTCCATAGATGCCATCTTGGAATTCACTTTCCGACTCAGGCTTTCCCTGGAGAACAAAAATCATGGACAAAAGTTATGCTAAAAAAGCATGCCAAGATATTTGTTGCATTAAAAACTGAGTCACTAACAGGAATATAAAAAGGAATTTTTTAGCATTCAAAGTAGCATGCACAAAAAAATATTAACGAAGGAATTTAATGTACTTTAAACCATAAGTTTTACAAACAAAATTTAATCCTACATTAAAATTGTTTCCTTAGCAACGATATCTTTTACCATTTTTTTTTTTTCAACAAGTCGGCCGTCTCCCACCAAGGCAGGGTGACCCAAAAAAGAAAGAAAATCCCCAAAAAGAAAATACTTTCATCATTCAACACTTTCACCACACTCACACATTATCACTGTTTTTGCAGAGGTGATCAGAATACAACAGTTTAGAAGCATATACATATAAAGATACACAACATATCCCTCCAAACTGCCAATATCCCAAACCCCTCAAATCAAAATACCTCTCAAAACCATAACTGAAACTTTCTTACAAGTAACATGACTCAAGAAAAACAAATGATTTTTTTTTTTTTGTCTATATGTTCTTACTTGTTTTGCCTCTCAAATATGAAAAGCCTTATGTATCTTCACATGACAAAAAAAAAAGTCACAGTAGCAAAGCTAGAACAATTCAGAAAAACCTGCACTTAGAAGAGGAAACTTATGTTGATGTTTTGGTCCATTCTGGACTATTTTTAAGGCACAACTGGGAGTTACTTTAACTTGACTGGTTGTGAATTGACAATGCGATTCTTTTGTGAATTCACATGAAATGCTGATGTAATATTTAAGAAAGAGCAATCTAAGTATAGCAAGCATCTAAATAAAATCAAGTGAAAAGGAATCCCTCTCATCAATGATACATCTATCTCTTCTTGTTTCATAACCTTCATGTCCATTATTTATTATCTTCCACTTCATTACTCTTCTGACATATTAATAGTTAATGTTGTAAATAAATTAAAATTACCCACACCACTGTTTCATCCTCAGTATTATGGTTATCACTCTAGGACTGTCTAATAACTTTGACTGTAAAATGAGGCAAAGGAATTATCCTAATAGCTGACCTATCTTCTTCTAAGCCACTGGGTGTTGCTACTTTCTACACACTATCTTTGTCACTTGGTACTGCTTCTTTCGAAGTAAAAAACTAGTCTATGCACTTTCTTCTTTTAACACATTGGCCATCTCCCACCAAGGCAGGGTGACCCAAAAAAGAAACACTTTCACCATCAGTTACACTATCATTGGCTTGCCAGAGGCTTGCTTATTACATCCAAAAGAAAATTTCTAAACAGGATTCATGAGGCAAATTATTTTTCAACACACCAGCTGCATCCTACCAAGGCAGTGTGGCCTAAAAAGAAAGACTTAAGTTTTTTCTTTTAAATTTAGAAATTTATACAGGAGAAGGGGTTATTAGCCCCTTGCTCCTGGCATTTCAGTCGCCTCTTACGACACACATGGCTTATGGAGGAAGAATTCTTTTCCACTTCCCCATAAGAGGAAATAAAGAACAAGAACTATTAAGAAAATAGAAGAAAACCCAGATGGGTATGTACATATTTGTCTACATGCATGTGTATTGCAACCTAAGTGTAAGCAGAAGTAGCAAAATATATCTATTATCCTGCATGTTTTTTTTTATATTATTTTTTTTTATTATCACACTGGCCGATTCCCACCAAGGCAGGGTGGCCCGAAAAAGAAAAACTTTCACCATCATTCACTCCATCACTGTCTTGCCAGAAGGGTGCTTTACACTACAGTTTTTAAACTGCAACATTAACACCCCTCCTTCAGAGTGCAGGCACTGTACTTCCCATCTCCAGGACTCAAGTCCGGCCTGCCGGTTTCCCTGAACCCCTTCATAAATGTTACTTTGCTCACACTCCAACAGCACGTCAAGTATTAAAAACCATTTGTCTCCATTCACTCCTATCAAACACGCTCACGCATGCCAGCTGGAAGTCCAAGCCCCTCGCACACAAAACCTCCTTTACCCCCTCCCTCCAACCTTTCCTAGGCCGACCCCTACCCCGCCTTCCTTCCACTACAGACTGATACACTCTTGAAGTCATTCTGTCTCGCTCCATTCTCTCTACATGTCCGAACCACCTCAACAACCCTTCCTCAGCCCTCTGGACAACAGTTTTGGTAATCACGCATCTCCTCCTAACTTCCAAACTACAAATTCTCTGCATTATATTCACACCACACATTGCCCTCAGACATGACATCTCCACTGCCTCCAGCCTTCTCCTCGCTGCAACATTCATCACCCATGCTTCACACCCATATAAGAGCGTTGGTAAAACTATACTCTCATACATTCCCTTCTTTGCCTCCAAGGACAAAGTTCTTTGTCTCCACAGACTCCTAAGTGCACCACTCACCCTTTTCCCCTCATCAATTCTATGATTCACCTCATCTTTCATAGACCCATCCGCTGACACGTCCACTCCCAAATATCTGAATACATTCACCTCCTCCATACTCTCTCCCTCCAATCTGATATCCAATCTTTCATCACCCAATCTTTTTGTCATCCTCATAACCTTACTCTTTCCTGTATTCACTTTTAATTTTCTTCTTTTGCATACCCTACAAAATTCATCCACCAATCTCTGCAACTTCTCTTCAGAATCTCCCAAGAGCACAGTGTCATCAGCAAAGAGCAACTGTGACAACTCCCACTTTATGTGTGATTCTTTATCTTTTAACTCCACGTCTCTTGCCAAGACCCTCGCATTTACTTCTCTTACAACCCCATCTATAAATATATTAAACAACCACGGTGACATCACACATCCTTGTCTGAGGCCTACTTTTACTGGGAAATAATTTCCCTCTTTCCTACATACTCTAACTTGAGCCTCACTATCCTCGTAAAAACTCTTCACTGCTTTCAGTAACCTACCTCCTACACCATACACCTGCTACATCTGTCACATTGCTCCCCTATCCACCCTGTCATATGCCTTTTCCTTTTCCTGCATGTTTATGAGATAGAAAAAAAAAGACACCAACAATTCTACCATCATGTAAAACAATAGGCATATTATACAGTAGATAATTTTTTTCAATTTAACACTTTGCAAATTCACATTTTATTTTTTGTCACAAAATACTAATAAGTGCTTTACCTTGCCCTTGATGCCAATGGAACTGACTCATTAACATCCTCATTGTCATCACCTGCATCATGAATGTCATTGACAGTGTTGTTGGGCCTCAGAAGCAAGGCCTGATTAGCAATTTTTTTGTTATTCCTTCCAATTGTAATACCCTGTTTCTTTAGGAAAAATAAAATCAGTGTCAGTTTTAGATATTTTAAAAATTAACATGCATGAAACAAACAAAATTACATATACTGTTTTCAAAATAATGCAAGGCTGCTAAAATGCAAATACAAGAACTGCTCATTGCCTTCAATGTCCTTCAATTATTTTCTGTTTCAGATATACTATCACTTTAAATATTGTTCTAATCTGGTAAATATTGACAATCATAAGAAAATTCTAATGTGGTTAACATTGATATTCATAAGAGAGAATGCTCACGAGGAAGAGCCGAGAATGGGAAATCCAGTGAATACACATTCAATGACATCCCAAGTATGAATTTTTCAATTTAAAAGATTTCTTTTTTCCAACAAACCAGCTGTATCCCACCGAGGCAAAATATAATGACCATAAAAAAAAAAAATAACTTTTGAACTAGTTTGTACAAAAACCAAAAGACTGCAGAATAAACAAGAGGTGATTTTTAGTAGGAGTAAGTGTACATGTAAGGTGCCACAGTGAAGATAATGTAAAAAAAAAATTTAAAATGCCATGATGACTGTGGCATGCAAAGAGTACATAACCTTTATTCGGCGCATGTACACACCCTCATTTACAGGCTATCTCCCCCAACCAGCGAACCAGGTAACTAAGAGTTGACGATGGGGGCCCGTCGTTCAACTAGTGACCAGGTTCCAGCCAATAAAAAGATGTGCAAGAAAGGTACAAAATACCGACAATATGAAAGTTAAGACACATGTGTCTTAACTTTCAATAAAAAGATGGTTTTGGCAATCGCAGAGGTTATGTGGGTACCACTCTCCTGTCTGCCCTTGTCATTCCCATTCTAGAGCTGGTTGAAGCACGGTCTGCTCTCTTGTGGCTTCTATTCTGCCTTGCTTACCGTGGAATGCACTAATACCTATCACTGTACATAGTGTATATAGTGTACATGTTGCTGTTCTAAATTGGTGAAGGATAATATAAGTCAAAACTTTTCTGCTGTTTTTATTTTGCTCCCTTTACACCCAGGATAACAGGACATTTGGAATCCTGGGTTGTAATAATGACTAAAGGAGATCTATACATCATATAAGAGGTAAGTGACTGATAAATCCTTTCCCTCCAGAATAATATCTAACTGCTGCACAAATAGTTGCTCACTGAATGGTCTTAGCCAGAGTATTACATGTAAATTTTGGTTTACATGACTGGGTTATGAATTAATTATGAATCAATGTCTTGACAATAACATTTAAAGATAATTTCTGTAAAGAGGATAATTTCTTAAGAAAAATTTTTGGGAATGATAAATTTTTCAAAGATGGCAAAATTCTGCAAAGATAATTCTGTAGAAGCTACTTTTAACTGAAGCACCAACCTTGTTACACTGAGTTGGTGAGCTGTCAGCAATTTCACAATCTTCATAAAAATCGGCAAAATCTGATGTATCATCCAAATTTTCAATAAATTGTGTTGGGGTAGGAACTCCTGGACAAAATAAACAAAACATAAGATATATTTTCTTTATTATATCCTTTCAACACTCATCAAACTGACATCAACAGTTCTCAAAATAACTTCAAGAAGTAATGGTGCCTGCTTGGAACTGTGAGATGCAAGCACTAACGAGTGGTCAGAGATGGGGTCATAAAGGAAAGTCAGGTTAGGTAAGATTTGTCAGGAAATAGGACAAGTATTTCCTGACATGAGTCTTAGTCATATGATGACTCACCACTGGAGCTTTTGTTCACCTGACCGAGGCCTTCTACTGGCTTAACAGTCTACCCCTATAAAAATTATGGATATAATTATGACTACAGCTTCTAACATAAAGGAAGTGGTAACACTGACATACTATCTGATTAAAAATACGTACAGCACATCCTGAGGACTTTTTCTTCATAGATTTTTCCTAAGAACTGATGTGAGAAATGAAAATTTATCAATTACATACCTTTATTGTGATGTTGCTGTGGCTGAGAGGGTCGAAAAACTGGAGATCTTCCAACTTCCAAATCATTCTTTTCTTCCACTTTCTTTACATGGGAACTATCTCTTCTTCTTCCAACAAAGGAGAATTTTGGAGTTGATTCTCCTTGTGGCACTGTCTTCTGTTTCTTGACTGACTTACTTAGGGTGATGGGTGAATCGAAGAAGCTGTCTCCACAGGGAGCACTACTCATGGTGGGTGTAGTGTCTCTAACATTTATAGACACATTCCCTTCGCTACTAACATTATTCTGATTAACTTTTTTGAATAATTTGTCAGACAATGTTCTAATTGGATGATTAAGGTATAACATGCTGTTTCCAATGTCTGTCACATCATTCTCACCAGAACAAGTCTTCATTGCATGGCCACTTTGCTGGTAATGTTTGTCATTAGGACTAAGACTTAAAGCATGAACTTTCAATTGATTCTCATTATATTTTTCTTCAGACTGATCATCCTTAATAGTTCTTAGTAATTTTAATTTGAATTCCTTTTCCTTTTCAGAAAGTTTTTTTATTTTAGTAAGGGCATTAACAATTTTCAAGTGTTGTATAACATCATAATTCGGAACTTGTCGAAGAACATCAGCAGGAATGTTCATAAACATCTCAGCCATCAAGTTGAACAATGAAGACTTTAAAGTACTTATGATAGCTAAGTCTTCCTCTTCTAGCTGAGAAATCTATAAGAAATTATAAATAATAAAATATATACATATTTTAGCAGCGTATAGATGTAAGAATGTATAGAAAGGTAAAAAAAACTCTTGAAGATAAAAATGACATTTAATAAAAATATTATTATTATATTTAAGAAGTGAGGAATAAGAGGTAATCAAGGCATCAAGGCACTGCCCTTCAAAAGGTAAAATAAAATAAACTTGAGACTAATGGAAAATGCTAAGGAAAACATGTGATAAATAAAATATTGGTGAAACATTATTCACCACTGTCAATGAATGAAGAAATGAGAAAAAGTAAACTAACTAGAATATAAAATCAGTATGTAGCAGAGGTGGTGAAATCTAATTACATGTATGTCTTTCATGGGAAGCAACAAGCTACATGACTACACAAGTGCCACTACACACTACAGTAAACCTTCTTATAACATGATTTCACAAAGCACAATTTTCTTGCAAAGCAATTGAAAATTTGCAACTATAAATATCAATAATATGCAAAATTCTTAATATAAGCACTGTAAACAAAAAAACAAGTAACAATGCAATAAGTTATACTCTAGTAATTTTTACCTAGTACAACTTCACTGGCAAATATGGAGGAATCTGGAATGTACCATAACTATTTTTCCTACATGTTCTTCACTTTGCACAATACTATTTTTCATAATGTGCCAATTTCCAGGAATTTAACACATGTTATGACAGGGGTTTACATAATAGCAATACACATGAACATTAACTCACCCTAAGAAGTGGATGCTTTAAAATCTGGTCAATAGAGAAACCATCTGAGGTAGAAGAGTAAAGGTCATGGGTTGTAGGAAGACAAAGTCGGCTTGTAACTGAAGGAGCAAAATGTTGATGTGCAGGTGGAGTGGCAGCTGCATCAGTCATTGATGTGGAAGGAGGTGCACTTGGTACTGCAGACACACATGGTCTTGCGACTTCCACAGTGGTAGATGATAGACATGTGTCTTGCAGTGTAGAGCTGGATTCAACTATATCTGATGACACATTAGCAGCTATGTGGGTGGCAACTTGTTTAGCTACCAAACAATGACTTGTTTTAACAGAGGATGCAGAATGATTTGCAATATCTTTATCTACAGGAGACTGCCATTCAGCTGCTGGATTTGCAGACTGATTTACAGTGAATAGTGCTGTTGGTAATTGATCTGCAATAACTGGATTTCCAAAAGGCTGCTTTGCAAACGTGGAGGTTGCAAGTAGATTTATATCAGCTATAACTGCTGAAGATTGGTTTGCAATGATTTGGGATGAAGACTGATTTTCAGTGACTAGAGGAGCAGATGAGCTTTCAGAGGGTACAGCTGCAATGACTGGGATTACGGGAGATTGATTTTCACTGACCGGGTTTACAAGAGACTGCTTAGGAGTAGCTGAGGTTACAATAGATTTATTTATAATTGCAGGTACTGTAGAACATTTTTTTGCAATGTCTAAGGATGCAGAGGGAGTTGCAGATGATACATCTGCAATGACTGGAATTGCTGTAGATTGCTTGAAGACTGTAGGTTTAGTAGAGAGTTTCATGTCATCTAGATGATTTCTGGATATCTCTTGCAACTTACTTTCATTTTTACTGTCTTCTATAAATGCAGAAAGTGTATATTGTACAACGATATCTATCTCATTCATTACCCTTATATATCATACTGAAATCTTCCAAAATTAAATAAATAAATTTTGAATTCAGAATTATGAACAAAACTTGGATTTTTTAATAGGATAAATTCTGAATTTTAATTTGAAAAAAAAAAAAAATGCTGTCAATAAATTAAAATTCTAAATAGGAGAGAAAACTTTCAAAAAATTTTAAGAATATAAACTTTTGAATATTAATTAAGAAAATGTTTCTAATTTGGATTTTTTTTCTAAATATGTGGTGTTTTCATTAATTTATAATACAAATATATATACTGGTTTACAATAAAACATCATTAACACTTTTGCTGAAGTAAATGGAACAAAACTACATTAAAAAGATTACTCAACACTTTAAAGTGATGGTGACTCATTCAAGGAATGAACACTTTATGTCACAGAAACCAAGTTTAATTAACCTGTCATTAGAATATAAAAGTAGAAACATTCCTTACCAAAACTACGAGGGAAAGTTTCGTCCACAGCTGCTGGAGTAAAGATGTCATCCACTGCCTGAGTATTCAGACCCACAATTGGTGGGGAGAGCGGTGCACATTCTATGTAATCCACATCTGCCTGAAACACAAAATTATAATTTAATGAATTAACATGTGATGAAATTCAGAGAGTCATCTGAAGTGCAATGTTGGCACACCCTTAGCATGACGATAACTGAATGAATGATGGTGTGTGTGTTTCCTCTTTCTTTTGGGTTACCCTACCTCAGTGGGAGATGGCTGGTGTGTCATAAAATATCAATAGCATGTGTCTGTTTTTATCATAGTGGCCATTTTTCACCAAGGTAGGTTGATGCAAAGTAGAAAACACATTTACCATTGTTCACTCAGCAGCTGTCTTGACAGAACTAAGACATCACAATACAAATAACCCACTGAACTGCACCATCCCCACCCATTATTCAAAGCACAGGCACTATACTTCATATATTCAGAACTTACTTTACACATATTTTCTATGAGTAAAATTACCATAATCCTACCTTTATAAACTAAATATGTCAGAAAAGGCAACTAAAATACCATGGGCCAAAAAGGTTACAGGAAAGAAATAAAATTACCAGTATATTTTTCTTTTACTTTGGGTTCTTCCACCTTGTTTGGAAGCAGCTGACAAGTTAAAGCAAATGTTCTATGTTAAAAATGCATGGATATAAAAATACTAACATACACATCACCACTTCTAGCATTAGCCTATAACAATCAGCCGCTGGATGAAAAACCCTCTCCCATGTGCTTCCACAAGCTTTTTTTTTTTCTCAATGGCCATCTCCTGTCAAATCAGAGTGATTCAAAGAAGAAAACACATTCACCATCATTCACTCAACTGCTGTCTTGCCATAAGCGTACTATCACAATTCAGATTACCCTCTGGCTACAACATTCCCACACCTCCTTCAAGAGCATAGGCACTGCCCTTTTCACCTCCAGAACTCAAGTCTGCTTCTATTTTGTTAAAATGGGGTAACTTGGTGAGTCTAAATTAGAATGATTTGTCTTGCAAAGTAAGGAAGTGTCAAACACTTTAATAAGTAAAAATTGGAGTAGCATTTACAATGTACAGTGGACCCCCGCATACCGGAAGCATCGCATACCGTACAATCCGCATACCGGACGCTTTGATCGCAAAAATTTTGCCTCGCATACCGCCCAAAAACCCGCTCACCGCCCTTCGTTCGAGACGCGTCCAATGTGCGGCCTGAGCCACGCTCACATGTTCCGCCGGTGGCATTGTTTACCAGCCAGCCTCCGCGGTAACATCAAAGCATACAATCGAAATATTTCGTATTATTACAGTGTTTTTGGTGATTTTTTCTGGAAAATAAGTGACCATGGGCCCCAAGAAAGCTTCTAGTGCCAACCCTACAGCAATAAGGGTGAGAATTACTATGGAGATGAAGAAAAAGATCATTGATAAGTATAAAAGTGGAGTGCGTGTCTCCGAGCTGGCCAGGTTGTATAATAAACCCCAATCAACCATCGCTACTATTGGTGGTACAGCTGCTGCTGTACCACCGTCAGCTGCTGCTGCACTGTCAGCTGCTGCTGCTGTACCACCGTCAGCTGCTGCTGCTGCTGCTGCAGTACCGTCTGCTGCTGCTGTAGCATCGTCTGCTGCTGCTGTAGCATCGTCTGCTGCTGCTGTAGCATCGTCTGCTGCTGTAGCATCGTCTGCTGCTGCTGTAGCATCGTCTGTTGCTGCTGTAGCATCGTCTGTTGCTGCTGTAGCATCGTCTGTTGCTGCTGTAGCATCGTCTGTTGCTGCTGTAGCATCGTCTGTTGCTGCTGTACCACCGTCAGCTGCTGCTGCTGATGTAGCATCGTCTGCTGCTGCTGCTGCTGCTGTAGCATCGTCTGCTGCTGCTGTAACATCGTCAGTTGCTGCTGTAGCATCGTCTGCTGCTGCTGTAACATCGTCAGTTGCTGCTGTAGCATCTGCTGCTGCTGTAGCATCGTCTGTTGCTGCTGTAGCATCGTCTGTTGCTGCTGTACCACCGTCAGCTGCTGCTGCTGCTGTACCACCGTTGTTGGTGTGGCTTATTGAGAATACCAAGAAACAATTAACCCCAGAGGATTTGCCACCCAGGATAACCCAAAAAAGTCAGTGTCATCGAAGACTGTCTAACTTATTTCCATTGGGGTCCTTAATCTTGTCTCCCAGGATGCAACCCACACCAGTCGACTAACACCCAGGTGAACAGGGAAAATGCCTGGAACTAGTGCTCATATTGGTGAATTTAGAGCCAGCAAAGGTTGGTTTGAGAGATTTAAGAATCGTAGTGACATACACAGTGTGATAAGGCCTGTTCTGGAAGAAAATACCAAACAGGACCTACAGTACTCAGGAGGAAAACGCACTCCCAGGACACAGTGTCTCATCAGTCATTGCTCCATCTTCAATAAAGGTAAGTGTCATTTATTCTTCATTTAGTAGAGTAGTACATGCACAATATATATTGTGCATGTACTACTCTACTATTGTGCATGTATCCTTCTCTTTGTGTGTAGGAAAATGTATATTTCATGTGGTAAAAAATTTTTTTTCATACTTTTGGGTGTCTTGCACGGATTAATTTGATTTCCATTATTTCTTATGGGGAAAATTCATTCGCATACCGAACATTTCGCATAACAACCAGCCCTCTTGCACGGATTAAGGTCGCTATGCGGGGGTCCACTGTATACATGCGGTATTTCATCTATGATACAGTACCAATTAAAATTAACCTAATCCTCATAACCAGCCACAAACAACTTTAATATGTATATATTAAAGTTATTTATTCCAAACCCATCATAAATAAAAAATCACTAAAGCCCTTTTTTTAAGTAAAAAGTATATTCATGTCATCAGTAAATGTCAAAATTGCCCTGAATTCTTATATGCTCTTCAATGAACACCATTATTCTGTATTCTTTTATTTTGAATTGTTGTTTGTTTCAACACAAAACTTCCAATTTGTTCCAGATCATTTTGTTCAACTGTGGGGGAGATGCTCCAGCTTCATCTATAACACAAGTGTGCTGCTTAGGTGAATTAGATCAAATTCCAAATAATTTAGGATTATATGTCTACTTTTCCTGTAAAGATTACTAAAAAGAATAAGAAGAAGAAAATTGTCAAAGTGGGAAGTCTGAATGTGCGTGGATGTTGTGCAAATGATAAGAAAGAGATGATTGTGGATGTTATAAATGAGAAGAAACTGGATGTCCTGGCTTTAAGTGAAACAAAGCTGAAGGGGGTGGGAGAGTTTCAATGGAGAGGAATAAATGGGATTAGGTCAGGGGTTTCAAATAGAGTTAGAGCTAAAGAAGGAGTAGCAATAATGTTGAAGGATAAGCTATGGCAGGAAAAGAGGGACTACAAATGTATAAATTCAAGGATTATGTGGAGTAAAATAAAGATTGGATGTGAAAAGTGGGTTATAGTAAGCGTGTATGCACCTGGAGAAGAGAGAAGTGTAGAGGAGAGAGAGAGATTCTGGGAAATGTTGAGTGAATGCGTGGGGAGTTTTGAATCAAGTGTGAGAGTAATGGTGGTTGGGGATTTCAATGCTAAAGTGGGTAAAAATGTTATGGAGGGAGTAGTAGGTAAATTTGGGGTGCCAGGAGTAAATGTAAATGGGGAGCCTTTAATTGAGCTATGTGTAGAAAGAAATTTGGTAATAAGTAATACATATTTTATGAAAAAGAGGATAAATAAATATACAAGGTATGATGTAGCATGTAATGAAAGTAGTTTGTTAGATTATGTATTGGTGGATAAAAGGTTGATGGGTAGGCTCCAGGATGTACATGTTTATAGAGGGGCAACTGATATATCGGATCATCATTTAGTTGTAGCTACAGTTAGAGTAAGAGGTAGATGGGAAAAGAGGAAGGTGGCAACAACAAGTAGGAGGGAGGTGAAAGTGTATAAACTAAGGGAGGAGGAAGTTCGGGTGAGACATAAGCGACTATTGGCAGAAAGGTGGGCTAGTGCAAAGATGAGTAGTGGGGGGGTTGAAGAGGTTTGGAATAGTTTTAAAAATGCAGTATTAGAATGTGGGGCAGAAGTTTGTGGTTATAGGAGGGTGGGGGCAGGAGGAAAGAGGAGTGACTGGTGGAATGATGAAGTAAAGGGTGTGATAAATAAGAAAAAGGTAGCTTATGAGAGGTTTTTACAAAGCAGAAGTGTTATAAGAAGAGCAGAGTATATGGAGAGTAAAAGAAAGGTGAAGAGTGGTGAGAGAGTGCAAAAGGAGAGCAGATGATAGAGTGGGAGAGGCACTGTCAAGAAATTTTAATGAAAATAAGAAAAAATTTTGGAGTGAGTTAAACAAGTTAAGAAAGCCTAGGGAAAGTATGGATTTGTCAGTTAAAAACAGAGTAGGGGAATTAGTAGATGGGGAAAGGGAGGTATTAGGTAGATGGCAAGAATATTTTGAGGAACTTTTAAATGTTGAGGAAGAAAGGGAGGCAGTAATTTCATGCACTGGCCAGGGAGGTATACCATCTTTTAGGAGTGAAGAAGAGCAGAATGTAAGTGTGGTGGAGGTACGTGAGGCATTACGTAGAATGAAAGGGGGTAAAGCAGCTGGAACTGATGGGATCATGACAGAAATGTTAAAAGCAGGGGGGGATATAATGTTGGAGTGGTTGGTACTTTTGTTTAATAAATGTATGAAAGAGGGGAAGGTACCTAGGGATTGGCGGAGAACATGTATATTTTTTTTTTTTTTTTTTTTATCACACTGGCCGATTCCCACCAAGGCAGGGTGGCCCGAAAAAGAAAAACTTTCACATGTATATTCCCTTTATATAAAGGGAAAGGGGACAAAAGAGATTGTAAAAATTATAGAGGAATAAGTTTACTGAGTATACCAGGAAAAGTATACGGTAGGGTTATAACTGAAAGAATTAGAGGTAAGACAGAATGTAGGATTGCGGATGAGCAGGGAGGCTTCAGAGTGGGTAGGGGATGTGTAGATCAAGTGTTTACATTGAAGCATATATGTGAACAGTATTTAGATAAAGGTAGGGAAGTTTTTATTGCATTTATGGATTTAGAAAAGGCATATGATAGAGTGGATAGAGGAGCAATGTGGCAGATGTTGCAAGTATATGGAATAGGTGGTAAGTTACTAAATGCTGTTAAGAGTTTTTATGAGGATAGTGAGGCTCAGGTTAGGGTGTGTAGAAGAGAGGGAGAATACTTCCCGGTAAAAGTAGGTCTTAGACAGGGATGTGTAATGTCACCATGGTTGTTTAATATATTTATAGATGGGGTTGTAAAAGAAGTAAATGCTAGGGTGTTCGGGAGAGGGGTGGGGTTAAATTATGGGGAATCAAATTCAAAATGGGAATTGACACAGTTACTTTTTGCTGATGATACTGTGCTTATGGGAGATTCTAAAGAAAAATTGCAAAGGTTAGTGGATGAGTTTGAGAATGTGTGTAAAGGTAGAAAGTTGAAAGTGAACATAGAAAAGAGTAAGGTGATGAGGGTATCAAATGATTTAGATAAAGAAAAATTGGATATCAAATTGGGGAGGAGTATGGAAGAAGTGAATGTTTTCAGATACTTGGGAGTTGACGTGTCGGCGGATGGATTTATGAAGGATGAGGTTAATCATAGAATTGATGAGGGAAAAAAGGTGAGTGGTGCGTTGAGGTATATATGGAGTCAAAAAACGTTATCTATGGAGGCAGAGAAGGGAATGTATGAAAGTATAGTAGTACCAACACTCTTATATGGATGTGAAGCTTGGGTGGTAAATGCAGCAGCGAGAAGACGGTTGGAGGCAGTGGAGAGAGGGGGTAAAGGAGGTTTTGTGGGCGAGGGGCTTGGACTTCCAGCAAGCGTGCATGAGCGTGTTAGATAGGAGTGAATGGAGACGAATGATACTTGGGACCTGACGATCTGTTGGAGTGTGAGCAGGGTAATATTTAGTGAAGGGATTCAGGGAAACCGGTTATTTTCATATAGTCGGACTTGAGTCCTGGAAATGGGAAGTACAATGCCTGCACTTTAAAGGAGGGGTTTTGGGATATTGTCAGTTTGGAGGGATATGTTGTGTATCTTTATACGTATATGCTTCTAAACTGTTGTATTCTGAGCACCTCTGCAAAAACAGTGATAATGTGTGAGTGTGGTGAAAGTGTTGAATGATGATGAAAGTATTTTCTTTTTGGGGATTTTCTTTCTTTTTTGGGTCACCCTGCCTCGGTGGGAGACGGCCGACTTGTTGAAAAAAAAAAAAAAATGTCTACTTAAGATAATGTTCTACATCTATTCTTAGTATTGATATGGTGACTGATATTCTAAGGTGCAGAATAAAGATTACTAAAGAAAGAGGAATGGAACATTGCATTGGTTACAATGGTCCAGAGAGTGATGATCCCACGTTATTTTAACTCTATTCTCTTTTGCTAAGAAATTGCAAACCTCAATGTACTGAAGATTACTTAATGGTTATACAGTATTTTATTTGCAGTGAAACACCTTACTCATCAGAAAATACAGGTACAACATCGATTTTCCGGACCCATTGGTTCTAAAGCCTTTCTGGATTACCGAGTTTTTTGCCCTTAGAGAGCACAGCATTTTTTCGTCTTGGGGTTGGATAGGTGACGTACAGTTGGGTGGTAAATACACTGCTGCAGGAATTTCAAGTTCCTTCTTGTAAATGTTTGTGGATTATGAGTTTCTGGACAATGTGTCCAGAAAACTGATGTTGTATCTGTAATAATTACAAATATTCAGAAAAATACCTCCTGGTCCAAAGAATGAAAGAAGTCATGCACTTGTGTGTCACTTGGCTCATCAGTAACGAGTCTGTAAGCTGTTGTTAACTTGGAAGCTTTTGTGAATTTGACAGGAGCTTTATTAGAAATACAGTCAGAATCAACAACTTTTCCTTTAACTGTCTTCTCATCAAAATTTCCTTTAGCTTTGTATAGTGACTGTCCAACATTGTTAAAAATATTTTCATTTTCTTGACAAAGCTTATTTTGAATTTCTAGTGGGTTGATCTGAAAAAAGAGAAAAATCTTGGGAACATGCATTCAAAATCATGTAATTTTATGAATCACACAAAATAATTTAGTATATCTCTAAATCTCCTTTATAAGTCATTCATAAGTTGGGTCTTATAGTTACATGTAACTGAGTAAATCAATAACAAAGGCCTATCACTCAACACAGTCCACAAGCTCCACATACACAATTATCCTCAAGCATGATATTATACAGCAGTTTCCATCTGATTGCTCTTTATAAAGTATAACATGCAAGAGCAGCAGTCACTGGAAAGGGTAATATGGAGACTGAGAAACTGTAGCAGACTACATTTTGGTGCTGAAATATGAGTTATGATAAAACAAAAATCAATTGAAAGAAATGTCACCCCTCTTAGTTTCCTCAGGGTTAACTTAGTGGGCCTACTGTCATTCACAACTGCTCAATTCATTTCCTCAGCTCATTTATTCTACAAACTAGTGATAAAATTTTTTTTAATGCAATTTGGCCTCTGAAAACCCAAAAACATAGAAAAACTCAAAATTTTATCTTCACATTCATTGGTCAAAAGAGAGCCATATACAGGCATATGAAAAGAGGGGATGGGCAGTTAAGAAATCAACATATTCAATTAAAGAGAGAAATAAAGAAAGGAATAAGAAAAGCAAAAAGAGATTATGAAGCTAAGGTCACAAGGGATTCAAAGACTAACCCAAAAGGGTTCTTTCAGGTATACAGAAGTAAGATTAGGGACAAGATTGGCCCACTTAAGAGTAACTCTGGTCAGATCACTGACAGTGATAAGGATATGTGTGAAATTCTCAATACCTACTTCCTCTCAGTTTTCACCCAGGAAAATACTAGCGATATTCCTGAAATAATAGATTATGTAGAACAGGACGATAATAAACTATGCACGATTGTGGTAACTAGTAACGTGGCCCTCAGACAAATAAAGAAACTAAAACCTAACAAATCCCCAGGCCCTGATGAACTGTTTGCAAGGGTGTTAAAGGAATGTAAAGAAGAACTTAGCATACCTTTGGCTAACCTTTTTAATATATCACTACAAACTGGCATAGTGCCTGATAAGTGGAAAATGGCAAATGTAATAGTACCTATTTACAAGGCAGGTGACAGGTCCTTGGCTTCGAACTATAGACCTTACCTCCATAGTGGGAAAATTTATGGAATCAATAATTGCCAAAGTAATTCATAGCCATCTTGATAGGTACAGATTGATTAACGAATCTCAACATGGTTTTACGAAGGGGCGTTCCTGTCTTACGAATTTACTAACATTTTTCACTAAGGTGTTTGAGGAGGTAGATCATGGTAATGAATATGATATTGTGTATATGGACTTCAGTAAGGCTTTCGATAGAGTTCCACATCAGAGGCTATTGAGGAAACTTAAGGCACACGGAATAGGAGGAGAAATTTTTTCCTGGGTAGAGGCATGGCTGACAAATAGGCAGCAGAGAGTTTGCATAAATGGGGAGAAATCAGAATGGGGGCACATCACAAGCAGTGTTCCTCAGGGGTCAGTGTTGGGCCCGTTGTTGTTCACAATTTACATAAACGACATAGATGAGGGAACAAATAGCAACATAAGCAAATTTGCTGATGACACCAAAATAGGCCGTTCAATTCATTCTAATGAGGACACTAGAGCACTCCAGGATGATTTAAATAGACTGATGCAATGGTCAGAGAAGTGGCAGATGCAGTTTAATACAGACAAATGCAAAGTTCTAAATGTTGGACAGGAAAATAACAATGCCACATATAAACTAAATAATGTAGATCTGAATACTACTGATTGCGAAAAGGATTTAGGAGTTCTGGTTAGCAGTAATCTAAAACCAAGACAACAGTGCATTAGTGTTCGCAATAAAGCTAACAGAATTCTTGGCTTCATATCTAGAAGTATAAATAATAGAATTCCTCAGGTTGTTCTTCAACTCTATATATCCTTGGTTATGCCTCATTTAGACTATGCTGCTCAGTTCTGGTCATTGTATTACAGAATGGATATACTAAATGCTCTGGAAAACGTACAGATGAGGATGACAAAGATGATCCCATGCATCAGAAATCTTCCCTATGAGGATAGACTGAGGGCCCTGAATCTGCACTCTCTCGAAAGGCGTAGAATTAGGGGAGGATATGATCGAAGTGTATAAATGGAAAACAGGAATAAATAAAGGGGATGTAAATAGCGTGCTGAAAATTTCAAGCCAAGACAGGACTCGCACCAATGGTTTCAAGTTGGAAAAATTCAGATTCAGGAAGGATATAGGAAAGCACTGGTTTGGTAATAGAGTTGTGGATGAGTGGAACAAACTCCAGAGTACAGTTATTGAGGCTAAAATGTTGTGTAGTTTTAAAAATAGGTTAGATAAATACATGAGTGGGTGTGGGTGGGTGTGGGTGGGTGTGGGTGGGTGTGGGTGGGTGTGAGATGGGCCTGACTAGCTTGTGCTGCTGGGTCTGGTGCCGTGCTCCTTCCTTGAGTGGAGGTGACCAGACTGGGTGGGTCATTGGGCTAATCCGGGGGAGGGGGGGGCATGGACCTGCTCCGCATGGGTCAGTAGGCCTGTTGCAGTGTTCCTTCTTTCTTATGTTCCTATTCCTTTTTCCATCAAAAAATTTTTAATAAATTCTCTTACTGTTACCAATTTGTGCCATTCACTACAGCAAAGACATATGTATATCCAATGTTGGATGTAGACAGGAAGGACAAAAATACATCTTCTTTCTTTCAATGCACCGGCTGTATCCCACCGAGGCAGGGCGGCCCAAAACGAAAAATGAAAGTTTCTCCTTTTACATTTAGTAACATATATACAGGAAAAGGGGTTACTAGCCCCTTGCTCCTGGAATTTTAGGTGCTTCTTACGACACGCATGGCTTACGGAGGAGCAATTCTGTTCCACTTCCCCATGGAGTAATTCTGTTCCACTTCCCCATGGAGTTAAGTGGAAATGAACAACAAGAACTAGTAAGAAAAATAGAAGAAAACCCAGAAGGGTGTAATGTACTATATATATGCTTGTACATGCATATGTAGTGTGAACTAAATGTACGTAGAAACAGCAAGACGTACCTGAAATCTTGCATGTTTAAGAGAGAAAAAGACACCAGCAATCCTACCATCATGTAAAACAATTACAAGCTTTCGTTTTACTCAATTGGCAGGGCGGTTGGAAGACAGCAACCACCCTCCCTGGGTGGTTGCTGTCTACCAACCTACTACCTAGGACAAAAATACATACACATTTTATTTTATAAGAAAATTAATGCATTTTTTACCTTGGGTTTTGTCATGGGAGGAACAGTAACCTCTTCTGTCTTCGTTGGTGAGAACTCCTCTATGGTGTTCTCTAGATCAGTTTCATCATCAGAGCTAATAATAAGTTTGTTTTTCTTCTTTCGTGACACAAGTTTTATATCATCTTCATCCTCTCTAGTTTTCTCTATGATAGTCTTAGTTCCTTCAGATTTTCCTAAAATGATAAGAATAATTCATTTATCCCCTAAAAGAAAATCTATATGCCAAATACAAGTGTCACAAAATAATGCATTACAAACAAGCAGCTGTGACTAATGGATAAGGTTTACATAGATAATGCTAATACAGGTCGGCCATAACTAATCTGGCATCACTGGAACCTGTAGTGTGCCAGATTAGTGAGTTTGCTGGAGTACAGAGTGGTTAGGTTAGAATACACTTAATTAATCTATCAATAGAGAGACTTTCTGCTACATCTTCCTCATTTTCATCACTCCTTTCTCCTGCACTGGCTTGATGCTGTAGATTTACAACCATCTGCACAATTTCTGAGTCAGTATAATGATGAAATTTGAGTCAGTATAATGATTTGAGTCAGTATAATGATGAAATCTGAAATTATGCTAGCCGAAATTAGTGCCGGATTACTGACGGAACTGGATAACTGATTGCCGGATTAGTGATGGTTGACCTGTATTCAGTTTCAGAAAAAGGCAAATATAGCAGCCCTTGAGATAAATGAGAAAAACCAACTTTGTCTTAGTTTTGCAGGTACTAAGTGAACGTATTTAACAAAATGCACATCAGCCACACTGACAAATGAACAAATTAAGCATTTATTGGTCTGCAGCAAAAATTATACAACAGCCAGGACTAGACAGGCCACAAAAGAATCCAGGAACACCAAAGGCATTCTTCCAAGCTAACCTGTTGCCCAACTGAACTGGTGAATCATTTGAAGCACTGCATTATGATTTATTTTAAACATCTCTGCAAAATAGGAAGTCTTAGAGAGTGTATAAATCTGTAGTCAAGGGAAAGGAGCAGTCAGGGTTGACTTAGGAAGGGTTGGAGAGAGGGGGAAAAAGATGATTTGTGTGCAAGGCACTTGGAAATCCAACAGGCATGTGCATATGTGTTAGATAGGAGTGGAGGGAAGTAGTTTTTATGACTTCACATGCTTGCACTCGGAAGGATGGGTGGGGATGTTGCAGTTCAGGGGGTCACTTGAATTTTTATGTCCATGCTATTGTGGCAAGACAGCTAGTGAATGAATGATGGGGAATGTGTTTCCTTCTCTGGGTTATCTTGTCTAGGCAGATAACAACTGATGTGGTAAACAAAACATGAAAAAAAGCACTTGAAAAAATATCATGAGTGTGAAATATGAAAAAATTAATACTCCATAAATATGAATAACATAAAAGTGTCTGAGCATACCAAATAATTATCTTATTATTTATCTTAAATAATTAGACTGAGATACATAAAAATTTTGTCTAATATAAAAATAGTTATAACAAAAAATAAGAATAAAACTATTAATTAGAAAAAATATATGTAAATAAAAGTAAAATTACCTTTATTAAAGGAAGCATCCAACTCAAAATCACAGATATCATCAAAATCATCATCTATGAGAATGAAGTTAGTGGAATGTGCTGATTCAGGTACCACATTAATAGCCTGGGGGGATCTGCAAGGCACCACTACAGTTATTAAAACACAATCATACCAGCATCATGGTATAGAAAATGTAAATGCAAAGTTGGTAGCTGCTACTTGTTTGAATCATCTGGTTTCATTCCAGAAATATTTAGTGGAAGGGGGATAAAAGAGGTTTGGAGTGCTAGGAGCTTAAGAACCCAGAAGGCTTATGTAAGGGTGTCAGAGCTCAATAAAAAAATACTAATAAATAATGATGCTATTATACACATGCTAGAACATATATATACTGCAATAGAGAAAAAAGAAGTCCCACTGGGGATCTTCATTGACTTACGTAAAGCTTTTGATACAGTTGACCATGACTTGCTCCACATAAAATTGTCACACTATGGTATAAGAGGGCACTCCCTCAACTACCTCAAGTCATACCTCAGCAACAGAAGCCAACATGTGTACACAAATGGGGCAAACTCTTCCGCACAACCAATTACAGTTGGTGTCCCACAGGGAAGTGTCCTTGGCACTCTTCTCTTTCTCCTATACATAAATGACCTACCAAATGCTTTGCAATTACTCAAACCCACACTATTTGCAGATGACACTACATACGTCTTCTCTCACCCGAGCCCAGTCATGCTAGCCAATACTGTAAATACCGAATTACAGAAAATATCTACCTGGATGAGGACTAACAAACTTACACTAAACATTGACAAAACCTACTTCATTCAGTTTGGTAACAGAGCTACAGATGTCCCTCTTAACATAATGATAAATGGATCACCTATCACAAAGCTAACAGAGGGAAAATTCTTAGGAATCCACCTTTATAATAGACTCAAATTTCATACACATATACAACAAATTTCTAAGAAAATTTCCAAGACTGTAGGCATACTATCGAAGATACGGTACTATGTTCCACAGTCAGCCCTCCTGGCCCTATATCACTCTCTTATTTACCCCTATCCCACCTATGGAATTTGTGCATGGGGCTCAACAGCAATTAACCATCTCAGACCACTAATTACCCAACAAAAGGCTGCAGTCAGAATGATAACAAATTCCCACTACAGGCAGCACACTCCACCAATATTCAAAACACTAAACCTACTCACCATACAAAACATCCATACTTATTACTGCACCTATTACATACATAGAACACTTAACTCTGATATTAACCCTCCCCTCAAACATCTCCTTTCCAACCTCAACAGAGCACATGACCATAACACAAGGCACAGATCACTCTTTGATGTTCCTCGTGTCCATCTCACACTATGCAAAAACTCAATGCACATAAAAGGCCCTAAAATCTGGAATTCATTACCTGTAAATATAAAAGAAACACTACCTGTTTATAAATTCAAGTCTCTTCTCAAAGATCACTTACTCACCCAAAACCAAATAAATAGTGAATAACTAAACCTTATAAATTATATATCTTAAATGTTTCTCACAATTATATCACATAAATGTTAAACCTAAGACCCAATCTAACTTTGTTATTTTTTAAATACACTATCTAACAGAATACTCCATTCTACTGAATGTACAGCAATGCATGCAACCATATGACCTGTCTTTGTAATACTCATTTGTGCTTTATTGTTATCTGTTTACAATAATGTTTTATCACTGATTACATCATTGCTTGGTTAATCTTTAAGTTAATTCTAAGCCTGCCTGTAATGCTATGCATACAAGTGGCTTTGGCATGCTGCTCTTACCTGTATTTTTTTGTACCTCTGTATGTATGTTCGGCTGTCTCCCACCGAGGCAGGGTGACCCAAAAAAGAAAGAAAATCCCCAAAAAGAAAATACTTTCATCATCATTCAACACTTTCACCACACTCACACATTATCACTGTTTTTGCAGAGGTGCTCAGAATACAACAGTTTAGAAGCTTACACATATAAAGATACACAACATATCCCTCCAAACTGCCAATTATTAAATAAATAAATAAATAAATAAATAAAGTGGAGAGGCTGCGGTTTGGAGTGTCAAATGAATTGTGATGTCTGTGCCCTCATAGCAAGACTGATTAAATGAGTGACAGTGAAAGTGTTTTCTTATTTGTCAGGTCACCTTGCCTTGGTTGGAGATGGCTAGAGGGTTTAATAAAAAAAAAAAAACTTTGGCACTAAACACAAAAGGGGTCATACAGTAAGTGTTTGATTGTAGTGAATGGAGACAAGTGGTTTTTAAGAATTCTTGTGATTTTTGGAATATGAGCTAGGTAGCATTTACGAAGGGATTCAGAAAAACCCATTAGACAGATCTGAGTCCTCAAGGTGGGAACTACAGTGTCTGCACTCTAAAGGAAGGGTAGGTATACTGCAATTTGGAAAATCGTCTGAATTATGATATCTGCACACTTCTGGCAAGACACCTAATGAATGAGAGATGGTAAATGTTTCATTATTTTTTTTTTTTTTTTTTTTTTTTTTTTTGAGTTACCCTACCTCAGCATGTTAAGAAATTGGATAAAGTGCAGAAGCAAGCAACAAGGCTTGTTCTTGAATTAAGAGGCATGAACTACAAAGAAAGGCTAACAGAATTGAATCTGACAACAATGGAAGACAGAAGAACCAGGGGAGATGTGATAACATACAAAATACACACGAGGAATTTATAGTGCAAAGAAGCACAGGATACTTGAAAGAAGAGAAATGGAACCTGGGGGACACAGCTGAAAGTTAAAGACACAGATGAGCCACAGAGATGCTAGGAAGCATTTCCTCAGTTTAAGGGTGGCTGGAAAGTGGAATGATCTTGGTGAGGAAATGGAGGCAGACTACATACATAGATTTAGGAGGTATGATAGGGCCTATGAGGCTAGGAGGGAATGAATCTGGCAAACAGCAAGTTGAGAAGTGCCAAGAGCTAGGACTCAACCCCAATAATACATAGTTTCAAAGATGTAATTTCACAAGTACTGTACAGATCTACTGTTGTAACTAGAAGCAGATAATTATGGTGGATTACATATTTTTCACTAACTTAAAACCCACAAATTGCTTTCTGTGATAACTTACACTTTCGCAACAGGCTTAGAAAACTTTTCAACTTGAGGAATGAATGGAATTCTATTATTTGACACAGTAGGAGAATTCCCCAAAAAATCAACCATACTACGTTGGCGGGGTGAACGGCTTTTGGCACCACGCCGACACAACCTGGACATCTCAACTTTTACATCTGCAATATTATAAATTTACAAATAAACAAAAATGTGTGAAAATAGAAAGATCAAGTTGCCTGCTTAACAATCACAATTCTTAAGAATAATAAAAAAAAATAATAGACAGTGAACTAAGTACAGCAATTATATCAGCTTAAAAATATTTAGAAATTATATTAGCTTCAAAAATATACAGCTTATAAAAAATAAAAAATCAGTTATAAACAACACAAAAAATCTAATCACAGGCAAAAAAAAAAAAAAATTTAACTAGGATTAATTTCCTCTTATATGCATTTGCATATACAATATGTACTCAATACAGGTCTAAACCTAAGTAGAAATTGCTGCTATGCAAATAAATGGGCCCAAATATCATTATAATAATGGTATACAATACCAACAAATAGACGAGAGAGACATGTGCAACAGGTTGGTAACTTTATTTCTGAAACATATTGCCTGTAGAGTAAGCTTCTTCAAATAGAGAGGTGACTAAATATGGAGACAGCAGAAGCAGGGGAGAGATAACTTTGATGTGGTCACTCCCTCAGCCTGGAGAAACATTCAGCCCCACAGTCTTGAACAATGTGTCCCATGGCTTGGTAAGGAACACTCTCACCTCTCACACTGAGTGTTTATGGTTAACCCTCAGGCTGGATGGAAACGTTGGGCACGTTTCCTTACACCTGCTGTCCCTGTTCACCTAGCAGTAAGTAGGTACCTAGGTATTAGTCACCTGGTATGGGTTGCATCCTGGGAGACAAGATCACAATGGAAATAAGTAAGACAGTCCTCGATGACACACTGACTTTCTTGGGTTCTCCTGGCTGGCTAACCCTTCAGGTTAAACATCCAAATAAATCTCATCTTCAAAACTATGGAGATGAACACTTCTCCACTCTAAGGGACTGACCACCTCAGCATCACTTCAAGGCTGATGGACTGATAACTTCATCTTTACTTATCAACTGCTTCTGATGTCTCCATGTTTAGTCACCTCTGTATTTGACTGAAGAAACCTACATTTATAGACGAAAGGTTTCAGAAATAAAAAATATTGCTGCGCCAAAAAATGTCTTAAATCATCTAAAAGTGACTAAAATATTGAACAGCCCATCACAAGAAACCAAAAATGTTAAAATATTCAGTCTAAAAATGTCAAATACTACAACACAGGCAAGTTACTCATAACACAGCTACTCACAACACAGGCAAGTTACTCATAACACAGCTACTCACAACACAGGCAAGTTACTCACAACAAATTCAGGTTTTTCATAACACAGCCACTCGCAACACAGGCAAGTTACTCATAGCAGATCTACATAAATCACAAGAGACAACACAACACAACTATTCATATCACAGGAGACAACACAACACAAAACACTCACAACACAGGAAACACTCACAATACAGAAGACACTTACAATACAGGAGATACAACATAGGAAACACTCATAACACAGGAGACACAACACATGAAATACTCAACACTGGAGACAACACAGGAGTCACCCACAACACAGTTCACTCACAATACAGGAGACACAACCCCAATGGAAATAAGTCACTCTGACTTTTTTGAGTTATCCTAAGGATCTCTACACATATGTTGCTATATATAATCTATGTAACTGTATTTGTGTATAGTACCTGAATAAACTTACTTACATAACACAGGAGTCACAACACAGGAGACACAACACAGATGATGTGAAGTTAATGAGGAGAATTAAATCAGATGAGGATCAGGTAGGACTTCAAAGGGACCTGGACAGGCTGGACACCTGGTCCAGCAACTGGCTTCTCGAATTTAACCCCACCAAATGCAAAGTCATGAAGATCAGGGAAGGGCAAAGAAGATCGCAAACAGAGCATATGATAGGTGGACAAAGACTGCAAACCTCATTCAAGGAAAAAGATCTTGGGTGAGTTTAATACCAAGCACGTCTCCTAAGGCGCACATCAACCAGATAACTGCTGCAGCATATGGGCGCCTGGCAAATTTAAGAATATCGTTCTGATACCCCAGTAGCGAATAGTTCAAGACACTGTACACCGTGTACATCAGGCCCATACTGGAGTACGCAGCACCAGTTTGGAACCCACACCTGGTCAAGCGCATCAAGAAATTAGAGAAAGTGCAAAGGTTTGCGAAAAGGATAGTTCCAGAGAAGGTTGAGGGAAATCGGCCTGGCGACACTGGAGGACAGGAGGGTCAGGGGAAACATAATAACGACATACAAAATACTGCGTGGAATAGATAAGGTGGACAGAGACAGGATGTTCCAGGGAGGGGACACAGCAACAAAGGGTCACAATTGGAAGTTGAAGACTCAGACGAGTCACAGGGACGTTAGGAAGCATTTCTTTAGTCATAGAGTTGTCAGGAAGTGGAATAGTCTAGCAAGTGAAGTAGTGGAGGCAGGAACCATACATAGCTTTAAGACAAGGCATGATAAATGTTATGGAGCAGAGAGAGAACCTAGTAGCGATCAGTGAAGAAGCAGGGCCAGGAGCTATGTCTCAACCCCTGCCACCACAATTAGGCGAGTACAATTAGGCTAGTACAGGAGTCACAACACAGGAGACAACACAACACAGGAGACAACACAACACAGGAGACAACACAGGAGACAACACAACACAGGAGACAACACAACACAGGAGACAACACAACACAGGAGACAACACAACACAGGAGACAACACAACACAGGAGACACAACACAACACAGGAGACACAACACAACACAGGAGACAACACAACACAGGAGACACAACACAACACAGGAGCCAACACAACACAGGAGACACAACACAACACAGGAGCCAACACAACACAGGAGACACAACACAACACAGGAGCCAACACAACACAGGAGACACAACACAACACAGGAGACAACACAACACAGGAGACACAACACAACACAGGAGCCAACACAACACAGGAGACACAACACAACACAGGAGCCAACACAACACAGGAGACACAACACAACACAGGAGCCAACACAACACAGGAGACACAACACAACACAGGAGACACAACACAACACAGGAGACAACACAACACAGGAGACACAACACAACACAGGAAACACCAAAACACAGGAGACAACACAACACAGGAGACACAACACAGGAGACAACACAACACAGGAGACACAACACAGGAGACAACACAACACAGGAAACACAACACAGGAGACACAACACAGGAAACAGACACAACACAACACAGGAGACACAACACAGGAAACACAGACACAACACAACACAGGAGACACAACACAGGAAACAGACACAACGCAACACAGGAGACACAACACAGGAAACAGACACAACACAACACAGGAGACACAACACAGGAAACAGACACACAACAGACACAACACAACACAGGAGACACAACACAGGAAACAGACACAACACAACACAGGAAACAGACAACACAACACAGGAAACACACAACGCAACACAGGAGACACAACACAAGAGACAACACAGGAGACACAACACAAGAGACACAACACAGGAGACACTCACCTCACTCACTAACATAAACAAACTGGTTCTCAAACATTACTGGCGGGAATCAGTGTTTTTCTCCCAGGATAAACTACCAACTTCATTACACTAAGTAACTTTATTCACTCTATATATCCATCATATAAATAAATAAATACATACATAATATCTTACTAAACCCGTTTAATCCTTATCATATTATCCTAATCCTCATAATATTGCCTTCATTGTTTTATTGACATATTTAATGTTTTTTTCAATTTTAGTTTAAAAATAGATATATAAAATAGAAAATAACTTGCATTATAGGTCACTTATTAATAGGATATTAAATAAGATACATTTGCAAAATGTACAAGTATGGGCTAAGGACTTAAAAAAAAGTAATGATAAGTGTTAAACCCACAGGGGCCAAATAACTCCTTTGTAATGGAAGATAATTAGGTTTAATCCGAGGAAGATGATGGCTTCAATTTGTTGGATCAAGAACCCCGGAATCAGACTCAAAAATATTATTTTCGTTTAAATTGTCTATATAATTTTAATCAGAATTTAGCGCTAAACCTACAAGGCTCGTACAGCTCTGAAAATTGTCTATAAATAAATATCATTAGCATTAGCATCATCAACATTTGCAGCAGCATTAGCATGAGCATCAGCATGAGCATGAGTAGCAGCATGAATATTAGTAGCAGCATGAATATTAGTAGCAGCATGAATATTAGTAGCAGCATGAATATTAGTAGTAGCATGAATATTAGTAGTAGCATGAATATTAGTAGCAGCATGAATATTAGTAGCAGCATGAATATTAGTAGCAGCATGAATATTAGTAGCAGCATGAATATTAGTAGTAGCATGAATATTAGTAGTAGCATGAATATTAGTAGCAGCATGAATATTAGTAGCAGCATGAATATTAGTAGCAGCATGAATATTAGTAGCAGCATGAATATTAGTAGTAGCATGAATATTAGTAGTAGCATGAATATTAGTAGCAGCATGAATATTAGTAGCAGCATGAATATTAGTAGCAGCATGAATATTAGTAGCAGCATGAATATTAGTAGCAGCATGAATATTAGTAGCAGCATGAATATTAGTAGTAGCATGAATATTAGTAGTAGCATGAATATTAGTAGTAGCATGAATATTAGTAGCAGCATGAATATTAGTAGCAGCATGAATATTAGTAGCAGCATGAATATTAGTAGCAGCATGAATATTAGTAGCAGCATGAATATTAGTAGCAGCATGAATATTAGTAGTAGCATGAATATTAGTAGTAGCATGAATATTAGTAGCAGCATGAATATTAGTAGCAGCATGAATATTAGTAGCAGCATGAATATTAGTAGCAGCATGAATATTAGTAGCAGCATGAATATTAGTAGCAGCATGAATATTAGTAGTAGCATGAATATTAGTAGTAGCATGAATATTAGTAGCAGCATGAATATTAGTAGCAGCATGAATATTAGTAGCAGCATGAATATTAGTAGCAGCATGAATATTAGTAGCAGCATGAATATTAGTAGTAGCATGAATATTAGTAGTAGCATGAATATTAGTAGCAGCATGAATATTAGTAGTAGCATGAATATTAGTAGCAGCATGAATATTAGTAGCAGCATGAATATTAGTAGTAGCATGAATATTAGTAGTAGCATGAATATTAGTAGCAGCATGAATATTAGTAGCAGCATGAATATTAGTAGTAGCATGAATATTAGTAGCAGCATGAATATTAGTAGTAGCATGAATATTAGTAGCAGCATTAGCATGAGTAGCAGCATGAATATTAGTAGCAGCATGAATATTAGTAGCAGCATGAATATTAGTAGTAGCATGAATATTAGTAGCAGCATCAGCATGAGTAGCAGCATGAATATTAGTAGCAGCATGAATATTAGTAGTAGCATGAATATTAGTAGTAGCATGAATATTAGTAGCAGCATGAATATTAGTAGCAGCATGAATATTAGTAGTAGCATGAATATTAGTAGTAGCATGAATATTAGTAGCAGCATTAGCATGAGTAGCAGCATGAATATTAGTAGCAGCATGAATATTAGTAGTAGCATGAATATTAGTAGTAGCATGAATATTAGTAGTAGCATGAATATTAGTAGTAGCATGAATATTAGTAGCAGCATTAGCATGAGTAGCAGCATGAATATTAGTAGCAGCATGAATATTAGTAGCAGCATGAATATTAGTAGTAGCATGAATATTAGTAGCAGCATCAGCATGAGTAGCAGCATGAATATTAGTAGCAGCATGAATATTAGTAGTAGCATGAATATTAGTAGTAGCATGAATATTAGTAGCAGCATGAATATTAGTAGTAGCATGAATATTAGTAGCAGCATCAGCATGAGTAGCAGCATGAATATTAGTAGCAGCATGAATATTAGTAGTAGCATGAATATTAGTAGTAGCATGAATATTAGTAGTAGCATGAATATTAGTAGCGACATGAATGATATTAGTGGCAGCATTAATATTAGTAGCAGCATGAATATTAGTAGTAGCATGAATATTAGTAGCGACATGAATGATATTAGTGGCAGCATTAATATTAGTAGCAGCATGAATATTAGTAGTAGCATGAATATTAGTAGTAGCATGAATATTAGTAGCAGCATGAATATTAGTAGCAGCATGAATATTAGTAGTAGCATGAATATTAGTAGTAGCATGAATATTAGTAGCAGCATGAATATTAGTAGCAGCATGAATATTAGTAGCAGCATGAATATTAGTAGCAGCATGAATATTAGTAGCAGCATGAATATTAGTAGTAGCATGAATATTAGTAGCGACATGAATGATATTAGTGGCAGCATGAATATTAGTAGCAGCATGAATATTAGTAGTAGCATCAGCATGAGTTGTGGAAAATTGCATTTATCTGAATGTAACTAATTATGTACATAACAGAAAATGATAACAAAGATAATTATTATTTATCAATGTTACATAGACAAGTAGGAATTTGGGACACCTAGGTCGCAAAAAATGTCCCCCTTCGATACCTACCACTGTCATAACCACAAGTTGCTCTGGACCTATTAATCATAAATGATTTGTATCACCAGGAATGCTGTTAAATATATAAATTTGTGGACTGTATATTAAAAATAATAAATGATTATAGATACACATATATACACATTTATACAACAGAAGGAGAATATATCTTAATATCACTCACCAATTTGACTGGATATTAATGTGTATCATACTCAGAAAACCTCACTCTAACTAAATCTATGAAAATAATGCTGGTCAGAATTATACACAAATCTAGAGAGCTTATCTGAGGTTCCTGGAGCTGTCTTGTCCAGTCGTCTAATATCTCAAGTTATACAGGAATGCACATCCACCAATTTCGCCTCCTATTTGAGAGGTGTCAACACAATTTTAACCTCTAGAGCACGAAAAATTCTTCCCCATTCATCAACGTTTGTACAAAATTCAAAACCAAGATGGCGAGTCTCCTGCCCAGACGCAGGCTTTCAGTTTTCTATGACAAATATTATTAAATACAGTATAGGCCATCTATTTACCTATAAATTACCGTATTTCCGGAAAATATATACAGTATTTTCCACATGAGTAGCAGTATGAATATTAGTAGCAGCATGATCATTAGTAGCAGCATGATCATTAGTAGCAGCATGAATATTAGTAGCAGCATCAGCATGAGTAGCAGCATGATCATTAGTAGCAGCATGAATATTAGTAGCAGCATGAATATTAGTAGCAGCATGGATATTAGTAGCAGCATTAGCAGCAGCAGCAGCATTAGCAGCAGCAGCAGCATTAGCAGCAGCAGTAGCATTAGCAGCAGCAGCAGCATTACCAGCAGCAGTAGCATTAGCAGCAGCAGCAGCAGCAGCATTACCAGCAGCAGTAGCATTAGCAGCAGCAGCAGTAGCATTAGCATTAGCAGCAGCAGCAGCAGCATTAGCAGCAACAGTAGCATTAGCAGCAGCAGCAGCATTACCATCAGCAGTAGCATTAGCAGCAGCAGCAGCATTATCAGCAGCAACAACATTAGCATTTGCAGCAGCATTAGCATTTGCAGCATTAGTATTCACAGCATTAGCAGCAGCAGCATTAGCAACAGCAGCAGCATCAGTATTAATAATAATATAGCACCTGGTGGATGAGAGGTATTCAGATTCAGTGCAAAGAATGGGAAGACAGACCAGCTCCTTGGATCATGACCCTCTCACTTTTATCAAAGCACCTTCCTTGAGGAGTGCAAAGGGAAGGGTAATCAGGTTTGATTCAGCTCTGTGGATCAAGAGTCCTTCACCATCATTAATAAAGGTATACTATTATCATTATAATCATAACTAAGCGCTAAACCCATGAGGGTCATACAGCACCACAATTTTGCCATGCCTGCATAAGAGGGGATGGGTGTACCTGGAGGGGGTTTTGGGGGTCAATGCCCCCACGGCCAGGTCTATGACCAGGCTTCATGGTGGTTCAAGGCCTGATCAACCAGGCTGTTACTGCTGGCCACACACAAACCGACATATGAGCCACAGCCTGGCTAGTCCTGTACTGACAATGAAAAAACACTAAATTTAATGAGTTATGTAGTTCTAAAATTTTAACATGTTATACACTTGTCAGTTTAACAAAAGAAAATTTTCTCATTATTCATGACCTGCTCTTGGGAGATTATTTGCATTCATGGGAAGCACTAAACCCATAGGTCATATAGTGCCTGTAGGAATGGGAAACATTCAGGTTCAAGGAAGGGGAGGCAGGTCCAATTCCTTGGATTAAGAGCTCCTCAGTTAAGAACCTCCCTTGAGGGGTGCTCTTGGAGACAATCATACAAGCACTAAACTTGAAGGGGGGGTCATATTATCATTCTTTTAATCATAAGTGCTAAACCCATAAGTCATACAGTGCTGGAAAATGGGAGACAATCAGGCTTGATTTAAGGAAGGTGAGGACATGCAATTCCTAGAATCAAGAGCCCCTCTTCAGTATCAAGGATTATCATTATAATCAAAGGGGAAGCACTAAACCCATAGGGTTATACAGCACCTGTGGGGGGATGTGGAAGGCATTCAGGTTTAATTCAAGGAACTGGAGCATAGACCCAATTCCCTAGATCCAGAGCCCCTCACCAGCATCAAGGAGCCTTGGAAACATAAACACATAGCTGAACCACTTGCCAAGAAACTTCTTCATCGCTATCCCACATAAGAACATAGAACACTGCAGAAGGTCTACTCACAACTTGTCCAATACCCCTGCCTAGCTACCCGAGACTCTATAACCCCACCCGGTAGATCATCAGATGCAGCATTCTCCACCTGACCTCAACATTCTGAACCTGACTATAAATACTCCCGTTCCTTCCACCCCAGGTAGATCCATTTGTGACTTGAAAAAGCCCACTGTGTGGGCGAAACGTTGTCAATAAAGGATCACATTAAACTGCATATGTGTATGTTTCCATTGTGTCGGTATTTTATACCATTTATTTTCATCAAGGAGCCTTCCTTGAGGGGTCAGTATCAAGGAACCTCCCTTGAAGGGCCCCCCCTCAAGAAAAATCTCTTATTGTGAAGGTGTTCCAGTTTTAATATATTGGGTATAAAGATGCTTTGTCCTCATCCGACAAGTGGAAAACATTGCAATGATTATTCACACAAAGCACTAAAGCTGTACTAGTGTACAGTATTATGAAGTGGACATTTTGTGGGAGAAATGCTGAACTTGTAAGGGTCACAGAGCACCTTTGGACGAGAGGAAATAACCTGATCCAAGGGAAGTTTAGAGTTCCTTCATTTATCTAGTTAGTGCCTTTCACTAACATCAGACTTTCCATGAGGGAACTTTCCCTAAAGGTTCCAAGATTCAGGTAAGAGGCTCAGTTCAGAGACTTGCACTTTCTTGGATCAAACTTGATTGCCTCCCATTCCCAGGCACTGTATGATCCCTATTGGTCTAGTGCTTCCCCTTAAATATAATGCTAATAATAATAATTGAAGAAACTATGTAGCAGAGCGGTAATCTCAATGCTTTTTAATTATAATCAAAACCAAGCACTAAACCCACAAGTCATACAGAACTGCTCATCGCTTTAATTACTCATCACAAATTACTGTGTACAAGGGGTAGACTAAGACGTAACAAAGCGTTCAGTTCTTATTTGGATTGTACAGTTTTCAAAGTAGAGAGAAGTTGACCATTGTTTATAAGGGACCATAAAAACTGGCCATCATTATTACATTCATTGGGAAGCACCAAGTCCACAACTATCATACAGTGCCTGGGAAATATGAGATTTAGGAGGGGGGGGATAATTAGGTTTGACCCGAGGAAGGGGAAACTAACTCCAATTCCTTGAATCAAGTGCCCTTCACCAACAACAAGGCACCATATCTTAAAGGAACATAAATAAGAAATGAAGCAAGTTTATATAAGAAATTTTACACTTTGTAAAAGAAAACAACAAACAATTTTTTAAACATGTATTTCTAGTGACAAAACTCACAGTGGAAATAAGGTAAAAAAATTTCGAAGAAGACACTAAGTCTTCTTATTGTTTATGTACAATACTGATGATCTCATATATGAGGTGGTCACCAGCAATTAACATTAATCTAAGTGGAATTACATTAAACTGATTTTCATATATACAATTTATTAAGTAGAACCCTTTAAAAAAAAGGGGATTTCAAACAATTCAGTATCCCATTCACATTCATATTCACTTAATATAACATTCAACTTCACTTCAGGCTCAGTCTCCTCAATTCATACCTACAAAACATTATTAAAATGGATAAATAATAAAGATATTAAATTTTGCCTAAAGACATTATTAGGTACAGAGTTTTTGTAACACTTATCAAGAATACTTTAGTCTCTTGGAAAGAAATAGGTTTGTACCTGAAGCACATACCATGAAGGTGGAATTTTAAATAAAATTATATTCTCGGGTTGCTCTCACTTACAATAAAAGGAATTCTGGCCCTTGAGTCAGATAAACTGAGCTGAAGATTTTCAAAATACAGTACATATACTGAATTCAGTCAGTCAGTAATGAAATATATTAAAAAAATTAAAACTGAGAAAACAAATACATAATTTAAATAATGAAAATTAAATCATGAGAAAATATAGAAGAGCCGTACATTATCAATTTCTCTCATATCAACCTGAGCATTTCTCAAGTAATCTATCAAAATATTTGCTGAATTTGGCAGAAAGTCAAAGACAGCAAACAACTACATTTAAGACGAAACTAGTGTCACAGTCTGAATATTACTCTGGGACAATAAAGTAAAGGTGTCATGAGCTAAAAACAATGATTTACGTGAATACTTAAGCATCAAGTAATACAAGTCTTTTACATTATAAATCAGTCATATAATTCCTTACCTAACTGTATAAAATAAAGATAAAATTTATTTTGTGATGAATATAAAATAACACTATTTTGAGTGTTCCAATAAGTTTGTTTTGATCCTTATGCAAGTAACTGTACAAAAAAAAAAAAAAAATACAACTGAACCTCAACTATCTGCAAACATCTGTTACTGAAAGCTGATTTTAGCAGACTAGCTTCCCCACTGATGTAATCTGTAATATGAGGTACTGGGGATTAGCTTCCCCACAGCCTAGTCAAAGATTGAACCACCAAGACTGGAAATGAGAAATTATAGATGGGGTTGCAAAAGAAATAAATGCTAGGGAGTTCGGGAGAGGGGTGGGATTAATTTATGGGGAATCAAATACAAAATGGGAATTGGCACAGTTACTTTTTGCTGATGATACTGTGCTTATGGGAGATTCTAAAGAAAAATTGCAAAAGTTAGTGGATGAGTTTGGGAGTGTGTGTAAAGGTAGAAAGTTGAAAGTGAACATAGAAAAGAGTAAGGTGATGAGGGTGTCAAATGATTTAGATAAAGAAAAATTGGATATCAAAATGGGGAGGAGGAGTATGGAAGAAGTGAATGTTTTCAGATACTTGGGAGTTGACGTGTCGGCGGATGGATTTATGAAGGATGAGGTTAATCATAGAATTGATGAGGTAAAAAAGGTGAGTGGTGCATTGAGGTATATGTGGAGTCAAAAAATGTTATCTATGGAGGCAAAGAAGGGAATGTATGAAAGTATAGTGGTACCAACACTCTTATATGGGTGTGAAGCTTGGGTTGTGAATGTAGCAGCGAGGAGGTGGTTTTAGGCAGTGGAGATGTCCTGTCTAAGGGCAATGTGTGGTGTAAATATTATACAGAAAACTCGGAGTGTGGAAATTAGGAGAAGGTGTGGAGTTAATAAAAGTATTAGTCAGAGGGCTGAAGAGGGGTTGTTGAGGTGGTTTGGTCATTTAGAGAGAATGGATCAAAGTAGAATGACATGGAGAACATTTAAATCTGTAGGAGAAGGAAGGCGGAGTAGGGGTCGTCCTCGAAAAGGTTGGAAGGAAGGGGTAAAGGAGGTTTTGTGGGCAAGGGGCTTGGACTTCCAGCAAGCGTGTATGAGTATGTTAGATAGGAGTGAATGGAGACGAATGGTTTTTGGGACCTGACAAGCTGTTGGAGTGTGAGCAGGGTAATATTTAGTGAAGGGATTCAGGAAAACCGGTTATTTTTATATAGCCGGACTTGAGTTCTGGAAATGGGAAGCACAATGCCTGCACTTTAAAGAGGGGAGGGGCTTGGGATATTGGCAGTTTGGAGGGATATATAATAGGACGGTGTATATATATACATAATTGGGGCCCTGATATTATATTCTACAGGGAGTTTATTAAATTATTTCAGGTCACTTTTTATATTGTATCTTTATATATGCTTCTAAACTGTTGTATCTGGGCACCTCTGCAAAAACAGTGATTATGTATGAGTGAGGTGAAAGTGGTGAATAATAATGAAAGTATTTTCATTTTGGGGATTTTCTTTCTTTTTGGGTTACCCTGCCTAGGTGGGAGACGGCCAACTTGTTGAGGAAAAAAAAAATGAATGAATAAACTGAAGCTTGTCAGTGGATAAAGAAAGAGGGATGTATCATGAGGATAGTATGCAAACACTTTTTGTTTGGGTTTGAGGTGTGCTTTACGAGTGTTGCAGATAAGAGGCAGCTAGAATTGCCATGTTTGAGACCAATATGTGAGGTGTGAATATAAGATATGAACAAATCAGATGATTATCTCACAGTATGAAATATATAATACAAGGACCATAAGTGAAGGAGTGTCAAGACTAATTTGTTATTTAGGTGTATACAGGGCTGATAAAGAGGGTGTATAAATCTAAGGAAGATGAAAGATATAGTGTAGAGGACATCCCACCAGAAATTCAAAAGTTTTGAGAGGAAGTAACTTGAGCATTCAGTTGACAGTTGTGATAATGTAAAAAGAGAAGACAATTTCTTGGGGGGAGGCAGAAAGAAAGATCTGAAGTGCTGTTGGAAAGCAAGCAAGATATTATCTATGAAGGAATTCAGGGTAAAACTGGTTAGCTAGACTTGATAGGTGGGGGATCTCATAGGCCCATGGATCATTTGAATTGTGATGTCCCTGAACTTTGCAAAGACAGGTAGGGAATGAGTGATTCTGAATGTTTTCCATCTTTAGGTCACTGAACCTTGGTGAGAAAGGGCCAATGTATTACAGTAAATCATCACTACTGCTGTCACAATGCAAAATGGGAAAATTACATATGCTATACACAGACCTTTGCAGACGGCAATCTCAACTGTCATACTCATTCTTGCCCAACTACAACTGATTTTCATCCACAAAAATGTAGATACCTGAAATCTGCAGTTTAGTAGCAGATAGTATGAGGTTCCACTGTACTTGCAACAACTTGAGCATAGGGTGAGGAAAATTATCTTATTGGAAAATCTGTCATTATATACTTATTATTTTGAAAAAAATAATATTCAGTACTATGGTATTGCTTTTGATTTTAATAACTTAAATAATCATAAATATGAGTTACAAAAAAAAAAAAATTATGATACTGGTAACAAAGAAATCTCTGGGAAATTTCTTAATTAAGTTTGGTGATCATATTGCTGGTGATAATGACGTCTTGCAATTTCGTACAAGACTTGGTATATATATATATCTATTCCCATTTATTTTGTTGAGGAAGGAGCAAGGATGGAAAATTCAGACAAGTATGTATATTGACCACTAAGATTTACATTTAATATCCTAAAATATAAAGGACAAACATACTTTAACTTCTAAAACTGCTTTCCCAAAACAAAGAGTTACATTCACTACCCTCAGATCTTTGTTCAGTAGTTTCGTATACCAACTAGTTATGCAATTCGTCTTTTTACTTTATTAGTATACTATGATCCATAGATCTCCCTCAAATATATTTCAAAGCCAACTTTTTAACAAGCAAAAAGTTCCAAGGTTGATCCCGAGGTAGAATAGAACACTGAATGGAGACCAGAATATGCCCCTTATTAATCATGGGTGATCTGTTATTGTAATGGTATCTACTGTAACTGCCCAAGTATGATGAAAGATGGCCATCCTCATTAAAGTACTGTATTTTATCATACCCATAATATACAGACTGAGAGAGATTAACAACAGCTAAAACTCGGGTAAAATGGAGTCACTGCATTACGAGTGCTAAAAGGGATCACCATGGATTAGACACTGTGCTTAACAACTCTGGAAACAGGCTTTAATACTAAGATATAAGTGGCAGTATATATCTTCCTAAGATATAAATTGATGCAAATCATTAATGTGTTTAAAGCTAGCTAGTCACCAAGTAAACATTTTCCACCCTGCCAATGAGAAACCTTCTTAAAAAGGAAAATAGCAAGAATGTTTTAATTATCATGTATTATAGATGGCCAGTGTGTTAAAAAGTGCACCATACACTGTTATAGTGTATATACAAACAGGAAACACTTGCCAAGTCTTGTCTTTAATATTGCGAGATCTGGTAAACTAAATAAATACCACAGAATGAGATCAAGATAGGTCCAATTGTGTTACAGTATTCATTGCTAAACAATTATTCAATTCAGGTAATCTTTCACCTTAAAATTATGTGATGGTCCACAGAAATTTACATTCTGCACAGCCTCTCAAAGTGTGTGTTAAAATACATGTCTTTTCCACAATTAGACCACAACACTATATTGTAACATCCTAACCCAATAACTTACAATAAAACAGGCAGAAAAGCAAGAGAAAAATACATTGCACCCGTACTGCTTTGTTCTATATATTTTTTTTCATGCAAGCTGACCCAAGATAATTTATTTTTGCAATTCAATGCAAGAGACCAACAATTTTACTTTACCAGAAATGACATCATCTTAATCATCCTACATATCACTTGCATTCAACAGTTCCTCAGTAATTATCAAAACTATATCAGCAACAACTTTTTTAATGGGTTAATACAAAATAGTCAAGTGTATTCAGAATAATTCCAACAATTTCATATCATTTATCCTTTCTTAAGATGGATGTCTTATAGAAACTATTTAGATATTTGAGGAACTTCTATTGTAATTGAATGGATATGCCATACTACTGTATTTACAAAGTTTAACCGAGCCAAGAATATCTTATTCTGCCTATGTATTACTAAAGTAATAAGTACAGCCGTCTCACCGGCCATGACCATAGTCAGGCCTAAAGTGTCCTCCTGGGTTTAGATGAGGAAAACGCTCTCTCTCTATCATCATTTGTCTTTGCAGCTGCTCATGTGCATGGGCCGCCGAGAGCTGAAACAGATAAAAAAAAAATTACATTTAAGGAAATCATTCTGGTAGGACACCATGTATTGAGAAAAATGTTTATCCTCAATTATCACCGAAGTTTAATCATTGACAGAGAGGGCAGTAGAAGACATGACAGCTGTACAAAAATAGAGAAAAACAAAATTGGGACAATAATGAGGTTAAGCACAAAGACAGAGAAGTATGGAAAGATGGGAGTTACAGAATAAGAGGAATAGAAGAAATTGTAAGGTATTCAAAAGCACTATTAGCTGGAAAACAGAAATACAAAATGGAAAAGCAAAGTCAAACTTATGAATTCTGACAAGGAAACCACAATTGTATGAACCCAGTTGTGGTGTGCTGGGTCCATGTACTCACATCTGAAAATAATATACAGTATTACACCTGAGACAAACAATGACAAAGGTTTCTCAATTCACTGATAATTATAAAAAATTTACAGTGAAATCTAGTAAAATTTCACAATACAGCCTCTCCTCACTTAGCGACATACTTGTTTACTGACGACTCAAACTTATGACGGGCTCTCTGACTGTTATGCATATCTAAATAATGTATATTAGAGCTGATTGGCTCTATTCTGTTTATTACAATATACAGTACAATACTGTATAAACATTTAAATGGTGCAAAGGTGACATTAAAACAATGCCCGAAATGCCTAGCCATGCTAAGCGTTCTAGTGGTACACTCTGTAATCACAATTTTACTACATGTAAACCAAACAATAACCAAATTTCTGTAAACTCAGCATTGTAATCCTTATAGAGAATAAATTTTGAATTTGAATTGAATATCAAAGATGGCTCGCACAAACCTACTACCATTTTAGTATGCTCCTTGCTTACCAATGAATTCGTTTACCGATGTGGTCTTAGGAACTCTGTCATTAAGTGAGGAGAGGCTGCATATATGTCTTGGGGCTCTCATACAATGATAGAAAAAATTTAATTAAATATTTAAGTTTAATATCCTATACTAAAACATACATACTGATCAGCTTACATGAGCTAATTCTTCATAATTTCGTCCAAGTAAGGCAGCATGGTGGCTCTGAGGTGGGTATCCAGGGGGAAGCGGAGGAGGAGGATCCCCAGGCCTCAGCATGGGTGGCCGAGGAGGGTAACCAGCAGCTGCCGCAGCTGCTGCCGCTGCTGATTAAAAAAAATATATACAATCAACATTAATGATAAAATCAAATACATAATGCTGTACAAAAAAAAGAGAAAAAATAACTTCCATAATGCAAGAGACATACTTGCACCATAATAAAGTCCCTTAAAAAATTTAAAGGAATTCTGAAAATTATTACACATAATTTTCTTGAAATAGCAGAAGTTAGATGCTCACAATAAAACTGCAACATGTATTATACATACTTACAATCTATGTTAGCAAACCATGGACCGGGTGGGGTTTGAACCCAAGGCAAATAGTTTGTTTGCAATCGTATTATGGTTTTTGTGAATCTACATTAGATACAGTAGTATATTCATGCATGTATGACATACAGTACATTCTATGTTAGATACAGCTATACAGAAATGATTTAAAATCTACATTAGGTACTGTATTCCAAGCAGAAATGATACTCTATACATTATAGCCATGCAGAAATGGCACAGATGTATCCATGCAAAAAAATGGTTACCATGCAAACATGTAGTAATTATGAGGTCAGCTCATTCCCAAATTAATTTTAATAATGCCTCTGAAGTGGTTTATGTACAAGTTATGGTGCCTATTTCCATTTATTTGCCCACCAAACTGTATTTATGTAATAATGCTAGTGTCAACCTTCTCACCTCTGACTCATACAGTAGGGCCCCAACTTTAGAGGTCCCGAATTATGAGGTTGCACACGAGTGACATTAGCATTTTTGAAACCAATTTATTACTTATGAACAATAACTCGTTTTTCTGACAGGGGTAATTTTTATTTTCTTAAGTACAGATTATAACATTTTCTTGGTTAGTTTTCTACCAAATGGATTAAAACTGTGTTTATGTTTATTTTATGCATGTATGGAGAACTCATATTTGTTTGGCAGATAGGTCAAGAACTAAAGATTCAATATTTGTCATTAGTACAGTACATCAGTGGTTGGTGGTGAGAAAGAACTGGTGGAGGTGGGTGTGGCAGGGAGGTGGGTGGATTGGCTATGGCCTTGAAAGGAGGACCCCCAATCAGCACTGCTAGCTGTGTTGTGGACATTTAGTAAACAGCTGGACTAAGATGGAATACCATATAATGACAACACTTTCACACTAAACATCCACTCACTCACCTATCCACCTTCACAGCCGCTCCACTCATCAAATCTACACCACAAATCACACCACACCCACACCATTCACACCCACTCTACCCTCATGCTCATATTGTCTTTACGTACACACTGGCCTCACACCCACATTTCAACATTCCTTACACAGAGTATGCTAACTTCGCTTTATTAAAATATTACAAGCAAACCAAATTAGCTTGTGAAGTTGGTAAAAATTCTTAACACTTATTACAAACAAGTGTAAAGTAAATTTCAAAGTTCATTTGCATTTAGCTCTATTCAAAAAATTTGAGTTACAATAATCAAACTGTTTACCAATTACATAATTGTTGATACTTGCTACAAGATTTCAACATACATACACAAGATAACATAAGCAAATACATGTATAATTATGCAAGAAATGCCAGCAAGATTAAAAACTAACTGCACGTGTCCAAATGGGTTGATATTTAAGAAACTTTCCCATTTTTTTTTTTCACTATATGAAGAATGGCTGAGGGTGAAGCTAGTCTGATTAACAGTAATTTTGAGGTAGGTGAACATATTAAGAGATACAGGTACTGCTTGTCATTTTCTTAAAAACTCTCAATAATAGTTTTTATGTCAAAGAAGCTCTACAGTATTTGGTAATGTGTCTTTAGTACTGTATAAGCAAGATTTGTGACTTGGCTTTTAAGAATTTCACGATGCAGGAAATTTAAGGTAACCCTGACGAGGGCCGGGATGCAGGTCAGAAGCAGTCTATAAAACATATTAGTACTTCTAACACTTTGCTGAATAAGGATTTTTTAAAGTACAGTGATTTTTAAATTAGAAAAGGTCACTTTGTTTTTTAACATAGGCTGTTTCCCTTCAAGGCAGGGTGACCCAAAAAGGAAGGAACACTTTCATCATCACTCACTCCATCACTGTCTTGCCAGAGACGTGCTGATACTACAGTTCAAAAACTGCAACATATCTCCACACCTTCAAAGTGCACATGTATGTAAAACTGAAAAACAATGTTTAAGTTTGATGCACTGTAGTATCTAACCATCTTCCTAGTAGAATTTCTTTCTTATGATTAGGAAATTAAGAATCAAGCCTCCAGACACTCCTTGCATTTAATAACACACACAGGTTTAGTGGTTCACATAAATATAATAATAATCTAGGATACAGTGAAATAAAGCTACATGAAAAGTCAACAAGTAACATGCTGGACTTCGTGAGGCCACCTCAAGGTATCCTCGAGTCCAAAGATAAAGAGAGACTTGCAGGAGCATCCCTCGGGTTAGCAGCATGAAGTAAGACAGGTGCAAGATGTGAGGGAAATAAACAAGATGATGGCCTGGTCTGAGACTGGGTCATGGGGGTGTCAACCCCTGAGACTTCCTTCAAATCACTCATTATAACCTGAGTACTGTACAAAGAATTGATTTTGTGGACTTCTCACTTTCCTGTATTTCTTCCTCGTCACTATACATTAACAATCATAGAAGAATTTGAATGATTCTTGAAGTGAGAGGTAAAAAGGCAACAATCATAAGGAAAACAGCTAGGGGAATTGAAGTACTGATAATCGATTATAGTCATCATGTCAATAAAATACTGAATACAGTATATGATTCTTATGATTCATGCATCACTAATTAAAAAACTGATCTTGTTTGTGTTAGATATTGGAAAGATACAGTTATGGCTTCACCACATTCATATACTGTTGATGACTTCACTGAACTGATATTAGGTATGTACTACAATTACTCAACATGCTACAAAAACAAGCAATAAGACATAAGATTAGTACATATTACATGCAGAGGTTAAGCTTTAAAATGTTGCTTAAAATATGTAATTTAAATACAACACAGGAAGCATAAGACCGAAGTCAAGCCGAGTACAGTATACAGATTTTCCAGATACTGTAGTATTCAAGGTTAACTCTTAAACTGTCCAAACAGATCTACATTCACATGCGTAGTGCTCCAAAAGTAGATCTATGTGTTTTTACATATTTTCAAATATAACAAAAAAATGTAGATCAAAGTTTTTTTACACGTTTTCAAATGTAAAAAAAAAAAGAAAAAGAAGCTCTATGTTTTTTTACATACTTTCAAATGTTGAAAAAATGTAGATCTACATTTGGACAGTTTAAGGGTTAATCCCTTCACTGTCTAAACCACTGAAATTCAATGTGCTTACAAAAAAAAAAAAAAAAATCTTCTGAAAAGATAGAGAATCTTTTTCTGAAGGCAAGGACACCAAAAATTAGCAATTTGATTGGAAATTTATGGAATTACGCAGGCGCAAATCTAATCATCTGAGCAAAATTTACGCATTGCGGATCTTGCTGAATTCAAGCCATATTTTAAGCTAATTCCATTACTCAATTCGACTAAATGCTTAACTATTTCACTAGTATGCCTTCCATTCTATGAATTGAGCACAAGAAACCACCCATTCAACTATCAAAACTACTTTATAAAGTGCACAGATGTCAGTAACTTGGCCAATTTTACACAAAATTAAAAAATTCCAATTTAAAAAGTCCAAAATAAGAAGTATAGATATTCCAGGCATTAAAATAACATTTCCTGTGTTAATTAATCAAATTCCTGGGCCTCTCTTGTATTACACTTGCCATCCATTTTGAATTTATAACACAAAATAAGAGTTCCCCAATTTCTTGGATAATAAAATATAACCAGGAATGATTGGTCATGGTTTACAGCATCCTAATAATTGAATCAGCCCTGGTAAAAACTCATGAAACAGACTAGGGGGTGTAGGGAGACCTTACCCGTCCACAGGAAAATCGGCAAAAAATCGAATATTTCCTTTACTTTGAGGCTGATTTCAAGCTACTTCCAGTCCTGGAACCAACCAAAATCATCTGTATTTCAGTAGCATGTCTTTCATTCCATAAAAAAAAAAAAAAAAAAAAAAAAAAAAAAAAAAAAAAAAAAAAAAAAAAAAAAAAAAAACAGCCAATAAAACCATCCTAGAAAACACCTCAAATTTGCTATTTTCAACCAAACCCGAAGTCAAGAGTTTTTCCCCCCATCATGCACTGTGTGAGGTAGGATTTTTTTTTATACTATGCACACTCACTGCATGGAACCATTCCCTCATATCTAGACCAAAATTTACTGCTTGCAGCTTACCTGAGTGAGCTGAGCTCATGACATAGATCTACATGACGGACAGTGAATGGGTTAATACATAAACAGGTACACTGTTACTTTAACATTGAAATTAAATTGAAGTTTTAAAGTTGACATAAGACTATCATATTGTTTAAATATTTTAATTGGATTGTAATGTAGTTTTAATGTCAAATTTGGAGTGTAGTGTTTCAACATTAAAATAGAATTACATGTACAATGTTGTTTCAGCATTGAAATTCATACAAGACTTTGTCTCTAACATAAACAATTTTGCAATCTAGTTTCAAAGCTGAAATGACAAATAATGTATACCTGCTCTGATTAATATACTACTGTAATACTGTATGTACTTAAAATTTGTAAGTAGAAATGGTTTCTAAATATGGTCTTTACTGTACATAAACTTAATATAAAACAGCAAAAGCAATTTTTTATACTACTGTGTAAGAAGCTGAAACATTATTATGAGTTAATATCACAATAAGTTTTAAATATCACTGCACTCTTAACACAAGAGCACAGGGTAGACAATCGAAAAGGAAATCGCCAAAATGCAGAACAGGGATCAGTGTTACGACTTCAAGAATAATAAAGAAATGGTAAACAGTGAGGATCCTGTAAAGCTAGCTATCTGTTCCCTCTTAAATGCTGCAATACAACGAGCAGAGTTTATTCCAACATGATATTTTCCAATGCTACACTAAAGCCTCTTATTATTTTATATAAGCCTTGCTGTAGGACCATACTGCACTTTGTTACAGTAGTCCTGAAGCCATCTTGGCAAAATATTACATAAACTTATAAGAACATATGTTTCCTTTGCATTTCATTCTGTCCCAACACCACTATAATGGCTCTCTTATTACTCTCTCAAAAACTGTAGTAAATGTTTTTGCATTAACTAACTTGTTACACTGCCAACCACTTTTATACACTTAAACATTTAACATTTTCTATGCTCATATTTCATGCGAACATAGAAAAGTAAATAGTACTTTGTCATTTCAAACCAAAAGAAAAAAAAAATTTCTGGTAACATATACTGTACATATAACTGTCTAATAAGTAAAATTAAAACAACTGCATAGTAGTCAGTAATGACACTGTATTAAAGTTAGATGAACAAAAAAGTATCTGACAAAAAAAAATGCAATAATACCAAAACTTTCCCCACTCAACAATCAACATTAGCTTTATAAAAACAAAACTGAATACTGAAAGTAAACCAAGAACACTGGGGTACCAAGGTAACAAATAGTGCTTTCAGCTTGCAATGTTAATTTTGTAAGTGAAGCCTTGATAATGATGCTAACTTATATAAAACAGCAATATTCATGAAGAGAACATTTGTAAATATGTCAAGAGCTCTGTAGAAGACAAATATTTAGACTGAAATAGAGGAGAAACTGTACATACAAGACGAAGAAAATGTAGCAATGAGAAATACAATTACTATAACAAGTTTGGAAGTGTGACTAGAAAATGACTATCTATCGTTTGTGCATGTATGTGTGTCTGCATACCTCCAGGATGAAGGTGGAGGTGGGTGTGGGCATGGGAGTGAGTATGGGCATGAACCTCGTTGATCATCTGCATCCGATGCATGTGGTCAGCCAGGGCTAGCCTCTCCGCAGTGGATACAGTCAGTGGGTTGTCCGAAGAAGTAGCAGCTGCGCTCAGGCCCAGGGTCGTGGCTGGTAGCCCTGCACACAACATACTATGATCACTACCTAAAGTTCAGGAACATTAGGCCAACTATGACTGTATCACCTTAGATATGCCAGGAGTGGGTATAGTGTATGAATGTTTGGGTGTAACAAAATAAAAGTGGTATTGTTACAGTATGAGATTATGTTAGATGAAAGATCTTGTCACAAGGTTTGAGGAAAATAAGTAATGTAAAATCAAAGGACTGGTCTGACTTTACAAGGATGGTCATGAGACAAAATCAAAAGAAGTTTTAACGAAATAATAGAGATAAAGGATAAGTTAAAAAAAAAATTACCAGGCGAGATATAAATGCTGAATTCAAAAGCAATGTCCTGTAATATGATAAAAATATGGCAAGAAAGAACATCACAACAATAAGAAAATTAACACAGTATACAGAAGCCTTATGTAATTGTATTTCAATAGAGAATTTCACTCAATATAGTACAGGGAGTCATAGAAGAATACTGGTATAAAAATATGTGGAGAAAGCCACCCAACAGAAACATGCCAAGAAGACAGTAAGGAAAAATATTTATATAAACACTCAAGAATTAAAGAAACTAGATTAATTTTAGAGATTAACAATGAAACTGTATTACACTTTGAAAAGAAGGCAAGATGAGAAGACAAGATGAAAAGAGAGTACAAAGTTAGGAAAATATATTTTAATTAATACAGTAACAGAATTTCTAAAACTGAAATAGCTGATGCAGCTGAATATAAGAAAAACCAATCATTATGAGATGTCCTCTCCAAGATCTGTAATTTTTTATGCATCAATTTTATTCAAATAAATATAATACTGTCTAAGTGATAAGACAGATACAATATTTAATCTTCAGAGTGATTTTCTTTAAAGGAAACCACTATGATTTCAATTTAAATTAAGATGTACAACACAAGATAAACTTTAAGCTATTTCAAATGATTCACCTTGTCTCCTACTGTTTACACAGTGCAAATATTCTTTTCCTTAACTAGGTTAATTCCACAAAATTAACCATGGTTGAAAGCCTCTTGGATGCACACTCCACATTACACATCACCCTATGCTTTAATTCCAATATATCCTCACATTCATTTTAGCAAAACTGGTATGTTACGCATAAATTCACAGCAGGGAAAACAATCTTTTCCATACACTATCTTCTTGTTATTATCACTATTGGTATAAACAAACCCACATGAGGAATATAAGACAGAAGTTAAGAGTACTATATACTTCTGCCTGAAAAAAACAAAAGTTATTTATTATTTTGTTTTTATTAACACACTGGCCGATTCCCACCAAGGCAGGGTGGCCCAAAAAAGAAAAACTTTCACCATCATTCACTCCATCACTGTCTTGCCAGAAGGGTGCTTTACACTACAGTTTTTAAACTGCAACATTAACACCCCTCCTTCAGAGTGCAGGCACTGTACTTCCCATCTCCAGGACTCAAGTCCGGCCTGCCGGTTTCCCTGAACCCCTTCATAAATGTTACTTTGCTCACACTCCAACAGCACGTCAAGTATTAAAAACCATTTGTCTCCATTTACTATCAAACGCGCTCACGCATGCCCACTGGAAGTCCAAGCCCCTCACATACAAAACTTCCTTTACCCCCTCCCTCCAACCTTTCCTAGGCTGACCCTTACCCCGCCTTCCTTCCACTACAGACTGATACACTCTTGAAGTCATTCTGTTTCGCTCCATTCTCTCTACATGTCCAAACCACCTCAACAACCCTTCCTCAGCCCTCTGGACAACAGTTTTGGTAATCCCGCACCTCCTCCTAACTTCCAAACTACGAATTTTCTGCATTATATTCACACCACACATTGCCCTCAGACATGTCATCTCCACTGCCTCCAGCCTTCTCCTCGCTGCAACATTCATCACCCATGCTTCACACTCATATAAGAGAGTTGGTAAAACTATACTCTCATACATTCCCCTCTTTGCCTCCAAGGACAAAGTTCTTTGTCTCCACAAAAGTATGCACCTTAAATATTTATCCTATGGAGACAATCTGGACACACGAGTTATCCTACAGTCATTAAAAACTACAGCACTGACACTGACCCAATTCACAAAGATAGCAGTAAAGCAACTGCAAAAACTAGACCAAAAGCACTGACATTCCACATTATCAAAGCATTTGAAAGAATTTTAAGAATGAAGATTACTAACACAAATTCACAACTTGGGTTACAGATACTTGATCCTTCCTCTCACAATTACTGGACCATTAAGATATGGTATTAAATTCACTGGAAGACAAAACAAACTGCAGAATATCATATAAAGACTGCAAAAGCCTTCGACAAATGTGATCATGACATGACAGCACACAAAATGTGTGTGAAAGGAATAACAAAAAAAAAAATATCATGCTCAATGAGGACAAATTTCAGTTACTCCAATATGAAGATAGTGAGAAAATATAAACTGAAACAGAATACACAACAAACTCAAACCATTCAACAGAGTGAAAGATTACTGTCAGGGGCTTCGAGGTGAAAATATCAGATCTTACATTCAAGGAATCACATTATGGTTAGTGTCCAAACCCCAAGGAAAGTGATAGGCTGGATAATTAAAACCTTTAACACAAGAAATCCCATATTAATGATGATACTCTTAATCACAAGGTTTAAACATGGCACATTAAAATAAAAGACATAAATAGGGTTCTAAGAATATCTAACCAAAAACGAGCTTGAAACAATGGATTCACTTTGGATAAATTCCGATCTAGAAAGAATACAGGGAAAGTACTGGTTTAGTAATAGAGCTGTGGATGAAACAATGTGCCAAGTAATCACTGAAACTAAAACCTTGGGTAGCTTTAAAATAGGTAAGGCAAGTAGGCCTACTGCAGTTCTCTTTCCATTCTTATGTTCTTATATTGCTGCACACTATGAGCTCCACTTAGGCATGGAAAAATCACAAATCTGGACACTGTAGCAAGAACCCTCACTGCCAGTATAAACTCAGTCAAGCACCTAATTTACTGGAAATCTCCAAAATCCCTTGAACTGTACCCTCAGAACAGTTTACAGGTAAACTACAGTTTAACAACTGAGCCACTCTATAATGGGTTCTATCATAAACCACAACAGTATAGTACAGTAATATCTCATCTTATGTAATTTTCTTCAAGTGTATTCATATGTGCCACTGACCATTACTTATTATATTTTTAGATTTGCATTATCACTACAGCATTACTATTAATGTCTAGATTCTATATACATTCTCCTACTTAGGCACCCTTAAAAAAATACATTATGTAAGTAAAGCTGTGGAATATGAAAATTTCATTAAGTGCTCAATTTTAAGATTTAAGAGTCATATAAGCAGTTTTCAGCAACATTTTAAAACAATCCAGTACATTCTTTTCAAAGGAACAACTAATTACAATTTTTGGTTTCTGTTACAGTATTTGTAATTATAAAAATATACAACTGAAAAAACTTAATAACTCAGTGCACCAGATGTATATTAATGAACAGAATAAATATGTTATCCTGTAAGGAAAAAAAAAAAATGTAAAAGTTAAGCTGTTATTTCTCTGAATTAATAAATAGCAAGTCACGACTTAATAATTATTTGATGCACTTTTTTATATTTGATTCATCATGCTATGTATCCACAGATCTAAACAAATATATCCTTTCTTAATACAATCTAAGTCTCTTGATGTGTTAAAACAACAATCAACTCTGTTTATTCAATGTCCTTCTCCTGCCTTGTCATCTACTATGAAAATTCTTGTCCTACTTAACATTGCTTATTTAGCTACACAAATCTTTTAGCTATCCAAGAATTTGCAAAGAAAAATATTCTTTTAAGGTCTAGCACTGCAGGTATCCCAAGTTACCCAAATGCTCCAGTTTTCCAAAATACTTTCATGGTGTAAATTTAATTTGAATATACTGCTGAACCTTGGCTTATGAGTGCCCCACCATACGAGTTTTTCAGGATACGACCAGTTGCTCGGTCGATTTTTTGTTTCTGGATACGAGCAACAATTCAGGATGCGAGCTTCTCCCTCATACAACTTTTTTTTTTAGACCTCCAGATCTTACAAAAATAAAAATGAATTTATAATTGTAGTTCATTGTCATGATGTATTATGTTGCTTTTACTGCTTAAGACTATAACTGCAACAGAAATAACAGTATTTATTACCTCAGTATTTATTACCACAACAGTTATGTTGTGGTCCTACTGGGCTGAGGTGGATGGTAGAGGTTCTGGTACTGAAGTCGATGGTTGTACTGTAGTGTGCATAAATTCTGTAATGGATTTCTGTTCTATTTTACCCTGCAGTACATTATACAACTGATGGTAAGGCATCAGCTGCTCTAGATACCGTTTCAGGGTCCTCTTCAGTGAAAAAGTCTAACTTTAAGTCATTCAGTAAGTAAGTCAAGTCAGTAAGTCATTCAGTAAGTCAGCAACACTGGTATGCCTAGTGGGTGTCACGATTGCTTGGCAGATACAAGATATGGTAATTAAAACATCAAAACACAATTCACAAACACAGCTAGCTAGCTTGTAGGAGAGAAGTGGAACTGAACATGTATTCACGAAGTTGGGATGGTGGTATCAGGGGATGGCAGGGGATGGCCTGAGGTCTCCCTCACTGACCCACAACAAGGCAGCCGCTTTAGGTAGGGAATGGCCACCACCACTTGTCACATAATGACACATTTTATTCATTCTGGAGCATATATCGGGTTTCTATGTTATTTATATTGTTTATTATGTCATATTAGATGAATTCTAGGTAGTAGGTTGATAGACAACAACCGCCCAGGGAGGTACTACCATCCTGCCAAGTGAGTGTAAAACGAAAGCCTGTAATTGTTTTACATGATGGTAGGATTGCTGATGTCCATTTTTCTGTCTCGTAAACATGCAAGGTTTCAGGTATGTCTTGCTACTTCTACTTACACTTAGGTAACACTACACATACATGTACAAGCATATATATACACA